CTCAAAATCACCTTTGCTTTTCCTAGCAGGTCAGCAACACTAAAAGCATGATGAATGGGTAATGCACATCATGCCAAATTTATATAAACCATTTACTAGGGTGTGGTGATCGGTGTAATACATAGCCATGCTAACCATTAGCTGGTCAATGCCAGCTCAATCTTTTATAATGCGACCAGAGGTTTCTACTAGTATAAAACAATTATTGGGAACAATGTGAGTACTGAAAAAGTAAAAAATATCTTAGTTTCATACCAAAATTTACTGACATGTTTTACATTTCAAAACTGAAACAAACTGTCTTAGTACATTGTATATGCAAATGTACATTCACAATTTTACTTATCAATATTAAATTTCGGTCTACATAAAAAAGCATATTAAAATATGAACATGAAAACAGTTCCTGTAGAAAGTTTAACCACATAGACCAATATGCAAAATCCTGGACTTAATTTATACCACATTTAATGAAACAGTATCACTACTTGGTCTTAATTTTCTTTCCAAATGGTCTGGCACAACATGCTTTGAAACCTTTGGCTTCACAGTCAGTTACAAAGAGGATATACTGTTTTGAACTTGACTTTTAATTCAGCCTTTATTTTCAGCTCCATGTTTTCCCCACAAAAATAACACACGATAGAGCGTGAAACAAAGTCAGCATATGTAATTTTAACGGGCCACATGCAAGTATGAAGTTTTCCATGTGACTACTAACAAATCTATATTCAATTCTGAACAATAACAATTTCCCATGAAGACTGTCACCTGGAGTGGTCAATGGAGAACCACACGTATACTCAAGCTCTGAAAGTAACATGGCAAACTGCATTTTTGTTCGTCCATTCAGTCTCATGTTAGAGTAAACAATTCTTGGTTTGAGGCATTCTACACATTCTACAGCAGATCTGGCATTCTGTCCTGTATACAAGGAGGCATCACCTATTAGATCTTTGTCGTCTGGTAGAAGGGTAATTGAATTTGGGGTAATTGAATTTGGAGCTAGCTTAGTGCCTTTAGCATTATTAACCTTTGATGCTTTGCCTTCTTTGGGTTTCTGGAAAGTTGGGCGGTCACTGTCAGTTGTATCTTGACCATACAATTCATCGAAAGGCTGATAGTGCTCTTTACTCTCATCTAGTACAGGATCTGGTAGCCAGGATAGATCGAGTGTTGCTGGACTGCAACAATCTGGATTCCCACATTTCTTTATTTGAAATGAATATTGTCTTTGGCGGCAATGATTTTCAAGCCATACAATATATTCCTTGACCTTGTTGGTCTCTGATTTCACAAGCTTTTCTGTGTTCATATTCGGGAACATGTAATTAAGATGCTTACTCAGCAAATCTATTTCTTCATCTCCAACAGGACTCCCATCACCTGTATTGAGCTCCCCCATTCAAAGCTAAAGCCTAATAATACGCCTCATCACCTTTTCTGGCTCAACAGTGTAATCTATACGACTGACCACACTGTCAGAAATGTCATGTCACCCTTTTTTGCGAAGAATATCATCCATAAGAAGTGCCATTTCTTCAAAACATCTTCAACGTGCATCTTCTAGAAAAATTTTCTCTAGAAAGAGTTACAATTCCTTGGAGCAACAAATTCAGGAGATGGAATAACTCGCTTCTGCATAGTTGACATAAAACTGACCCGAGCCACATCACTACAGGGTACGAACATGTCAAAATCCAACTCTTCGAACAAAGCTGCAGACGCACATTTTCCAACAATGTTCTTAAAGGATATTTTCTGTGATCAGTAGCCCACCCATCTGCTAAATCTAAGAAACACTTTGGGCATGAAGGGTCATTTTTCACAAGTCTTGCCAGTACTGCTGCATGTCTCATTGGATTAGATGATTGGAACACTGAGTCATTAATCACAGTTGTGACTTTTCCTCTGTAGAAGGATCCATTCATGTCTTTTGGTACATCACATTTCAAATAAACTGATGGTGTCAAACTACCTTTATGATGCATATCATGATCAGTAGCTACAAGTGTTGTGTTTGCAGGGGCTATACTTTTCTTTCCACGTACACCAGTAGAAAGAGCAACCCCAGGTTCTCCAATATGAACTTTCGCCTTGTCATCGCAGCAGAATAGAGTGCAGGAGTCTCCTAGTTTTACGGCAAAACTTCTCAGATACTTAAACAAGGCAAAGGTAAAGTGGTCATCGGGGTGAGCAAGTCGTAACTGACGCCTTTGAATCTTGTACTGTATTGGCAGCTTTGAAGTAAAAGCCAGAGCAGTTTTAGAATAGGGGTTCTTTGGCATGAACTGCAACCTTACCAATGCATTGGATGGAATTTCAGAACCTGGTGGACATTGATCTGCGGCTTGAGTCACAAGGTCATTAACTGACAGATACTGGGACATGTGGGCTTCATTATGTCTTCTTTCATCAGCTGCTGTGTTTTCTTCTATTATCTCTCCTAGCTTGGTAAAAAAAACATCAAATTTATCGGACGGGCGACCAGTATTCATTTTTCTCAGATCTGGAAGAAGACCAGTTTCACCCATATATATTCAATCTTAGGCGTTGCTGAAAGTCTGGGTGTGAAGTTGCTGAAGCATCCAAGGCAAGCTCCTTGTAGATCATATCCACTACCCCTGGCTGTATAGAAACAACATTGCCTAATCTGCGTTTGAATTGCTGTTTCATAAACATTGTATGATACTCCGGGAGTTGTGGTCTTATTTTTAACAATAAAGAACCTGCATCAGTTTGTTTCTGAGCATCAGTTCTAGTATCAGGTACCTTACAAAAACAATATACAGTTAAAATACTCCCCCAGGACAAAACTTGATAATATCTACAGTAACAGATAGATTGACATTTTCGAAGAACCTCAATCTTTGCATATTGTCATTAAATGGTAAATTTAAATGAATGTTTTCATCAAAAAAGACTGGTTCATACAAATCTGCAATATTCAATGCTTTGTCAAGTAGTTTGTATGTGTGTTTCACTTCAGAGGTACATTTATGCACAGTATATATTGAAGTATATTTTGCTATCGGCCTGGCCGGATGGTCCATGTTTCTATAAGTTTCAGATACAAGTCGTTTTCTGTCCAAGTAACTATGGTAAGACCACAAACATGAAGCTAGATCTTTAATGTCCTGATATGCCTGCTCCCATTGTGGGGAACTTCTTAACAATGGTCTTGTGCACAAACTAAAAAGCGCCTCTGCATGTGACTTTAACACATTAGACTCCAGTGGCTGGGCTTTCAGTTTTTTGCGTCTATGATCATTAAACCCTACAAAGTCCTCAAAAGCTGTTGGTACAGAGTAAACTGCCACCTCCCTTCTGCTTCTGTCATTTATTACTGTTTGCTGGTTAGTGATGTACCACAAAGCATTGGTTAGAACCTGAAAGAAAAAAATGAACCATGCGATAAAAGAATGAGCTTAAGAACATCAGTGGCACTGAAATTAAAATTCAAATACAATTGTATACAAATGGTACAATATACTATAAAGTTACATCTCATTGGGATATTGTTTCTTAGTATTAAATATTAAAATATAACTTATTTGACATATTTCATGACATATTAAAATGCAAGTTTAAATAATTCAGTATTCAGACTGTTAAAAAACAATTTTTTTACATACTTTTGAGAAGAAGTAAAGTTTAAACAGGGTTAATCTATTTAATATAAAAAGGGTACTAGAGTGTCAGAAACATACAGAAACATACAAGGAGCTAGACCAGAAAAAAAATCAGACTGAGAGTTATAAACCCATTAATGTTGTTTTGAAATTTAATAAAACTGTTTTGCAAAAGCAATTTCATGTCATCCTTTTAATAAAATAAAATACTTTCAAAAAAAAAAAGAGTTTTTAAATGTACCTCTGACACAGTGACACATTTACAACTTGTAACAACAACATATGATGAGTTTATAATTAGCAAATGAAAGTGCAAGCAATGTTATTATCTATATTAGCACAAGTACAAAATTCCCTTGCAGTGACAGGATTAGATATTAATATGGCAATTTTACAGTCACCAGAAACTACAAAAGGAAAACAGCTAGGAACTATCACCATTTTTATGTATCACACTATTATACCTTTATGTCTATGTACTCTAAAAGGAAAAGTATTAAACATCTGTAAATGATATGAATACTAGTTAACACACCAATAAAAATACTGCGATATATTTTAGTGTATTTAAATATTTTTAAAATGTTTTATGCCTCAATATCAAAGTTATTATATCATAATATTAATTTTAAGATGAAAGATTAAAGTTCATGGCATGAGCAGACCGATGAAAAGATCTATTTTAATATCTAAAAATTTCTTCTCTAATTCATTAAATAAAGTTTTAATATCTAAAAACATTTTTTTTAAATAAATATAAAAGATTATTAACCTGTACTATGTAGAGTCCTTCTGTGTCTGGGTCCAAAAACTTCAAACCCCTATCAGCCATCCAGTCAATGACTTTGTTGAACAGTTCATCCTTCCTTGAAATGCCCTTGTCAACAGGTACACCGCTACTGCAAAATTGAGATTTACTTAATTAATTTTTGGACAAATTGAATATTATAAACCGGTAGATAAATTTGAAAACAAAAGTTTTGAACAGTGATTCAACCAAATAAAAATGAGCTTCATTGTTGGTGCGTGCTAATTCTAATAATGCAGACCAATTTTATGAAAGATAAAGAAAGCATCAAAATAAGTGAATGTCTTAATTTTTTCATGAATGCAATATCATTTAATATAATTCATAAACACACACAAATATATATATTCAACACAAAATATGGTATAAAAATGTCTGAATATTGTACCTGGTAGTTCGTTTCTTAGGAAGTGTAGGAGTATTTTTTTCTGCCTGCATTAGGATTTCAAAAGCATTCCTGGCCCCTATTTTGCTAGTATCAACTTCGCTGTTCTTGTCTGTAGCTATGTCAGATTGGTCTGTTGCCACACACCTTTATAATAAAAAAGCATAAACATGTACATACAGGCATAGAAAATTTATACAGCCACATTTCAAGTCTGACAGGCATCTGTCATCGTACTATGACTGGAATCTTTACTGAAAGCCCTTCAATATTCTGATTTTTTTAATTCCATAGATCCTCTCTTGTGGATTTTCTTTTCAAAAAAAATATTTTTTATTTTATGTTAATATCCTGACATCTTGTATAAAACCATGTTCAGTTCTTTAAAACATCTATTAAAATCCTGATAAAATGTTATGTCCAATATGTAAAGTAATCTAGTGGTGGGTGGGGGTACGAAAACGGCACATTTCGGTAATATATTCATCTACATTGTACGTCGGCGCAATCAAACTTGATTAATAATAATGCGACGTGATTAATATTATACTTTGTTTTGGTAGACTCCTACTTGCCTGATTCATAGTACTTACTATTCATTTGATTCAAATATACCTTATTCTGAAGAAGGTAAAGCCTCTAAATTTCTCAAGAATTTCCATGACCGGGACGTCATACAAATTGTCCTCCTTTAACGCCGTCCATGGACCATTTTCGGATGAAGATATAGAAACTTCTGAAATCCCTCCCGGGTGGCACAGATACATGCCTTCTATGTCTTCAAAAGACATTTTTTGTGTTATCATTTTAAACTCTCGGCGTTCGGCCGTTTTGTGTAGATCACACGCCGTTTTGCAAATGTTGACAATGTGATCGGCCATTTTGTTACTAAGAGCGGCGATAAAACCTGTACCGTACCGTACCTCAATAATACGGTATTTTTCATCGATTTTTTTTTTTTTTTTTTTGACACGAAAAAAACGGTAGGGTCGGCGTATATTATTAGGTAGGGTCGGGTGACCCGAACAAAACAATTTTTTTTTTAGGCCTAAAGCATTATAAACACAGGTTTATTAATTACTAAATTAGCACCTTTAGAAGTGTGTAACTAATAGTTCTTATTAGTTTTTATAAAATAGGAAATAAAATTATATGTTGAAAATAACAGTGTTTATTTTAAGGTTATGTTATTGTATTGTGCATACATTGTAGATATAGTAATTGACTCTGAATAAAATTTAGTAAATCTTATCATTTTGTTTTTAGCTCGACTTTTTTTTTTTTGAAAAAAAAAGTAGAGGTATTGTTATAGTCAGGTCGGCGTTGCCGTTGCCGTCCGAAAACTTGTACCTGGATCATAACTTTTTTATTTCTTGGTGTATTGTCTTCATACTTGGCCACAACAACCCTTGGGACAAGACCTTTCAGTAGACCACACTAACCTTGACCTTCATCCATAAATGACCTTGACCTTCAAGGTTAAAAGTCCAATTTTTTGCTTGTTCATGCTGTTATTGGCTGTTACTTTGTTATTTTTGAATGGATTGTCTTCAAACTTGAACATAATAATCTTCAAGGATATCCCTTAAAAATAACCAGTCAGACCTTGACCTTCACTCATCAATGACCTTGACTTAGAAGGTCAGATTATTGAAATTTTCATTTTTTTTGGCTATAATTGGCTGTAACTTTGTTATTTTTGAATGGATTGTCTTCAAACTTGAACATAATAATCTTCAAAGATAACTGTTAAAAATATACCGAAAGACCTTGACCTTCACTCATTAATGACATTGTCTTTGAAGGTCAAATTATTGAAATTTTCATTGTTTTGGCAGTAACTGACTGTAACTTTGCTATTTATATAAAATGTGTGTGTGTGTGTGTGTATATATATATATATATATATATATATATATATATATATATATATATATATATATATATATATATATATATCAAATATATATATAGACACATATATATACATGTGTATATATATATATATATATATATATCAAATATATATATATATATATATACATATATATATATGGATTTATATTCAATCAACACATTGAAAAACACATTTTCCTTTACTAATTAGTTTCATGCGCAAAACGCAATCTTCAGAAGTGTAAATGGTAGTTCTCAATAAAGGGGCGTAACTATGAAGTGTAAATGGTGGTTTCTCAATAAAGGGGCGTAACTATATTAATGCTCATTTTTTAAAGTTGCTTAATAGATATTTCCTGGAATGTCTGCAGGTTGATACAAGTTCGTTTCTTTTGTTAAGTTTAGCGTTTTCTTGTTTGCAGATAATGTAGAATTTCTCCCATAGGCACAAGTTGCATCGGTCGGAGGCTGGGTTGTAGGGTGAGGCTTGTTTTAAGATATTCCATGTTATGTTAAAGTCGATGTTTTCTTCTTTGAGTTCCCAGATATATTTACTTAATTCAGTGCTGTTTTTAAGTTTAGGATTTCTAAATGATGCTTTGTGGTTTGTAAATCGGGTTTTAAAGGTATTTTCTGTTAATCCTACATAAGTTTGTTTAGGCTTGTCGTCGTTTGTTTCCACTGTAGCTCTATATACAACCGATTTCACCAAACATCGTCCTGACATGGGGCAATCTATTATTTTGATATAGCAACACCAATCTACCAAAGGTCTATTACAAATAGTGGATATAAACACCAACTTAAATACTCAAATGAAGAAAAGACTGACAACGGTACCAAGAATCGCAAAAACAGAAGCAGAAATATAATCTGGTATAACCCACCATATAGTAAAAATGTAGAAACCAACATTGGAAAAACGTTTCTGAAAATACTAGACGAAGAATTTCCCAAAGAACACTTGCTACACAAAATATTCAATAGAAACACAGTCAAATTAAGTTATAGTTGCATGAACAATATAAAAAACATAATCGACGGACATAACAAAGCTATTCTTTCCAAAGAAATAGTAAAAAAAATCAGCCTAAAACATGCAATTGTAGGAAAATAATAGATTGCCCCATGTCAGGACGATGTTTGGTGAAATCGGGTTGTATATAGAGCTACAGTGGAAACAAACGACGACAAGCCTAAACAAACTTATGTAGGATTAACAGAAAATACTTTAAAACCCGATTTACAAACCACAAAGCATCATTTAGAAATCCTAAACTTAAAAACAGCACTGAATTAAGTAAATATATCTGGGAACTCAAAGAAAGAAAACATCGACTTTAACATAACATGGAATATCTTAAAACAAGCCTCACCCTACAACCCAGCCTCCGACCGATGCAACTTGTGCCTATGGGAGAAATTCTACATTATCTGCAAACAAGAAAACGCTAAACTTAACAAAAGAAACGAACTTGTATCAACCTGCAGACATTCCAGGAAATATCTATTAAGCAACTTTAAAAAATGAACAGTATTAATATAGTTACGCCCCTTTATTGAGAAACCACCATTTACATTTCATAGTTACGCCCCTTTATTGAGAACTACCATTTACACTTCTGAAGATTGCGTTTTGCGCATGAAACTAATTAGTAAAGGAAAATGTATTTTTCAATGTGTTGATTGAATATAAATCCATACATACAGCTCTGGGATACCATCGAGCACTCTGTCTAGGGTTTGTACTGACTTTTAGTGTTATTGGATTTACATATATATATATATATATATATATATATATATATATATACATATATATATATATATATATATATATATATATATATATATATATACATATATATACATTGTTGCTATTTTTAGAAATTGCGTCATTTTTTTTCTATTTTTAGAAATTGCGTCATTTTTTTCTATTTTTAGAAATTGCGTCATTTTTTTCTTTTTTTAGAAATTGCGTCATTTTTTTTCTATTTTTAGAAATTGCGTCATTTTTTTTCTATTTTTAGAAATTGCGTCATTGTTGCTATTTTTAGAAATTGCGTCATTTTTTCTATTTTTAGAAATTGCGTCATTTTTTTTCTATTTTTAGAAATTGCGTCATTGTTGTTATTTTTAGAAATTGCGTCATTTTTTCTATTTTTAGAAATTGCGTCATTTTTTTCTATTTTTAGAAATTGTGTCATTTTTTCTATTTTTAGAAATTGTGTCATTTTTTTCTATTTTTAGAAATTGTGTCATTGTTGCTATTTTTAGAAATTGCGTCATTTTTTCTATTTTTAGAAATTGCATCATTGTTGCTATTTTTAGAAATTGCGTCATTTTTTTATTTTTAGAAGTTATGTCATTTTTTTCTATTTTTAGAAATTGCGTCATTTTTTTCTATTTTTAGAAATTGCGTCATGTTGCTATTTTAAGAAATTGCGTACTGTTGCTATTTTTAGAAATATGCTTAATGTTTCTATTCATAAATATACAAAATATATAAACAAAACTAATGTGACAAGACAGACCAACTAAATTTATAAAAAGGAAACGTCAATATATGTTCAAACCTTTCTATGTTTGCGTTTAGAAAAAGTAAAAAGTCGAGCGTTGCCCCCGCCCGGCGGTGGCTCTTGTTATCTGTTTTTCATACATTGATACATATTTGGTAAATTTTATTTGAACAAGAATGTCATTTTTAAATAAAATTTCTTAATCATAAATTTCAAAAAACAAATATTCTCTCAATGTCTATCATGCAAATTTATATGATAATGAGTTATCTGTCATCTGTAGCTGAAAAAAAACTCGCACAATTTGCAACAATACCAAACTTTTGCACCACTATAAAACAACAATGCAGACTTCAACTCGTATTTGTTGGAACTTAATAACATTTGATCATTGACAGGGACAACTGTATCTGATTTAAACTCGTCGCTAGAACTTTTAAAACCCAGAGAAGGAACATCATTGTGGTAACTCACGGTCACTGTTGAAGGATTTCCCATTAGTACTTGCAGTTTCATTCGCCGTTACCGTTTCAGAAGTACAACTCTTTTCCGAGAGAGTCGCTTGCGTAAACATTAAATCATTTTTTCTGTTTTTATCAGTGCTTTTTTAACGTTTGAAACATTTTGATTTACTTTCACTTTCTAAGGTCGTCGGTATCGTAAGACGCTCGATAAACTTATACTAAGAAATCAAGCGTCTACTTAACACGTGGGTTGTTTAGACGCCGGCTATTTGCTTAATTTTACGTTCCCCCAAAGATCGATTTTTAAAAAAAAAATTTTAAGTTTTCGATTGGGAATTTTTGTATCAAAATTGGGAAAAAAACATACTATTTTCAATTGGGAATATGACCGAATAACGGCTATAAAATCGGCCAAAAAAAAACCCTGAATTGAAAATTTTTTTATTTTTTCATTATGAATATTTCTATCAGTTTGAGTCAATAGTGTTTTTCACACATTAAAACAGAGAACAGAAATGGAATCTACACCAAAAATTCTATAAGATTGCCAAGTTTGAATACACTATCTGAAAAATTAAAAAAGTTGTGAAATTTTGAATAAAAAATTTTTGCTTTGTTCGGGTCCGCAAATTCGCATCATTTTTCTATATAATATATCGGTACAATGTTCCAGAAAATCATGACATTTCACAAACAAAAATTTTAGCTGGGGTTGCTAATTCTCTCCCTTACTAGTCTTATAAATATGATATCACTTTGAGATATTTTTGCTTCTGTGCAAATCAACGTCCTATCGAAATTGCTCAAAAACCCATAGCATGTTTCGCCAGAAAGTCAGGCTGAACGACAGGCTTTGGGAAACTGCTGAAAATTTTGCCTGACATTCGGTCAGACAAACTTTCAATTCTTGTCTGACCGAAAGAACTTTTGTCTGACCGGATTTTTTCCCCAAATATATGTATATGGTAATACCTTTATGTTTTTTTTAAGACATAGCAACTTTTAAAGATTTGCAACACAATTTTATTTTCTTATATAAAACATCAGTTTATCCAGATTGATGGACTCTGTCTGGAAATCGAAACATTCATGATCAAAATCATCATCATCATTCACCATGAGCAGCCATTTTTCCATATACCCACAAATTTTCTGGGCGGGCGCCTGGACTCGTATTCCTTTTGTTTTGCTTTATTTTTCTGCATTAGATAGTTTACGTTTTTTGCCTGGCGTAGCGCCATCGTAATAAGGCCTAAAAAAGAGGAAGGACGGACGGACGGACGTTCTCACAGGACAGTAATTATGTGGCTAGAGGAACAATATAATGTTCTTTCACTTTGATGTCATTCATTTCATAATGCTTTTATATGGCTATTTTCTTTTGTGTGGCTAAAAAGAACAATAGAGTAGCCACATAATTACAAAGTGACAGGGTGAGCTTTTGTGATCGCTTTTAGTCCGGCGTCCGTCCGTTGTGACCGTCCGTAAACTTTTACTTTAAATAACATCTCCTCATAAACCACTATGCCAATTTCATCAGGAATGTTCCTTTGGTGGTCACCTTTAAAAATTGTTCAAAGAATTTAATTCCATGCAGAACTCTGGTTGCCATTGCAACGGAAAGAAAAACTTTAAATATCTTCTTTAAAAAAGCCCTGGGGTCAAAATTGGTCCCGCCCCAGGGGGTCATTGATTGTCCTTATATGCACATAGTAAAAACTTAAAAAATCTTCTTTTAAAGAACTCAAAGAGCTAGAGCTAAGATATTAATCATGAAACATGTTCTAATGGGTGTCTTCCAAGTTTGTTCAAATGAAAGCCCTGGGGTCAAAATTGGCCCCGCCCCGCCCCAGGGGGTCATTGATTTTATATGTATAAAGCAAAAACTTAAAAAATCTCTTTTGAAAAAAGCCAAATAGCTACAGTTTAGATATTAAGCATGAAACATCTTCTAGTGAGTGTCTACAAAGTTTGTTCAAATAAAAGCCCTGGGGTCAAAATTGGCCCGGCCCCGGGGGTCATTGATTTTCCTTATTTGTGTATAGCAAAAACTTAAAACTCTGTGAAAAAACCGAAATAGGTAGAGTTTAGATATTAAGTATGAAACATCTTCTAGTTAGTGTCTACAAAGTTTGTTCAAATAGAAGCCCTGGGTTCAAAACTTGCATCGCCCTTGTGGTGTCATTGTTTTAAACTATATGTGTATAGTAAAAACTTTAAAAAGCTTCTTTGAAAAAACCCAATGAGCTCAGAGCTTAGATGTTAAGCATGAAACATCTTCTTATGAGTGTCTACCAAGTTTGTTCAAATAAAAGCCCTTGGACTAAAATTGGCCCTGCCAAGGAGGGGGGGGTGGTGGCCTTACAGGTGAGCGACCTCAGGGCCATCATGGCCCTCTTGTTTTAGAAAAAACTTTTACAAATAAAATACTTACTCAGTGTGAAACAATACAAAACATGATCTGTTAAGTCAGACTTCCAGAGTATACTGGAACTCAATTTAGGATAAGCAGCAAAATTATCAGGGCTTTCATTTTCAAAATTTGGAAGTCAATTCAAAGACTTTAAAATCTCTGATATTGGAAGTCACATTATATAGGTAAAGTAGGAAAAGTATTAGATTTTGGAAGTCACAAGCCAAAATGAAGGAGGAAATGACTCCCAAACTTCCACTAGTGGAAGCCCTGAAATTATTTTATATTGTAGGAGTCAATAGTTACATAAGTCTTGGACTTGTTTTCAAATCCTCTTCTGAATTTAATAAAGTTAAGAATTTTTAAGCGTTGTTTATCATTAACTTATAATGTCTAATGATTATCCTTATCAAGTAAACTATTCATTAATTCAGAGCTACAGATACAGTGATTTTTTTCACTGTATTTTACAGCCGAATAAAGGCTGTTTCCCCTAGCCCAAAATAGATATATTTTCCCCTGAAAATGCTAATATTTTCCCCTAAAATGCCTCGTGCTCTTCCTAACAAGAATGATGACTTAACAGCAGCTGACTAATATATCAGCTAGAAGACAGAAATTTGTCCCTATAGACAGCCTCTGCTATGTACAATGCATGTTAAATTGAATTGAAATTATTATTTTTTCATAAAATGTTTGGGAAAATTTCATTTTCAGTTTTTGGAATTTGATTTCAGGTTTCCCCCTTTTTTGTTTTATGGCGCTATATTTTCCCCTTCAGAAAGCCACAGGTTGTTTTGAAAATTGGAAAAAAAATCACTGAGATAAGCTTTTATGTTAATTGGGTATGTACCCCTGGACTTGACACAATTGGGTAACACAGAAACAAAATTGGTTAGGCCATCCTTAAAAAAATGTTTGTTTGCAGTAACGCTACCGACTCACAAAATTTGCCCCTACTCAAATTTTTTTTTCATGGTCTGGATAATAAAATTTTTCTTTTGAATCGGAAAATTATGTCTTGTGCTTTGTTTTCGTTCTTTTAAAGGTTAATAGAAGAAATAAAATGTTATTAAATTAGAATTCAGTTATCAATTTATTAATTGTTACCAGATTATCAAAGCATATATTGTCCAGCATTTTGAAATTCCATGTTTATTTGTGAGTACAGTTCAATAAAAAAAAAAAAATCGACCTACCTACCCACCTTGAAAATTCTGGGTCGGGTTACTGCAAACAAACATTTTTTTAAGGATGGCCTTATCATTGAAAAATTTATTAATTTATAGAAATAGTCTCCTTCCATCCGTCCAACATTTTTGTCCAAAGCATATATGCCTCTGTTCAAATAATTGTTATCAATGTACAAGTCCGAGTTCAGACACTGTTCAATGGCTATTCTCACTCTCATTTCTTCTTGTGCGCTTTCATTGCCAAATAACAATATGCTACCTGTTCTAGGCAAACAGTTGCCGTCCGCCGTAACATTTACTGGCAACATCCCTCCAAGGCCTAGGAACTTCAAACTTGGTATGGTGATTGGTCATGATCAGTAGATGACCCCTATTGATTTGGGGTCAAGGGGTCAAAGGTCAAGGTCACATTGACCTCTTAGGTAAAAAATGTTTCCGATCAATAATTAAAGAACCCTTAGGCCTAGGAACTTCAAACTTGGTATGGTGATTGGTTATGACCAGCCAATGACCCTGATTGATTTTAGGTTAAGGGGTCAAAAGTCAAGGTCACATTGACCTTGTGGGTAAAAACTGTTTCCGATCAATAACTAAAGAACCCCTAGGCCTAGGGACTTCAGACTTGATATGGTGATTAGTCATGATCAGTAGATGTCCCCTGTTGATTTTGGGGTCAAGGGGTCAAAGGTCAAGGTCACATTGACCTCTTAGGTAAAAACGGTTTCCGATCAATAACTAAAGAACCCTAAGGCTTAGGAACTTCAAACTTGGTATGGTGATTGGTCATGACCAGTAGATGACCCTTATTAATTTTGGGGTTAAGGGGTCAAAGGCCAAGGTCACATTGGCCTTGTAGGTAAAAACGGTTTCCGGTCAATAACTTAAGAACCCGTAGGCCTAGGAACTTCAAACTTGGTATGGTGATTGGTCATGACCAGCAGATGACCACTATTGATTTTGGGGTCAAGGGGTCAAAGGTCAAGGTCACATTGACCTTGTAGGTAAAAACGGTTTTCAATCAATTAACTAAAAACGCTTAGGCCAAGGAACTTCAAACTTTGTATGATGATTGGTCATTGCCAGCAGATGACCCCTATTGATTTTGGGGTCAAGGGTTCCAAGGTCAAGGTCACATTGACCTTGTACTTAATGACGGTTTCTGACCAATAACTCAACAACTCAAGTTGTCTTGGTTGATATTTTTATATTAAACTAAAATGCTTTTGGTATACACATTTGAAGGTCTTATGTAATATAACAACTTGGCTGTCATGATTCATAAAATTTATGCATATATTATTTGGTAAGATTTGAAATAACTTAAATTGCTGCACACAACCTATGGGGTCATAATAAGTATTACCTTGTGACTAGTCATGACCAGTAGATACTAGATAACCCTTATTAATTGTTTGTTCACTGGGTCAGAAGTCATGCATAATAACCTGATCACATGACTAATTGGCTGCCGATAGGGGGCAAACATGTTTTACAAACATATCTTGTTTCAGTATGAAGGGCTGAGCTTACTTCTTTCAGTTTTGCAAATCCTTCTGATCCTGATAGTTCCATTATGGTTAATAATGAACTGAAATACTGCTGACGTTCATTTTCTGCATTTGATGTTTCTGATCGTCCTCTTGTTTTACCTGTCTGTGGTTTTTCGTCTGATTGTTTCACTGTTTTACCTTTCTTTGGTTTTTCTTCTGATTGTCTTGTTTTACCTGTCTGTGGTTTTTCTTCTGATTGTTTCACTGTTTCACCTTTCTTTGGTTTTTCTTCTGATTGTCTTGTTTTACCTGTCTGTGGTTTTTCTTCTGATTGTTTCACTGTTTTACCTTGCTTTGGGTTTTCTTCTGATTGTCTTGTTTTACCTGCCTTTGGTTTCTCTGATGTGGACTTCTTTGATTCATCACCTGCTTGAGTTTTACTTGACTTTGTTTGTTCTACGAGGGTCGTCTCTTTATACGAGTTCACATACTTTGAATTCAAACAATCAGGGTTGCCAGCTTCACACTTTATGCAAAAACACGACAGATTTCGAGCCTTGAAAGTGTTTCTGGTTTGAAGATTCAATACTTGGTGGATTTTTCTAGTGTCCTGCACAGTCTGTGCTTTCATTATACCAGGTCTCTCTCTGTCTATTTCCCCTAATTTCACTAAATGAAATGTTCTTTTTGAAAACGGCGAGTCTGATTCTAAATTTTTCTTACAGTATTGGTACAGATCTTCTGCATCATTTATAACCGTCTGATTAGCTACAATAGCTCTGTCAATACACCGATTCACAACACCGGTTTCAGCGTCACATTCACTTTTTCCGTGTTCAGAACCATAGTAATTTCGATTGATAACATCACTTGAATCTGCCAATTCAGCAAACGGTCCCTTGGACTTATACTGACAGCTACATCCATCGCTAAAGATGACTTTCCTGTTTGGTTTGCAGCCTCCAAGTTTCTCTTCAAGTTCAATATCAACTATCTCCTGAAAATGCTGAACTGCATAATAATCATGGCCGTTATCCTCTGAGATCACTATACTTGAATTTCTTACTAAACCAGTGTCTGCCTTGTAAAATGTGATGATTGGGTGCATTGTAATTTGGCCAGCTGTATAGAATGCTCCCTTGATTTCATCTTGATATTTGATTTCTCTATTCTTTGCAAAGTCCATGACTTGTAAAATGTCACAAGTGGGAAGTTGATTCTTGATTTGATTGAACTGAGCAATTTGCCAATGTGCTGTGTGAATGTGTTGGAAATAGCTAATTGCTTGAACTGGTCTCTTAAGAACTCCTTCAAGCATGCCTGCTTGTTGCCTTGCTTTGTCACAACCACTCTATTTGGCCATCATGTTTTGGGCAGAGCAAAATATCTAGAACATCAGTTTCACGTGTTTTTTTTCCTGTCCTTGTCAACAACAGCTCTACTCAAGCAAAGCATTTTGTAAAGTACATTGACGCAATAAACACAACAACAAAATTCCCTATCAGAAACACTCAATAGACGAACATTCTTTGTCCGCAATGCAGAGAACTTGCCAAGGCTCACACGTTTTGTTGGATTTTCAGCTAGATATTTAGAATGTGCTGCTTTTAGAGATACTTGCATCGCATACCCAGGTCCATCCTTTGTTGTGTATCTCTTCCCTGGCAAGACTCTTGAAATATCTTCCCGAAGAAAAATTGTCTGAATTGAATTTCTATCAACGTGAGATTTTCTTTTCATGATAGAACCTTTTTTATGTGCGATATGTCCTGCTCTATATTTTTTTACTAAATGCTCAGCGACAATGACAGAAGAAGCCTTCGAACTTTTCAACATCAGTCTGTTTAATAGCTAGTACCTTTCTGGCATATTGCACACTTGTAGTTGACTTTGAAATTTTCAGCTGTTTTAGAGCTTCGACTTTCCTTGGTGATGCTTTGGACAGCAAATTATCCACAACTTTCGCAAATTTTGTTGGTGATTTAGGTATACTTTTCCTTACTTTTGATGTTATATTGTACTCTGTTTTTTTAGACGCAAACGGACTTCCTGTTGATGTTGATAAAATTTCCTTTAGTTTCGCTGCTTCTTTTCTATTTATCTTTTTTCTTTCTCTGTCCTTCTTTCTAATCCACATCTTTTTTTGCCACGACATTTCCTGTCTTTCTTTTCTTTTCTTTTGTCTATTGTACTCCCTTCTTGTTTCAATAATGTTCCTAGTTTGAGGTTTAGCCTTTGTACTAGGTGTTGAACTTTGGATGCTTATCCCTTGTTCTTTCTTTCTCTCCATATACCTGTGAATAAGTTTAAACAAGAGCTATTTATAAATACTTACATTGCTAAACATGTGTTAATAATGGTTTCGAAAGATTTGTACTAGTGACCAAGTATGATCCAGTTTCGAAATTGACCTAGATTTCATTGACACAAACAATTTGAAATAAGAGATCACAGAGTGATCTTGATGCCCACCATAGACCCATTTGTGGATGTTCCAAATTTTATCAAATCATTAAAGGCAATTCGGCGATCTTTTAATCCGTTCTATATGTCTAGATTACATTTTCATATGACGCAGCTAAGTGAATTTTTGTCATGTGTTGTGATCCATTTCAGTGTTTAATATTCTATGAAATGTACTAAATTCAATGCTAGATTTTACCGACCTTTTTTGTCTGCGTCTGCATCTCATTTTGATGTGCTTTTTTGGCTTTAGATTGCTCATTTCCTTTTTAGCTCACCTGTCACAAAGTGACAGGGTGAGCTTTTGTGATCGCTTTTCGTCCGGCGTCCGTCCGTCCGTCGTCCGTCCGTCGTCCGTCCGTAAACTTTTGCTTTAAATGACATCTCCTCATAAACCACTGAGCCAATTTCATCCAAACTTCACAGGAATGTTCCTTTGGTGGTCACCTTTAAAAATTGTTCAAAGAATTTAATTCCATGCAGAACTCTGGTTGCCATGGCAACCGAAAGAAAAATCTTTAAATATCTTCTTTTTAAACAACCCTAAGAGCTAGAGCTTAGATATTTGGCATGAAACATCTTCTAATGAGTGTCTACCAAGTTTGTTCAAATAAAAGCCCTGGGGTCAAAATTGCCCCGCCCCCGGGGGGTCATTGATTTTCCCTATATGCATATAGTAAAAACTTAAAAGATCTTCTTTTAAAGAACTGTAAGAGCTAGAGCTAAGATTTTTGGCATGGAACATCTTCTAGTGAGTGTCTACCAAGTTTGTTCAAATAAAAGCCCTGGGGTCAAAATGGCCCCGCCCGGGGGGTCATTGATTTTCCCTATATGCATATAGTAAACACTTAAAAAATCTTCCTTTAAAGAACTGTAAGAGCTAGAGCTTAGATATTTGGCATGAAACATCTTCTAGTGAATGTCTACCAAGTTTGTTCAAATAAAAGCCCTGGGGTCAAAATTGGCCCGTCCCAGGGGTCATTGATTTTCCTATATGCATAAAGTAAAAACTTAAAAAAATCTTCTTTTAAAGAACCCAAAGAGCTAGAGCTTAGATATTTGGCATGAAACATCTTCTAGTGAATGTCTACCAAGTTTGTTCAAATAAAAGCCCTGGGGTCAAAATTGGCCCCGCCCTGGGGGTAATTGATTTTCCCTATATGCATATAGTTTAAACTTAAAAAATCTTCTTTTAAAGAACTGTAAGAGCTAGAGCTTAGATATTTGGCATAAAACATCTTCTAGTAAATGTCTACCAGGTTTGTTCAAATAAAAGCCCTGGGGTCAAAATTGGCCCCGCCCCAGGGGGTCATTGATTTTCCCTATATGCATATAGTAAAAACTTAAAAAATCTTCTTTTAAAGAACTGTAAGAGCTAAAGCTTATATATTTGGCATGAAACATCTTCTAGTGAATGTCTACCAAGTTTGTTCAAATAAAACCCCTGGGGTCCAAATTGGCCCCTTTTCGTCCGGCGTCCGTCCGTCCGTCGTCCGTCCGTAAACTTTTGCTTTAAATGACATCTCCTCATAAACCACTGAGCCAATTTCATCCAAACTTCACAGGAATGTTCCTTTGGTGGTCACCTTTAAAAATTGTTCAAAGAATTTAATTCCATGCAGAACTCTGGTTGCCATGGCAACCGAAAGAAAAATCTTTAAATATCTTCTTTTAAACAACCCTAAGAGCTAGAGCTTAGATATTTGGCATGAAACATCTTCTAATGAGTGTCTACCAAGTTTGTTCAAATAAAAGCCCTGGGGTCAAAATTGGCCCCGCCCCCGGGGGGTCATTGATTTTCCCTATATGCATATAGTAAAAACTTAAAAGATCTTCTTTTAAAGAACTGTAAGAGCTAGAGCTAAGATTTTTGGCATGGAACATCTTCTAGTGAGTGTCTACCAAGTTTGTTCAAATAAAAGCCCTGGGGTCAAAATTGGCCCCGCCCCGGGGGGTCATTGATTTTCCTATATGCATATAGGAAACACTTAAAAAATCTTCCTTTAAAGAACTGTAAGAGCTAGAGCTTAGATATTTGGCATGAAACATCTTCTAGTGAATGTCTACCAAGTTTGTTCAAATAAAAGCCCTGGGGTCAAAATTGGCCCCGCCCCAGGGGGTCATTGATTTTCCCTATATGCATAAAGTAAAAACTTAAAAAATCTTCTTTTAAAGAACCCAAAGAGCTAGAGCTTAGATATTTGGCATGAAACATCTTCTAGTGAATGTCTACCAAGTTTGTTCAAATAAATATGCTGAAAACACAATTCTAAGTTAGTTTGTGAAAACACAGTTCTAAGTTTTTTGCCGCCTTTAACAGGACACGTGCCTGGATAGGAGATTTTGTTGACGACCTCAAGTAGTGTAGACGTTAAACAAGAAGGTAAATCAAAAGGATGACATTCAGAACTTAAAAGCTGTCAAAAGCTGACGTTCACAACATTAATGGTAACAATTGTTTGTACAATGGGTTAATAAGTTTCAAAATTAACTCTGGTGTTAAGCAAAACGCTAAAACTTTCAAATCATAAAATAAGTGGCCCTATCTACAAGATTAAACAAGTTTATTTGATTTTGTCTGTCAAAATGACTTTAGCAACTTCAAAAGAAATGACGTTCGCCTCCTTTGTCTGTCATGATTATGACGTTCATTCATGCGCATGGCTGTTTTTCAAAATTAACAGAACCTATCTAAGCGATCATCTGTTGCCCGGGAATCAAATGCATTTCTGACCTCAAATACAAAATGTCAGTGCCACAAAATGACTGGAATCGATAGAACACAACATCTTTGGAGAACGTCATTAGTTGCGAACATAAAATAAAGTTGACAGACACGATTAAACTTCAAAATACCAACCTAAATATTTCAGTTTCTACCCGCCCGCCATTTTTAAGCATTCGGTTTACTTCGGTGTTTACCTCAATGAACCCAATCAGAATGAATCAACGGAAAGTAACCCTCTAAGACAGTGCGCGATAGGTCGAACGTCACTAAAAAAAATTGACGGAAATTATGTTCGCAAATTATTTTTTTAGAAATTCGTACGAAAGTCGTACAAAAACTATCGATGGTGGCATTTTTTAACAAGGACTAGTTGTATCTATCTAACTAAGATAGCCTCATTAAACATTTGTGCTTACAAGCTTGAGTTTCTTCACATTTTGCAAACGTCACTCGATTGACAGATGTGCAGTACGATACGTACCAAAAATGAAATCCATAAAATTTCTTTCATTAATCAAACTAAACAGCAGGAGATGTTATTTTTAGCTCATCTGTGGTCAAGGTGAGGTATAGTGATGGGGCCATGTCCGAGCTGTCGTCGTGCGTCGTCAACAATTGGGTTGTTAACAGTCTAGCAGTCACAGTTTTGATTGGATCATCATCAAACTTTGTCAGAATGTTTGTCTCAATGAAATACAGATCGAGTTCGAAGATGGGTTATCTCGGGCAAAATCTAGGTCACAGGAGCTAAAAATAGAAAAAGCTTGTTAACACTCTAACAATTGGGTTGTTAACAGTCTAGCAGTCACAGTTTTGATTGGATCATCATCAAACTTTGTCAGAATGTTTGTCTCAATGAAAGACATATCGAGTTCGAAGATGGGTTATCTTGGGTCAAAAACTAGGTCACAGGAGCTAAAAATAGAAAAAGCTTGTGAACACTCTAGTGGCTGTAGTTTTCGTCTAAATATTCCGGCAATTTGTCAAGAAGGTTGTTTTGACGATATCTAAGTTAAGTTTGAAATGGGTCATCTCCGGTCAAAAACTAGGTCACAGTAGCTAAAAATAGAAAAGCTTGTTAACAGATTAGGGGCTGCAGTTTTCATCCAAATATTCTGGAAATTTGTCAGGAAGGTTGTTTTGATGATTTCTAGGTCAAGTTTGAAGATGGGTTATCTTCTGTCAAAAACTAGGTCACAGGAGCTAAAAATAGAAAAAGCTTGTAAACACTCAAGTGGCTGCAGTATTGATTCAAATATTCTGGAAATTTGTCAGGAAGGTTGTTTTGATGATTTCTGGGTCAAGTGCTAAGATTGGTCATGTCCGGTCAAAAACAAGGTCACAGGAGCTTAAAATAGAAAAATCTTTTTAACACTCTAGTGGCTGCAGTTTTGATCCAAATTTCCTGGAAATTGGTTAGGAAGGTTGTTTTGATGATTTCTAGGTCAAGTTTGAATATGGGTTGTGTCCGGTCAAAAATTAGGTCACATTGCCCAAATGTGGAAAAATCTTTATAACACACTAGAGGTCACATGTTTTGACTCAGTTGTCATCAAACTTGGCCATGATGCTTGTTTAAGACATTGCTTGGATTTGGTTGTGTCAGGTGAGCAATTCAGGGCCATCATGGCCCTCTTGTTTATTATTGAAAAGTATTTATATCAATAATAAACCGTACTTACCTTGGATTTTGGTCTTTGAATTGAAAAAATATACCAGGTAATTAACATGGTGTAAACGCCGGGACATAAATTGTGTCAAAGTGACAACGGATGTGCTATTAAGGGTGTAACGGTTTACCGGTATACCGATATATTGCAATATGAAAAAATAAATTTCGTACCGCGGTATGATTTTTGGAAAACCGGTATTTTATAAAAATCATAATTTTCAATTAATTGCCCTCTATATTTGTACAAATTTCACATAAAATCTTTAATTGGCGAATTTTATTGGCGCCAACGTAAGGTAAAAGTATCCGACAACTAGTACACTTAATAATCAATTAGCGGCCGCATAATTTACATAGGCGGCCCAAATGTGAAAGGTCACACGGGACTAGTTTTGTTTATCAAATTGTGTGACACTTTACTTTCTATTTATTCCTTACATTTTTATTAAGTTTCTAGTAAAAACATATACATACAATGTATAATAATAATATATAATGTTACTCCATCTTTACATCAAAACATATACACGACAATACGTATTGCAATATATTGCAATACGCTTCGGCAAAATGGCAATATATTGCAATACGGTTTTTTCCGTATTGTTACACCCCTATGTGCTATACATTTGCAGTTTTTTCCCTCAAAATGTCAGATTTATGGAATTTAAACAATTTTTTTTTAAGAACTATTTTCAATATTCTAATTCACTAGGCCTAGTAAATGAAGATACATTACAAGGTCGTTTAAATTTTTAAGCTAAAAAAAATTGACGGACAAAATGACGTTTTCACAAGTTTTAAATGGAATCTGTCATATCTCAAAAAGTATTTGAGGTATCAACTAGAAACTTCATAGGTGGATAGACCACATTTAGGAGGAGTGCAGTGCACTTGTAAGAATGATAACTCTACCCTGCATAATTTTTGAGTTATTGCCCTTGGTTATTTTTCAAAATTAATTTTTGTCAAGAGCATAACTCAAAAGGCCTTTGAGACATCAATATGAAACTTCATAGGTGCATAGTTCACACTCAGGAGGTGTGCAGTGCACAAGAATGATAACTCTACCTTTCCAGGGCGGCAGGATGCCAAAATGCCTGTCTCAAATGCATTATGGGCCGCTTCAAAATTAAGAAAACACTCTTTGTTAAGCATGATAAAGACAGAAATGACCGCCTCAAGTTCAAAACAAACCTTCTGCAAAAAATGTTAATGACAACCCTGCCTTTCTATTTTTGAGTTATGGCCCTTTGTTATTTTTCATACTTAATTTTTCACCCGAGTGGAGCATAACTCGAAAGTGTTTGAGATGTCAACATGAAATGTCATAGGTGGATAGATCTTATTGAGGAGGAATGCTGTGTGCAAGAATGATAACTCTTCCCTATATAATTTTTGAGTTATAGCCCTTTGTTCTTTTTCATACTATTTTGTCCGGAGCTTATCACAAAAAGAATTTGCAGTATCAACTTGAAACTTCATAGGTGGATAGATTTTAATGAGGAGGAGTGCAGCACACAAGAATGATAACCTACTCTGCATTATTATCCCCCGCGGATGGAATCGGGAGGGTGATATAGTTTTGGCATTGTCCGTCCTTCCAATCGTCCGTCCGTCCGAATTTCATTTCCGGACTAGTTCTCTGCAACTAATGGCTGAAATTCAAAGAAACTTTATGGAAATCATCAATATCAAGAGGAGATGTGCATATGTCGGCTTGTTCCGGTCCAACACTTTAACTCAGAGTTATGGCCCTTGATTAGTTATGCAATATGCATATAGAGTAAAAATCGTTTCCACGCTACTTCTCTGCAACTACTGGCTGGAATTCAACGAAACTTTATGGGAACCTTCAATATCAAGAGGGGATGTGCATATCGTAAGCTTGTTTCGGTCCGACACTTTAAACTCAGAGTTATGGCCTTTGATTAGTTATGCAGTATGCATATAGAGTAAAAATTGTTTCCATGCTACTTCTCTGGAACTACTGGCTGGAATTCAACGAAACTTTATGGGAACCTTCAATACCAAGAGGAGATGAGCATATTGTCGCCTTGTTCCGGTCAGACTCTTTAACTAAGAGTTATGGCCCTTGATTAGTTATGGTTATGCATAGAGAAAATCGTTTTCATGCTACTTCTCTGCAACTACTGGCTGGAATTCAACAAAACTTTATGGTCGCCTTCAATACCAACAGGAGAGGCGCATAGCGTTACCTTGTTTGGGTCAGACACCTTAACTCAGAGTTATGGCCCTTGATTAGTTATGCAGTATGCATATAGAGCAAAAATGGTTTCCGCGCTACTTCTCTGCAACTACTGGCTGGAATTCAACAAAACTTTATGGTCGCCTTCAATACCAAGAGAAGATTCCGCATATCATTGCCTTGTTGGGGTCAGACATTTTAACTCAGAGTTGTGGCCCTTGATTAGTTATGCAGTATGCATATAGAAAAATATTCGTTTCTGCGCTACTTCTCTGCAACTACTGGCTGGAATTCAATGAAACTTTATTGGAACCTTCAATACCAAGAGGAGATGGGCATATCATCGCCTTGTTTGGGTCAGACATTTTAACTTAAGAGTTATGGCCCTTGATAACTTATGCAGTATACAACCAGAGCAATAATCATTTCCCTTGATAACTTATGCAGTATACAACAATTGTTTCCGTGCTACTTCTCTGTAACTTAACTGGCTGGAATTCAATGAAACTTTATGGGATGAGTGGCCTTGTTCCTGTCGGACACTTATAACTCAGATTTATGGCCCTTGATTAGTTATGCAGTATGCATACATCTCATTGGCATTTCCAGATATTACTATTTAACACAGAGTTATGGCTCTGTTATTCCCCTGAATATTTATCAAGTTCAAAGAATATTACTGTTTATGCCATGATAAATATATAAATAAAGGCTTATGTCTTCAGTTGTTGCGCTAGTAATAACCAGTACTCGGCGGGGGATATAAATTCAATGAATTTGCTTGTTTTTCAGTTATTGCCCTTTGTTATTTTCAACCATCAGTATTCATATAGGTTTCAAATCTGTAATCACTTCAGCCATCAGTTTTCATTACCAAAAGACCTCTTAAAATTGAATTATTCTGCTCTACTACATATACATTCTTCCAATGAGCAAACACATTTAGCAGGGGATGGTCATGTTGACATGGCTCTTGTCTGTAAAAAAAATTGATATTTGCATAACCAGTCTACTCAGCATCTCTCTGTAAACCAATGGAAAAAGAAAGTACAGAAAAGGAAATAGGCTATTTCGGATTTGTTTGGCTGAATTCGCCAGGCAAATAAGGGTCCAAGATATTGGAAATACGCTACAGAATTGAAACAAATTGGGTACAAGCCTTTGATTTGCATTTTTATTACTCAAAGATTTTATTGAAATTGGGTAAATTGGTCAAAATTATTAGGTTATTACGCAGATACCCTGCTTATCTGTAGCTCTGTTAATAATTTTCAATGGCTTAACACATTAATTATGCCCCCCCCCCCCCCTTCAAAGAAGTGGGGGGTATATTGCTTTGCATTTGTCGTTCCGTAGACCAAAAGGTTTCCGAGTGATAACTAAAGAACACTTAGGTCTAGGAACTTCAAACTTGGTATGATGATTGTTCATGACCAGTAAATGACCCTTATTGATTTGGGGGCCAAGGGGTCAAAGGTCAATGTCACATTGAATTGACCTTGTAGGTAAAAATGGTTTCCAAGTGATAACTTAAGAACGCTTAGGCCTAGGAACTTCAAACTAAAAATGGTATGACGATTGTTCATGACCAGTAAATGACCCCTATTGATTTTGGGGTCAATGGGCCAAAGGTCAAGGTCACACAGACTTTGTTACTAAGGTAAAGACAGTTTCTGATTGATAACTAAATAACGCTTACGCCAAGAAACTTTAAACTTAGTATATTTATTGTTCATGACCAGCGGATGACCCCTATTGATTTTGGGGTCAATGGGTCAAAGGTCAAAGACACATTGACCGTATAGGGAAAAACTGTTTTCAATCAATAACTAAAGAATGCTTAGGCCTAGGAACTTAAAACCTGGTATGATGATTGTTCATGACCAGCAGATGAACCCTATTGATTTTGGTGTCAATGGGTCAAAGGTCAAGGTCTCATGACCTTGAAAGTAAAAAGGTGTCTGATCAATAACTAAAGAACGCTTAGACCGAGGAACTTTAAACTGTCTTGGTATGATGATTGTTCATGACCAGCAGATGACCCCTATTGATTTTGGGGTTGAGGGGACACAGGTCAAGGTCACATTGCAGGGCACCGGTTTGGTCATTTTTGGGGCCGAATATGGGTACCATTCCCCTCTCAAAATCATGTATATTTTTATATGCCCGAAAGGACATATTATGTTATACCCCCTGGCGTCCGTCTGTCTGTCAGTCCGTCCGTCCGAGCAAACATTTTGGGTTTAGGGACTATATAACAGTAAAGAGTACAGAAGAGAACAATAGGTATATTCTGTGATCAAAGGGTTTAGGGGCTAGTAGCCCTTAAGAAAACAAAGAAAATAACAAAGAAAATAGCCCCTAAAGCCAAAATGTTGGAACGTCCTTCCATCCGTTAGCAATTTGGTTTCCGGAGCATAACTTAAGTTCCATTTGGCCCACAATGTTCAAACTTCATAGGATGATTGTCCATATTGGGTAGAAGACCCCGATTGATTTTGGGGTCAGAAGGTCAATGTCACAATTACCTTAAAATTGAAAACAGTTTCCAAAGCATAACTTAAGTTCCATTTGACCCTTAGTGTTCAAACTTCATAATGTAGGATGATTGTTCATATTGGTAGAAGACCCCTTTTGATTTTGGGGTCACAAGGTCAAAGGTCAAGGTCACTATTACCTTGATACTGAAAATAGTTTCCAGAGCATAACTTAAGTTCCATTTGACCCACAATATTCAAACTTCATAGGATTATTGTCCATATTGTGTAAAAGACCCCTATTGATTTTTGGGTCAAAAGGTCAAGGTCACTATCACCTTAAAATTTAAAACAGTTTCCCGAGCATAACTTAAATTCCATTTGACCCAATATTCAAACTTCATAGGATGATTGTCCATATTGGGTAGGATACCCCTATTGATTTTGGGGTCACAAGGTCAAGGTCACTATTACCTTTATACTGAAAACAGTTTCCGAAGCATAACTTAAGTTCCATTGGGCCCACAATATTCAAACTTCATAGGATGATGTTTGTCCATATTAGGCTTAAGACCCCTATTGATTTTGGGGTCACAAGGTCAAGGTCACTATTACCTTAATACTGAAAACAGTTTCTGAAGCATAACTTAAGTTCCATTTGGCCCACAATATTCCAACTTCATAGGATGGTTGTCCATATTGGGCTTAAGACCCCAGTTTCCAGAGCATAGCGTAAGTTCCATTTGGCCCACAATATTCAAACTTCATAGTATGATTGTGCATATTGGATAGCAGACCCTTATTGATTTTTGGGTCAAAAGGTCAAGGTCACTATTGCCTTGAAATTGAAAGCAGTTTCCGCAGGATAACTAAAGTTCCATTTTGCCCACATTTTCAAACTTCATAGGATGATTGTCCATATTAGATAGAAGACCCCTATTGATGTTGGGGTCACAAGGTCAAAGGTTAAGGTCATTATTAATAACCTAAGCATTAATCAACCTACAGCTGTAAAATTCTATAGGATGAACAGCTAATTCCCATGTCTTACAAATGCTTCATCCTTACTAAAAAGAACAAAACACTTTCAAGCATATAATGCTCCGCCTGGCTGTGCTTTTGTTACACTATGTCAGAAAAGAATCCCCTTCAAATTCTATTAAAAATCAACTTAAAGTAATTTGTTTGATTTGTTAGACTTAATTAAAAAATATACTAGCTATTGATTTCAGTGGTAGGAAAATCACAAACTATTGAAACCACTGGTGAGTAGTGTAATGAGTAAATGTGAAAAAAAATACACTAAAATACAAAATAACAATAAAAATGAATTTTGCCTTAAAAGGACGCAAAACTCCCCTTCTTTAGGGTGTGGGTACCTGTCCCCTAAAGGTGTCTAGTGCCCTGCATTCACTCTAGGCATAATAGTTTGTGCTTTTGAATTTTTATTATTTAAAAACCAACATTGTTGCTTTCAGTCAGTACATATATATTGCATGGAGATAGATAATCACCACTCTGTGCTTCGAAAAAAGCTTTTTAAGAGCATGACTGGTGACATGTTTGGGGTCTATACTTCACAGCTGTGGCATATAAAATTGTCTAAGTATTCATGTGACAAGAGCACAGCTATGAAATAAACATGCTTAGTTTTGGACAAATGTTATAAATGAGTATCCTCTCTGACTGTTTAAACATTATGTTTGATAACTTTAAATTTTATGTACTTAAAACAAATTTGTATTCGAGAGATAATGCCACGCCTATGCGGTGCTTTTGTTTTGTTTGGCCTCATCTTATTTTCTCTTGTTTTGTTTGGCCCAATTTTATTTTCTCTTGTTCTATGTTTTACAATTGATGGAAGCTTTCATTAACCAGATGTATCAATTTCAGGTGGTTCAAAAATGCGTCACAGACGAAATGAATTTAATGATGGAAGAAAGCAGTATGGAGATAAAAGGAGAGGAAACACGTACAAACCTTGGGATCAGCATATGTACAGGGAACATTTGCCAAGGGACAGATATTCTAGTAGCAACATTAATGAAGATAGACAGTCTTCTGAAGCAAGATATTCAGGAAGTTTATCTGGATTTGATTGTGGACTTGGGAAACTTACTGAGTATAAGGAGTACCTGAATAACAAGTATTGTGACACTTCAGTAAATGTTTGTAATAAGTTAGATATTGCTGGTAATATGCAAAATCCTAACATAGACATGAACAGAGACATGAACAATCTAGATACAAGAGACAAGTTTAAAAATACAATGCCTGTTCAAAGGTCTGACATTCCGAATGATGTTAACAAGTTACAGTATAATCAGTCAGTTCATTCTAATTATCAAAATCCAGATGTAATTGAGAAAAACAATTTACAAAGTGAGTATGTCAATAATTATGATCCAAGAAGTTTCGGAAGAAATGATGTATTACCTAATCAATCAAGGTTCAACTATGGAGTTTCAAAGTCAAAAGAACAAAAAGACTCTTACGAATTCAAGGAGAGACAGTCTGATGCATTATCAAACCATGGTCCATTTGAAAAAGGAAATGTGAATTGGAAAAGAAACGAGTCTGATAAATATTTAGATTTGCAAAGACAAAACAGTGATTATTTTAGAAAAGATAGAACCAATACTGATCATGTGCACCAAAATTACCCGCTTCAAAAATTTCATCATACAGACTTTTTTGCAAACAACAGTAGAGTGCATTCTCATGATAAATTTGATAAATTTCATCAAGATAGAGTACAAGTCCCTGATACTACACAACCAAGGACAAACCAAACTTTTGGGATTAAAAGTTCTACTTTTAATTTAAATTTGAATCCAGCAGTTAGAGATGAAAATTATCAGAGGTTGCCATTAGTCCAGGAGGCACCATATTTTGTTAGCAGTGTTGCTAATTTTTCTCAGCATGGAGAACAGGTTTGGAAAGAGGTTCAACCACCAGTGTCAAGAAATGGCTTTGAAATATTTCAGAGCATCAATAGGTCAGAGAAATGTTTAGGTTCAATTCAAGACACACCAGTGCCTGAAAGCTTGCCTATATGCAGAAGACCAAAAGACTCTTTTAGAGGTTATCACTCTCTAAATGCTGCTGACAGTGAAGATAGCATACATCAATCCACAGAGAGTATCCATCACTTATTTGTGAGAAGTGGAACATCACTACCTATACAGCTTAATATTGATACAAATATACATGCTCCCCAAATTCATACAAATATAATTCAAGATGTGTCGATGATACCATTACCATTACCACCACCACCGCCACCACCTCCTCCACCTCCTTCAGCACCTTGTTATCCTCAACAACAATTAGAAGACAGTTCTAATTCTACTACATCAACTTTCGCAAAGGACAAATTAACAAATAAATCACAAACCAAATGTCCAGTTGCTACCTCTGTTAATGTAGTGTCATCAACATCAACAGATGAGGTTTCTTCAGCTGTAGATAAACAAAACAAGGCAGAGGAATTAAGGACAACTAGTGCACTTCCTATAGAAAATAAGGAAATGAAAGAAAACTTGTCACATCAGGAAATGTTCAAGGCAAAATATTTTCAAGAAACCTGTAATGAAGACTTTAAAGGTTCAAACTCTCCTGTCAATGAGGAGTCAAATGAAAGTATGAATAATGACACTGTTTTTAAAAAAAGATGTGATCAGTCAAGAGAATGTAAAAGTAGATTTGACAGTGATCAAATAGATGAATTAACAATAGATAAAAGAAATCCAATTCCTGCATCTGAAATTAAAGGGAATTCTAATGGAGATCAGGTTAAGATACATGATAGAAATACAGTAGTGAACATTGAAGACAAGAAACTTGAAAATAGTTGTGGAAATAATATACAACATCAAAATAAGGAAGATGCAAATGATAAACAATACAATAAAAGAACTATTTATAAACATGGCCTGAGACAACACCAGAATGGTAGATTTTTTTCAAACTTAAATGAACCATGGAAAACAAATGCAAAGTTTCATAGACCATGGCAGGTTGACCATCGGATGAATGGACAATACAGATTCAAACAACATAACACAAATCGGCCAATAATACGACAATCATATAAGAGAACAAGAAATGAAAATCAGAGATTATCTGGTCTAGGGATACATACCTATATTCGTCATAGAGATAACCAGAGTAACAGACACCCAATCTCTTCAGACTATTTTAGGCCATGGGAGAAGCAGGGGCAGATACAATGTGACATTACTGATGATAAGAATGGTAATAGGGATCAAATCAACACTAGCAAATCAATTTGCTCATCTTTCTTTTCAACAGATCTTTTTCCTATCAGTGGAAATGAAGAGTTTTGGACAAGTCCTACAGAAATATATGGATCTGACAAAAATAGCAGATTTTGGACAAATAAGGATTTAAATACTGTGAAATATAAGAGGCGTTATCATGATAAAGATAAAAACATTTCATCTGAGAAAAAAGAAGAGAAAAGCGAAGGAAAGAAATGTATCACTAAAATGGATGATGAAGAGAAAATTAAAGAAGTGTCTGTAAGTACCATAAATGCTGCTGCAAAGAGTCAGGAAGGAAATAATACAGATTCACAAGAAACTAAAAACCTGTCATCAGATGATCTGTATAAAAAGAAAAGACAAGAGAGATATAATCATGGTCATCTATTCACAGAGATAATTGCAGTAAAAAATAGACATGATAAAGACAAGAAATTTAGAGATGAAAAAAATGGAATTGAAAGCAATAGCTGTAAAGATATAAATGCTGTGAGCACTAAAACATCTCAAAATTTTAGCAAGTCAATATTTGGCACTTCAAAAGGTTTAAAGAACTTAAGTCCACCAAGTACTGTAGCTATGCCTATTCTTTCAATACTTGAGAGTGCAATTTCAAAAGTTACTTCAAAAGGTCTGTCTAAAGTCGCTAAACCAGATATATCATTGGAGAACAAATTGTTAAAATCAGGATTAAGTCATAAAACAAAGCTAGGTACATACAAAATACCTTACTTAACAGATAGTAAAGAAGACACAAAAAATGACAAGAAAGTGAGATTTAACATGTCTTTAGAAGTGAATGTTGATGAATGTAGAAGAAGTTCAACCAAGCAAAAGGATACATCAAGCAAATTTATGACTGATAGTAAAATAAAGAATAATAAGAAGTGTCTGAAAGCTGAAAAAAGAAGTCCTGACAACTTGAAAAAACATAGATTAAAATCAGGTAAAGAAGCCAAGACAACTGTCTACATGAAAAAATTGCATCCAAAATTGAGACATAAAATTGCAAAGTCTTGTGAGGTTTCAAAAGAAATTGAGGATAGCATTGCTGTGACAGGAGGTAATATTGAACAAATGTCTACTGAAGGTGAAGAAATGTATACAAAAAATAATAAAAGTCAAACACAAGACAAAGTCGAAGAACATCAGCTGGAGATCACAAGGAATAAATCCTCACATATGACACGAGGTAAATTTGTTCTTTTTACGCCAAATACTTTTAAAGTTAAAGAAACATTAAAAACAAATCAGAAAGAGAAAACCTCTGAAAACTCGACATATCGCAGTGATACATATGCAAAAGAAAATTTGGACAAAGCAGTGCTTTCTGCCAAGAAACATTTGTTAAACAGAGCTTTGGCAATGGAGGCATTGACCAGGGATAAAACTAAACCTTTAGTTGAAGCAAAACAGTGTCAGAGAAAGTCTTTGATCACATCAGACACGGGAAGAGAGGAGCAGAAGCATCTTGCAGAAACGTATCTTACTGATTTTGGGGAAAATGTGTCTGATAGAATTGACAAAAGTATTGGAAAAGATGACAATAATAATGAAAAAAACATGCTTGAAAATCCAGAAGAGGCTAGTAAATATTCTCCTTTAAAGCTTGATCCTCCTTCAACTGAGTATAAACCACAGAGAACTCTGATAGGAAACTATGCAACACAATGTTTATTTGGCCCAATTGTCTCTTCAACATACTACAAGAGACCAGGTAAAGCTAGAGTTACAAGGAATTCTAAAGAAACATTCACTGGCTATTTAGGATGCCATGCAGGTTCAAGTCAAAATGACAAAGTAGACTTAAATCAAAACATACATAATAACATTTGTGACAATAGTAAAGATGAATCTTGTAATGTACAACAGAATTTTACTAACAGTACATCTGTAGCAGAAACATCTCCCTTAATTGATGTTGTATCAGTCAAGAGCAATGCATCACCTTGTGGATTTGGGAATTTTTCAGGAAAAGACTTTGATATGAATAATGATGAAGTAAAGGATAATATTGATGTTGTATCAGTCAGTTGCAGTGCATCACCATGTGGACTGGGGAATTTTTCAAGAAAAGACATTGATACTAACAATGAAGAACTAAAGGACAATATTGCATTAGGTGAATTTGAAAATGTAGCACATATTGGAATAATAGATTACCCTAAAAACTCATGTGCCAATATTGCTGATGTTTCAGATTTAGATTTTGAAAAGGGAAAGAAACAACTTTCTGAGAGTGTGAATGATTATCAAAGACAAAATTCGTATGCACAACATTCAAGCAATATATATTCTCCACCCATCCAGTCAGTATGGCTTAATAAATACTTGTGCGCTAAACAGGAGCTTGTTGATACATTAAAATCATGTCAAAATGTAAGCTCTCCCCCAACCTCTACACTGATGACTACCTCTAAAAATAGTGAGATGTTACCTGTCTGTAGTAGTACACCTGTCCACAATTCTGATGCAATTGGTATGAGCCCAATCCTAACTATAGACTTTGAGCACAAGTCTCCTGGAAATTCAGTTGCTAATACAAGTAGTACTAGTGAGTTACAGTATGAAACATCACATGAGGAGATTGAAATGTACAGGAATTATCAATTAAGCAGAGGTGTATCATATTCTGATAGTGATGTACTTAGGTCTCCAAATATAGGAACAAATGACTTTACTGAACGGAAAACAGGAGTGATTAATCAAAATTCAATTGACGTTGAAACATTAGAAAATGAAAACTGTTACGTTCAAAATACAATGTGTGTGTCTGAGAAAAATGCTGCAGAATCAAGCTCAGAAATACCATTTACTGGAAATGGTTTTGAAAACAGTGCAGGGAACTTTGAATCTCAATTTATTGAAGATAGTATCTCAGATGAGAAGTCTGCATTTCAGAATTCAGAAGGAAATATTGATTTACAACAGAAAAGATGTGAAAATATCAATATTGTTGAAGATTTTCTTGATACATCAAAGAACATATTTGAAGATCTAGTGACTGATATCCTTACAGATGTAGAACTGATGTCAAGTATACCAATTACTACTCCAGACCTGGCTAATGAGAACACTAATGCATCAATTGAGTTTCAAAATTCTTCTACAGACAGTTACCAGTATCAGTTTTATTCCCCAGAGAATGGAACATTGTCTCAAATGCCATCATGTGAAGAGGAACACCATTATGGGCACTGTAACCAAACTGATGCAAAAACAGACAGTGGAACTGTCTTTAAATCAGCCAGAGCACCTACTCCTCTCAGACAAAGCAGAAAGCCTAGGTTTGAAAAGAGGTTTCCGAAACCACTGCCTAGAGCTAAACCACAGAAAGCAATAAATGCTGAAAGGAGTTTGTATGAAGCTGCTGAGAGATTTTTGGGAGATTTTGACCACAAGAACAAAAGATCATGCTGTAAAGTAAACCCCGAAGTTATGAATAATACAGAGTCGGGAAAGATGGAGTCTGTCAAGGTTAATAAAAATGAGGAACAAGGGAAGAAAACTATTGGGAATGACAAGATTCCTAATAACATGTGCAGTGATAAAACAAATGAACAGATTAAACAGTTGGACAAACCATGTGATGTTAGTGACAATGTAACAAAGAAAATGTCTATAAAATTGAAAAATATGGATTCTGAAGTACCAGTTGTTACTCGACAACAAGTAGCTATGAAAAAGTTGATATTGAGATCTAAAGGGCAGATGAAAATATCAAAGCAAAATGTACATAAATATTACAAAAGCGCATCTAAAAAGAGACAGAATCTCCTGAAGGGAGTATATAAATCGAGAGAAAAGAATTTGGGAGACAACAGAATTCCAAGTATCAGACTAAAAGCAAGTAAGAAATTGAATGGAAAGGGAAAGATTGCTGTAGAAAAATGGAAAAAAATCACCCCAACATCTAGTGCAAAAGAACATACAAAAGAGAAACAACATAAATTCCATTCAAAACCTGATTCAGATGAAAAGTTTAAGGATGCTTTCATAAAAGATGAAAATAAATTGCTAAAATTGAATAAGCATAACAAAGGTAAACATACTGCCGAGCATCTGCATAAAGAATCACCAAGTCCTGTTCATGAAAATAAAATAAAGAATAAGTCTGTCAAACATTCTACATCATTTAATACCTTTAAAAAAGGAGAAAGTAAGAAGTCCAATGAAAAATATGTTCGAGACTATCCTGGTGTCTCTGAAAAAGGAAAGGGCAAAACAAATACTGAATCCAAGAAAAACAAGAGTAGCACAGTGGCTAGTTCACCTAATAACCAAAGCATGAGATCAGCAAAAGCAGATATGGATAGAAAAGTGAAGGATATAATGTATAAACAGACCTGTAGACTGTGTAGCTTCTCTTGTTACAGTGTAATGGACATGAAGCTTCATTACAGCAGAAAACATGAAAACTGGTGTCATAGATGCAAAATACAGTTTAATGATAAGGTAAGTTGATTTTCTCTTCCAGTTTGGCTTCAATATTTTATTCACCAGCTGTCATCAATAGGTTAGAGGGCATAATATTTCTATCTTATTGGCCAAAGAAGCAATGCTTTAGCTTCACTGATGACCAGTTAGATGCCACTGGTATATTTCAGGGTCAAGCTGGCAATCAAATGTTACTTTTTGATCAATCCTAAGCTTGCCTAATAACTGTCACTTGAGCTCTTGATGCAAGTTGATCATACAATCACATATGTCCTTAAAAACCGGACAGATAGTTAACTTTATGATGATGATATACGAAATGGTAGGGTCTAACTTGAAGCATTATGAGGGCGTTTGTGGCCGAGTTGTTGTCTTTGACTTCAAACTACTTGTCCAATGCTACTGTGGGCTCAAATCTGCCAGGGATTATTTTGTATGAGGAATGTATCAAGCTACCTTACAAATTGTCAATTGTTCTTTTCTGGTGCCACTTTGTACATGAAATCATGGCTGGAGAGAAAAGTTTTTGCTAAATAATTTATAAAAGTGGGAAACATATGGCTGTCAAAACCTAAGATAAACAGTGAAATACTTGTGTTTTAGATTTAAAGATCTTTGTAAAGGGATTCCATGAAACTTTTACTTTAATCTTTAATTTATATCTACAAGTTTATATAAAAGTAGTATAGCAAAATAAATCATAGTTAAAGAAATCTTTTCATTTCTGGTCTAATTGGATTCCATGAATTGATAATTTGTTTATAAATTTTGCATGCCTCACTTACTGTCTTATTCATAGTGACATTTTTCAAAATAAAAGAAAGGATGAAGTTGCACCATATTGTAATATTTTTAGTATCATTATATTTCGAAAAGGATGGGATTTGACTATTATAGTTAATTTGCTGGACTATGCTGGTGTAGTTTGAATTAATTTTTGTTGGCTTTGTGACACTATACTTGTATAAGTAATGCTGCTAGATCCAGGGAGATGTTAATTCAGCAAATTACTATTATGTTTACAGGAGTCATGTCGTTACCATATAAGTCAAAACCATAATGCAGAGGCATGGTGTGATGTGTGTGGCTCCCTGTTTTGTCATAAAGCTAGCTTTGAACGGCATCTTAGATCTCAGGTCCATCATGAGAATCTAAAGTTTGTTAATTACATTAAGAACGGAAGTAAAAGAAAAGAAACTGTTTCAATCAGCGATGATGATGATGACAATTCTGTAGAAATAGTGGCTGTGTCTAAAAATGTTTATGATACAAAGAGATTGGATAGCATTGGACCAGGTAAGCATAAAAAATTAAAAACGACAGATGACAAAAGCCCTACAGTCGATCTCAATTTAAAGAAACAAACTAGCTCAGAGTATGTTGAAATATCCGAGGATGATGTGGAAACAAAGAAAGTGAGGCAAGTGAAATATTGTGCAGTTTGCAAACAATACTATAGGAAAATGAGTGCTCATTTGAAGACGAAGAAACATGATGATATGCTGAAAGAGAAATTGAACACCGTGAATCCAGAGGATGATAGTTGCTCTGTATATTACTCTGACATGGAAGATATGTCCATTCATATAGGTAAGTCTGCTGTCTTCTGATGATATTCATCACACGGACTTTGTGAAAAAGTAATGTAAAACTATTCATTGTGTAAGACATCAATATCATTAAATTTTGTATTGTTGCAGTCTTGAACTATTGTATAAATATCAGTTAACCTCACAGAGCATGGGCGTTCTGCCCTATCACTAACCTTCATAATGCAAAATAACTTTATATTGTATCACAGTTTTGGGACTTTTCTGTTGAAAAAATGTCAGAGTTCAATCGTATACATATACATGCACTGTGCGTTAAGTGGAGTGCAGGTAACAGTTACCAGCACTCCAGAGCATGCCCGTTGATTGGCTCATTTTTGCTGGGGTTTACTTATTATGACGGCAGAGAAAGGAAAGGCGGCAGAAATATTATATTCAGATGCTCTTTCATTGGTTACTTTTTTTCTGGGGTTTTATATTGTGACAACAAGGAACGTGTTTTTATGTTTGACTAAGATACAAAAGAGAAAGAACACCAAAACACTCGGCAATCTGATTTATACTCGGGGGCTACGCCCCCTCGTACAAATCAGATTCCCTCGTGTTTCGGTGCTCTTTCTATTACAAAACACGGATCTGTTATTTCCTTAAATTGTATTTTAGACGCACTGTAATAAAGGTAATTTATGTCAGGGTAAAAGTTTAGATGCATATGTATAATGATATGTATAATAGAGTCATGTATAATGAATCAAAAGGTTAAAATTGAGCAATCAACAGTTGTTCTTCTTGCATGTTATACATGTAGCTCTTTTTATGAAAGTAAAGGTCAAGAAGGAGAACAATGTTGAACACATTTAAAAAGCTAATGGCAATTTTAGCAAAAACTTTACTATTCTTTTTGATAAAAGAAGGGAATTGTTCACCTGTTCATTTTGTCAATGGTTTTTCTTATTTAAAAGGAAAGAAGCATTAGCAAACAAAGCTGGTGTAAGTTTGGATTTTTTGGAAAACTGCATGGTTTTAAAGAAAATTTCTATTGGGTAGAAGCCTTTTATAGGCCTCTTTTTAGATCACCTGTCACAAAGTGACGGGGTGAGCTTTTGTGATCGCTTTTCGTCCGGCGTCCGTCCGTCCGGCGTCCGTCCATCCGTCCGTAAACTTTTACTTTAAATGACATCTCCTCATAAACCACTAAGCCAATTTCATCCAAACTTCACAGGAATGTTCCTTTGGTGGTCACCTTTAAAAATTGTTCAAAGAATTTAATTCCATGTAAAACTCTGGTTGCCATGGCAACCGAAAGAAAAAACTTTAAATATCTTCTTTTAAAAAACCATAAGAGCTAGAGCTTAGATATTTGGCATGAAACATCTACTAGTGAGTGTCTACCAAGTTTGTTCAAATAAAAGCCCTGGGGTCAAAATTGGCCCCGCCCCGGGGGGTCATTGATTTTCCCTATATGCATATAGTAAAAACTTAAAAAATCTTCTTTTAAAGAACCCAAAGAGCTAGAGCTAAGATATTTAGCATGAAACATGTTCTAATGGGTGTTTACCAAGTTTGTTCAAATAAAAGCCCTGGGGTGAAAATTGGCCCCGCCCCAGGGGGTCATTGATTTTCCCTATATGCATATGGTAAAAACTTAAAAAATCTTCTTTTAAAGAACTCAAAGAGCTAGAGCTTAGATATTTGGCATGAAACATCTTCTAGTAAGTGTCTACCAAGTTTGTTCAAATAAAAGCCCTGGGGTCAAAATTGGCCATGCCCCGGGGGGTCATTGATTTTCCCTATATGCATATAGTAAAAACGTAAAAAATCTTCTTTTAAAGAACCCAAAGAGCTAGAGCTAAGATATTTAGCATGAAACATGTTCTAATGGGTGTCTACCAAGTTTGTTCAAATAAAAGCCCTGGGGTGAAAATTGGCCCCGCCCCGGGGGTCATTGATTTTCCCTATATGCATATAGTAAAAACTTAAAAATCTTCTTTTAAAGAACTCAAAGAGCTAGAGCTTAGATATTTGGCATGAAACATCTTCTAGTGTGTGTCTACCAAGTTTGTTCAAATAAAAGCCCTGGGGTCAAAATTGGCCCGCCCTGGGGGGTCATTGATTTTCCCTATATGCATATAGTAAAAACTTAAAAAATCTTCTTTTAAAGAACCCAAAGAGCTAGAGCTAAGATATTTAGCATGAAACATGTTCTAATGGGTGTCTACCAAGTTTGTTCAAATAAAAGCCCTGGGGTTAAAATTGGCCCCGCCCCCGGGGGGTCATTGATTTTCCCTATATGCATATAGTAAAAACTTAAAAAACCTTCTTTTAAAGAACTCAAAGAGCTATGGCTAAGATATTGAGCATCAAACATGTTCTAATAGGTGTCTACCAAGTTTGTTCAAATACAAGCCCAGGGGTCAAAATTGGCCCCGCCCCGGGGGTCATTGATTTTCTTTATAATATATGTGTTTAGCAAAAACTTTAAATCTTCTTTGAAAAAACCCAAATAGCTAGAGTTTAGATATTAAGCATGAAACATCTTCTAGTAAGTGTCTACAAAGTTTGTTCAAATAAAAGCCCTGGGGTCAAAACTGGCCCGCCCCAGGGGTGTCATTGTTTTTAACTATATGTGTATAGTAAAAACTTAAAAAAAATCTTCTTTTAAAAAGCCCAATGAGCTAGAGCTTAAATTTTAGCATGAAACATCTTCTTATGGGTGTCTACCAAGTTTGTGCAAATAAAAGCCCTTGGGTTAAATTGGCTCTGCAACGTTGGGGGGGGGGGGGGGTTGGGGGGGGGGCCTATATACAGGTGAGCGACCTCAGGGCCATCATGGCCCTCTTGTTATTTTTAGGGTGAAAAATCACTGACTTTCAATAATACTACTGTATGTATGTAGATGCTTGTAGTGTTACTAGGTAAATGTGATTTTGTTATATCTAGATGATGACACTCAGGATGAGGATGACATGGAAATGACAGATAATATGTCTCACAGCTCGGACAAGTCCGTTGTTATTGTATCTGACCATGATGGCAATTTTGAGTATGAATCCGATGAATGCAGGGCAATTCCAAGTGGTAATACAATTTGATTTACTAATATTTATGCCCCTGACTAGATAGTAATTTAATAGAGTGTCTGTTTAAACAGTTAAAAGTTATGTCTGGCAGCAAGTTATTCTTGTTCAGTTGTTGTTCAGTTGTCTACTACACACTCTATACTAAAACAATAACTATTATTCTTCACTTTTGAGTGTATAACTAAAGGAATCCTTATTATACCCCCGAAACGAAGTTTGGGGGGTATATAGGAGTCACCCGGTGGTTGGTCCAGCAGTCTGTTGCATTTTCCTTGTCCGGAGCATAACTTAAAGACTAATGGTTTGAATTCAATACAACTTCATACAATGGCCAAGCACATTGAGAGGAAGTGCATTGCACAAGAACCATAACTCGATCTTGACTTATTACAGAGTTATTGCCCTTTGTTACTTTTCCTTGTCCAGAGCATAACTTGAAAACTTCTGGTTGGAATTCAAAACAACTTCATACAATGGTCAAGCACAGTAAAGGGGAAGTGCAGTGCACAAGAACCATAACTGTATCTAAAGTAATTAAGAGTTATTGCCCTTTGTTACTTTTCCTTGTCAAGAGCATAACTTGAAAACTTCTGGTTGGAATTCAAAACAACTTCATACAATGGTCAAGCACAGTAAAGGGGAAGTGCAGTGCACAAGAACCATAACTCTATCTAAAGTAATTAAGAGTTATTGCCCTTTGTTACTTTTCCATTGCTTTATTTTGTCCGGACCATAACTTAAGACTAATGGTTGGAATTCAATAAACTTCATACAAAAGTCAAGCACATTGAGAGGAAGTGCAGTGCACAAGAACCATAACTCCATCTTGACTAATTACAGAGTTATTTCCCTTTGTTACTTTCTTTGTCCGGAGCATAACTTGAAAACTACTAGTTGGAATTCAAAACAACTTCATACAATGGTCAAGCACAATAAAAGGAAGTGCAGTGCACACAAACCTTATCTAAAGTAATTAAAGAGTTATTGCCCTTTGTTACTTTTCCATTGCTTTTTTGTCCGGAGCATAACTTGAAGACTAATGGTTGGAATTCAATACAACTTCATACAATGGTCAAGCACATTGAGAGGAAGTACAGTGCACAAGAACCATAACTCCACCTGAACTTATTACAGAGTTATTGCCCTTTGTTACTTTTCCTTGTCCAGAGCATAACTTGACAACTACTAGCTGGAATTAAGTACAACTTCATACAATCATCAAGCACATTAAGAGGAAGTGCATGCACAAGAATCATAATACCATTTTGACAAATTACAGAGTTATTGCCCTTTGATAATTTTCCTTGTCCGGAGCATAACTTGAAAAGAACTGGTTGGAATTCAAAACAACTTCATACAATGGTCAAGCACAATAAGAGGAAGTGCAGTGCACAAGAACCATAAATCTATCTAGAGTAATTATAGAGTTATTGCCATTTGTAACTTTTCCATTGCTTTTTCTTGTCCAGAGCATAACTTGAAAACTACTAGTTGCAATTCAATACAATTTCATACAATGGTCAAGTATATTAAGAGGAAGCGCAGTGCGCAGAAATCATAACTCTTTCTTGACTCATTCAAGAGTTTTTGCCCTTTATTACTTTTTTTTGTCCAGTGCATAACTTGAAAACTAGTATTTGGAATTCAATACAACTTTATACAATGGTCAAGCGCAAGGAGAGGAAGTGCAGTGTACAATAACCATAACTCCATGTTCAGTATTTGTAGAGTTATTGCCCTTTGTAAACCACATTGAAAGGAAATGCAACATTCAAGAACCACAACTATCTTTAATTGCCCACAACCATAAGTCTATTTCAATTCTTTTGCAAGGTATTATGTTACTAGTAATTTCCTCTTTTCTGAAGCAGTCTTGCAGGGGTATTAATCACATTTAGTGATAGTTCTAGTTCAACATACTCTCGCTTCTTACAGGGATCACACTTGTCCTAAATTTTAGGGAGAAGTGACTTCTCCCTCCAGTGAAAATAGGGAGAAGTTTTTGGGGACAAGGAGAAGTGCATACAAGTTGTATTTTGGGAAATGTTGATGTTCCATTTAAAATACTTACTATAAGTTTTAAGATTGACCAAACATTAGGTGGACTAAGACAATGCATGTACACAACAGTTTATTAAGTAACTTGTAGCAAATATTTGTAACAATAAACAGCAAAATTACAAATGTTGTGAAATGAACTGGATGCTTGGAGACATTTTAAGCAAAGGCTTATTAAACAGCTGGTATCCTTTCAGTGAATTGGTTTATTTTATGAAAGATGAATGATTAAGGAAATTTTTTATGCTTTGTGGAGTTTTTGCCCTTGAATAAAGAAAAGGTTGGAGATAAAGGCATTAATTGCACAATAACTTCAAGAAAGAAAGAAGACTAAAAAAGTAATATGAGCATACTGTCTTGACAGAGTTAATAGCCAGCTGAATCCACACATACTCCTTGCAGTTAATAGCTTGTGTTTATGTAAGGAGGATAAAATAGCCTTTATGAGCTTGCAAATTAAAATGTTTTCCAAGTATTTAAGTGGGTAAAAAAACTTAAGTTTTTATGATGGATTGGCACTTTGTCCTAAAATAAAAGCCTTTGTCCCTTCCACAAATTTAAAGTTTTTAAAACAGATGCAAATGTTTAACAATCTTTACTCCACAACATGTCTCTGGTTATGAATACAGTAAAAACCCTCAATTAAGACCACCATTGGGACTGGACCAAAGGGTCTTAATTGCAGAGTGGTCTTAATTGTGGATATTCTTATCATTGTCATACACGTTATGACCATGGTCTATTTTAGTCTTTTTGTATGAACAAACATTATGTATCTTAACCTGCAAATACAATATAAAAGTATGTTATAATGTTACATCTGATGGGAAGAAAACATATTACTAACAAATTCTCTTTGTTCTGATTTCAATATTAATTATTGTATGATGTACATAATTCACATATCATATAAGACATTATTTCTTTACAAAATAAATGTGCTTAAAGCAACATTTAACCACTTTGAAATATACTTTTTCACCTTACTTTTTGACACCTTCTGTAATCAAGTGTCATGCCTAAGAGCAAGCAAGCAGATAATAACAAATATGTGATCTTGGTAGGTGTTCACTTTAACATAAGTGGTCTCAATAGTGAGGTCAAATTATATTAAAAGAACAAAACAAAGAATTGGGACTGAATTTGGTGGTCTTAAAAGTGGATAAGCGAGGTGGTCTTAATTCTGGATCATGTAACCATTGACATAAAGAACAGAAAATTCTGTTCTTTTAAAAACTGGTCTTAATAGCGGGGTGGTCTTAGTTCTGAGGTGGTCTCAAGTAGGGATTCTACTGTATTTGTATTTTGAGTTACCATTAAACCAAGTTAGTCAGTAGACTTGATTGTTTGAGTCTTGTATTGGTTGTGTGTCGGACTGTCAGGTATCTGTCAATCTTATTGATGTACACTTTTCTTAATAAGATTCAAAAGTCTCTTGTCCTAAGACTTCCTGACCAAATGGATAAAATTATTGGTCCTAGCTGTTCAGTTATTATCAATATCTAACAGGCATTTAGGTTTCAAGTGGAATCTGTGTCAGCCTGCTTATGAAAAAAGATCTATGTTTTTGCCCCAAGTGTAAGCTTGTGTCTGAGGTCTTCCTAATGTTTCAAAAATTGCAATTTTTAAGTTGAAGAAAGCTTATAATAATATTTGTCTAATATTTACACTTTTGAGTGGACTGCCAGAATTGGGATAACAATGTCATAGGTCACAATAGATAAAAAAAATTTCTAAATGTTTGTTACAGCATACAGTGCCATCCATAAAAAACTTTATTTTTTTCGTTACATAAAATAAGCATGTTATTAACCACAGTTACCTTCATAAACTGAGAAATAGACTCTGGATATTGCTTAGTAAATATCTATATATTTACCTTTTAATTATGTGAAAATCTGCTTTAATGGTGTTTCAGAGGAGGATGTTACAATGTACATGAAGCCTGGTCTGCCAGTTAAACATGCTGATTACAGTTCACATGCTAAAATAAAGCAGGAAACTGACGGAGATCAAGGGTCACAAATTCAACGCAGGATCAGAGATAGTACTTCAAGGTTGAAAGGCGTTGATGGAAAAAGAGAAGGTAGAAGTACAAATGTCCCTATTGTGGTTTCTACTTGCAAGAAAGAGAAATGTAGTCCAACACTTTTAGTACGAAATATAGCGGCTGATTTGATGTGTAAAGATGAACCTATTGATGACAGACAGAATATCTTTGAGAGTGTAAAACAAAAGTATTGCAATATATCGGGATCTAAGTCAAAGAATGAATCTAATGATGAATGTTGTAAGAGAAATGAGTTAGTTAAAAATATTTCAAATATTAAAGATATAAATAAAGTGGAAGAAAGCAATGAGGATAGAATAGATAATGATGCTGGTATGTCAGATGAAGTTGATTTATATAGAGATATGAAAGATGAGGATGCTGATGACTTTGAAATATTATCAGGCACTGACTATGAAGTGACAGAAAATCCTTTGTTTCATGATGATGTGAGTATGGATCAAGACTGAAAAACAGAAAATAATAATACTTGATTTGAGAAGTGATGAAGTTTGTATTAAGGTTTTAAAGTGGAAGAAGTTTTTAGTTTATTCAGTTGATTGGATTTTGTTAACATTTATTGAAACCAAAATATCTTGGTAAGGTACTCTGAAGGTACAGTACTAGATTAAAATAGTTTTCAATTGAGCATTTGTTAAGTTATAGTATTGATATGTGAAACGAGATATATTTGTTTGTGTTACTTTATATACTTGTATGTGTTATGATATTAAGACAAAAGTATGTCATATTTTTGCACATAGAAGAAACTGTGATCTAACTTTGTGATATAATTTCAAGTTTTATTTTGTTTTTGGTTCTGTAAAATTTTAGTTGTATTATTTGTTTTCAAATATATTATCACTGTTTTGTTGTCATTTATTCTTAAGTTACTCATCACTGATTTAACTTTGTTTTAGCCTTGTTTATTTTTGGGGGAAAAGGGGGAGGTACACTGTTAGCAGAAAAATATTGCTGATCTTGTTTTGGAAGTATTTCTGTTCATCATTCTGTTCCTGAATGATAAGATCAAGTTTATTTACTGCTCCATTTCAGGCTTCTTTAAACTAAATAGAAAGCAAAATAAAGATAAAAAAACATTACCTCTAAAATAAATGTGTGGATGGAGTTTATTCTATTTATATTGATAGGTATATATAAAAAGTTGCTTTCAAAAAACATTTTAGACTGCTTTAAGCACTTAAAAATTACTTTAAAAATGTAATTATTACAGATTTGTTTTCTGCTATTTTTTTGTTACTTTATTAAAGAATATCTTCTGAAAGTTTTTATCCTTTTAAAACCTCTCAAAAACAGGAGATCTGGGGAGGTCACAGTTATGCATCATTTGTGAAAATGTGTTTTAATGGTTATGGATTACCAAGTAAATATGGTGGTTAGATCGGATTCACGATTATTGCCAGAGACTTTCATTGTTTACTACTTAAAACTTTAATTGTACCATTGTTTAAACCAAACTAAAGAACAAGGCATTTCATCCAAGATAACGCTTTATGTCTTTATTATATATAAGGTTGGTAAGATAAGTGGATGTTAAGGTTCAGGTAAGAAAAGTAATTGTTATGGTTGGTAAAGATAAATGGTGTAAAGGTTGGTAAGCTAAGTGCTATTCTTACTGTTGTTGTTTTTCCCCGATAATGTTTTATATATTGTTATACAGTTTGTACAGCATATTTTATTTTTAGGAATTTCCATATTTGTTCAGTTTTGATTTTTATGTTTATTCATATCACAAGAATGGTTCTGTCTAAATATTGTTTTTCTTGTTGTTTTATATATGTACATATATTTGATATGATCACTGGTTGACAAAAATTGTGCAATGACAATAAGGTGGAAAATCTGTATTATTGGTCATCCTAAACTGTTACCTTGGTTATAGATTATTTGCATTGAAAAGCATTTGATGACCTCATAACTGATATTGAATTATCAATTACTGAGGCATATGTTGCATGGAGTTGTGTATTTGACAAAAGGTAATAAGTTGAAAAAAATCAGAAAATTGAACTATATATAACACTATTAGAAATTTTGCTGAAACAGCTTTTAAATTATTGAAATATTTTATAAGGGAAATTTATATTGACTGGTCTAAGGTGCTGTCCATTTTAGTATTTTGTAAAAATAATACAGGTTTTAGTCTTTTCAAGTATGTACAGTTAATTAATGATAATATTGAAATTGCTATGTTGTCCAGTAATGCCATCTAAAACTGTTAAACTGACAATAACTTAGGTAATTGAAAGATTTGATCATATCATCATTTGCTTGTTGGTTGAAAAAAAAATGTTCTGTGCACCTGTTTAGAATATGTTTTACTTGTGATTTTCAAATATTTTAATGGAAAAAAAAGAAAGAAAATAAAACAAAAATTGTCCACTTTTTTCCAAGATAGTTTTTACTCAGTTGTAGATCTATGATAGAGAATAACATGACATTGTTTATTTATTAAAGCAGTCCCCTTTTCATTGACAATCTCTTGGTATTTGAAGAATGTGTTCAGACAATTTGAATAAGTTATACATCTATGTTATTGTAGTTTACAGAAACCAAAAATCTTGTTAGAGAATTCTTATGAAGAAAATACTGTTAGAATTCTTTGAATAACTACTTGTACTGTGTTTTGTCTTGGATAACCTCATTGTTTTCAAATAATACAGGAGCATAAGATTTCATAATTTTATTCACATTTGAAGGGAGAGTTTGTCATGGAAGGTATCATACTGATTTATTCTATACATATATTACATATATATTTTGTATGTATTTGCACATTGTTTTGATATATTGATGCAGGTAGCATAAAGTATTTAGATATTGTTAAGTGTTTTGTTTCTTTTTTTAAGTTTTGAAATTTTTGATGTTTTACTTTTTATATATTTTATCTTTAAGCAAGATGCTTCATAACAAATAAAAGTTTTAAACATTACAGATTGTTCTGTTAACTCTGCACTTAATCACTTGATATTCCTGTAAACTTGAGTGCTCCAGTATATTGTGATATTTACCCACTGTCATGCCGCGTTTCAAGGGGTTAGAGTCGATGACTTCTAATCCAGTTACCTCTCTGGCATGGGTTTGATCCCCGGGAAATGCTTTGGTAGTTTAGCGCGGAGGAAGGTAGTCTAGTACTGGTGTAACTCTCCAGGAACGATGGTTAGGAAACTACCCGATGGTTAGGAAACTACCCGCCTATATGACTGAAATACTGTTGGGAAAAGGCGTAAAATGAAACAAACAAACAAAACTAGTTAAAGGTATTTATTTTAGAGCATCATCACTTGGCAAGATGTTATTTAAGTTATTCTTCATATTATAAGATATTTGTTACATAGCATAACTACTTGGCAAGAAGTTTTTTAAATAAAAAAGGCAGTTTGTTTAAATTCAAATGTAACTGAGACTATTGCCTTTATCCTTCCTCTGTTGTTTTGGCCTTCACAGTTACATGTATTAATTTCATTAACCAGTGGCTATATGACAGCATGTCAAGATGAAAGACATTGTTTACATGAAAGTTATTGGAAGGTTTTCAATTGGTATTTAACAGCTTTGAAAACAGAATGATTAACTGCAAGTCCAAAATGAATTGAAAATGGTATTCTATCTGTAACTTGAGCAAAATGTATACAAGACAGTTTATTTGAGAAAGTGGAGCTCGTCTCTTGTAATGGTTCATTAGTCAGAAAGTGTTTAAGCTAGAGCTGTCATCGACAGAAACAATATCAATGTATCGTTGATATTTTTCTGTCAATCAATAATCTGTACACATTTCAAAAAATCGATAATTTTGACTAATTAATTAAATGTTTAGAAATTATGAAAAATCTCACCCAAAACATACAGTAGCAGGTGTCCATATCTTAACATTATGCTGTTGTTACATAGTGGAAATATTTAATAGCAATCATGACCAAAATAGAATGGTCTGGAAAACAGTCATGCTATGGGCTTTTATAAACAAGACACTGAAAAGAACATGATTTTAAATCGGAAATCATTTAAACAGGCATGAAAGTGAATGACAGACAGGTAATTATCGATATATATTGGTGTATTGTTGATATTTGTCATCCAATATCAATATATTGTTGATATGCTTTGCACTGAATCAATGGCAGCTCTAGTTTGCACTGAATCAATGGCAGCTCCAGTTTAAGCTTATCTTCTTCATACTTTGTATACCATGTACATGCCCACTACTTTAAGAGTGCAGATAACCCATAAAAGAAATGGACACTTTTCAACATTTTGTTCTTATTAAACTTAAAATTTTGAAAAACAGATCAAAAATTTGTTTCATCTACGAGCTTGACTGAAATAACTTACACCTTTCTAAAGTTTTCTGTCTGGTAAATTTGGTAAAAAATTGATAATGTATTCAGCGTAATATTTTCAAGCAAGCTGGTTGATATATATCGTAAGCATTAATGTCATCTTGGATGTTATCTTGTGAGGCATTGCAACAATCACTAGGAATTGTGCAACAGACAGATCATACTGTAAGAGTCATCCACATGATGTGCAGGCAGCAACCTGTTTTGTCTGGATTTTATCTCCTAACTCTTAAAATGCATGAAGGGATTTCAGTGTTACTTAATACAATTAATGACCATCATGAGATGTTGTGTTGCACACATGGGTCACACTTGAAAATGCTTGCGCTTGGCAAAACTTTAAAAATCCTTTAATTATTTAAATATAACTTGAGGCACATTATTATGTTCCCCATTGTTAAACAGTGTTGCATGCAAAATTCTGAGGTCCCAATGTTTGAAATAAAGGTCAAAAGTCAGATTAATCTATAAAAGTTTTTATATGAAGTTTATAATTTATTCCATCACAAATACTCACCATTACATGCATAATCCAGGTCTTTTTGCAACAAGTTCAATGACTTTAAAGATGATGAAATGTCTAGAATTTGTCGGGAGCATTTATTACTGTTTGATGCAATTGTTCACCTTTGTGCACATGAAAGAGGTCTCAAGGTCAAAGATTAAGGTCTCCCTTGGAGGTCAGAGGAAATCACTCGTCAGGAGCAAAACTTCTACAGATATTGAGGGATTTATATACATGTACATGTATATTCGGTTTATATATAACTTAGCACATGTGTACACAATTGTGAGATGGAGTGCCACACACAAAATTACTTGAAGTAAAGATCATACATGATAACAGTACGAAAAATGTGTATAAAGAACTTTTGATCATTTTATAAATTGAGGGTATTTAACACAAATATTTACCATGATGAGTCTGAGTATTACAAGTATAATGCAGGTCCATACGTGCAAAGTCAAGGTCACTAAAAAATTAAAAATGATGAAATGTCCAGATTTGGTGTGTAACATATCTCTTACATGCATAGAGGGATTTCAGTATTACTCCAAACAAATTTTCACCATCATGTTAAGTAAAGCTGAATGCTTGAACTAGATCAAAGGTCAAGCTCACAATTTGAGGTCAGAGGAAAAAATTGTCAATGGTATAAGTATCCGTTTCTGTGTGCAAAATTCTTGTCTTGGTGAATTCTTGTGCTTCAGTCATGCATAGAATTTTGACCACATGAACATTTTTTCATTTGAATGATGGCTTTTAAAAAGTGTTTGTTTCACTTAAGTCAAATTCACTTCTCTACTAATATTTTAATACATTATCTTCATCAGAAACTTTTGTGAAAAGCATTATTTTGTGGCAATGGCATCCGCGTTGAAAATTTGAGGTCAAATGATTTCTCAAAACCACTTAAGATGTTCTCTTTATACTCTGTAATATTTCTTCACTGTCAAAATAGGAATGCATTTCTGAAGGACAGATAAACAAGTCTTTTTATTCTCAATTATTTCCCTTTTTGACTGGGATATTTCCTTTTCTCAGACTGTAAAAGGTAATTCATTTCAAACTTGCAAGTAGAATAGCCTTTGAAAAAAAATCGAGCTGAAAATGAAAAATCTGAACACTGTTTAAATGCCAAAACAATTTCCTTGTTACTACAGCATATTTCTACTTATAATTGAATGGTAAGCATTAATAAAGACACTTACATCACAAAGGCATCTTTATTGATAATAATAACAATATACATTTCAATGAAAGTATTATACATATGACTCATGTATGTTATAAACAAATATTTTGGATTAGATGTGACTGTATTCTGTTTACAGCTGAGCTAGCCATTGAAGAAACTTCATGGGTGTGTAATAAATTTTAAAGACAGAAATGTAGATGCACATTCATATAATATATATGGGTATTGTGTAATATTACACACCCTGATACGTGGATACCACAAATTGTAATGTTACAAAGGTTTAATAACAGGATTATACAATGCATTTTACAATAAGTTAAATTCTTAAGTAAATAAAATGACCAACTTGAAGTGTTAAAACCCAGAAAAAGAAACATTAAACAAACATTGTATCATATACAAAGAAATGAATGATAAATAATAAAACAAGAGCACTGCTAGGCGGAGCATTATATGCCCGAAAGTGATTATTTTTTTTAGTAAAGATGAAGCATTTGTAAGACATGGGAATTAAATAAAGTATTACCTCCTTCACAAAATAATCCTCCTTTGAAGTTTCAATATTGTGGTCCAAATGGAACTTAAGTTATGCCCCGGAAACTGTCTTCAGTTCTAAGGTAATAGTGACTTTGACCTTGTGACCCCAAATCAATAGGGGTCTTCTACCCAATATGGACAATCATACTATGAAGTTTAAACATAGTGGGCCAAATGAAACTTAAGTTATGTTCCGACAACTGTTTTCAGTTTTAAGGTCATAGTGACTTTGACCGTGTGACCCCAAAATCAATAGGAGTCTTCTACCTAATATGGACAATCATCCTATGAAGTTTGAATATTGTGGGCTAAATTAAACTTAAGTTATGCTAAAGAAACTGTTTTCAATTTCTAAGTAATAGTGACTTTGACCTTGTGACCCCAAAATCAATAGGGGTCTTCTACCCAATATGGACAATCATCCTATGAAGTTTGAACACTGTGGGCCAAATGAAACTTAAGTTATGCTCCGGAAACTGTTGTCAGTTTTAAGGTCATAGTGACCTTGACCTTTGACCTTGGGATCCCAAAATCAATAGGGGTCTTCTACCCAATATGGACAATCATCCTATGAAGTTTGAACACTGTGGGCCAAATGGAACTTAAGTTATGCTCCGGAAACTGTTTTCAGTTTTAAGGTCATAGTGACCTTGACCTTTGACCTTGTGACCCCAAAATCAATAGGGGTCTTGTACCCAATATGGACAATCATCCTATGAAGTTTGAACACTGTGGGCCAAATGGAACTTAAGTTATGCTCCGGAAACTGTTTTCAGTTTTAAGGTCTTAGTGACCTTGACCTTTGACCTTGTGACCCCAAAATCAATAGGGGTCTTCTACCCAATATGGACAATCATCCTATGAAGTTTGAATACTGTGGGCCAAATGGAACTTAAGTTATGCTCCGGAAACCAAATTGCTAACGGACGGACGTACGGACGCCAGGGGGTATAACATAATATGCCCGAAATTCTTTCGGGCATATAAAAAGTATGAAAATTAAATAACTTTTACCCTGCCTGAAATTGTGGTATGACTGTTCTTTGAATTTAGAACAAGAGGAAATGATCTGTTAATATATATTTGAATAAATGTTGCAGTTTATGTCTACAAAAATAATAAATTGATTAAACCTTGATTGAACATGAGTTAACTGGCTTTGAATTCAGAAATATCCAAAATTATGCAAATATGTTTAGTCTAAAGAGATATGTACCAAACTTAGATCTATAATAGTTGCAAAACGACTGTTGGCATTCAAATGTTTATCCAATACCTCCATCTAAAATCATCTTAAAATTACTCTGCATTTAAAGCAGCACACCTTTGCATTAGAAAAATAAATTTTCAAAAAAATCAAATTAAGAACAATATGTTTTTACAGTATAAATATTCATAATTTAGGTGAAACTTGGAATGTATAATGCAATTAATAATTATGTCTGTTTTTTTTTATTTTCACCCTGTTGTGATAAGTCATAGGTAATATCCTGTGGATAGTTAGTGATTTAAATATGGAAGCATACTATTATAAAGTTTGAATTCTGCAATCTAAAAATATTGCTGAAGGGTTTTTTAGTATTCTTAATTTACTATTAAAGTATAAATACAAGACCTGACGAGACCCTATACTGTAAGATGCTCTTGTCAAGTTAAAACATCTTGAAACCCTTTAAACTGGCTATGGACATTTCATTACTTAATGAACAAATGTATAAAAATTCAGCCTGTTGCCTATACAATTTTCTACGTACGAGACAATTTTCTGTGTATGTCAAATATTTTGTCGAGATTAGAGACCCTGTCCAAAAATAAGAAACAAACAAAGAGTATCATAATGACCCAGCATTACTCTCAAGATAATAAATGTACAATGTATATTAATTCATATTCTTGAATCAAACTGTGCATGCAGTTGTACATTAACAGAGAAACAAACATGAGCATGCGACATTGTAGTAGGACTTTAAATATGCCCGACTCTTTGGGTCCATGTAAAAATAGCTTAAGGTAATGACAGTCCAAGGAGTTTTATTATCAAAACATAACAGTCAAATAACATTTGATAGCATGTGGAAGGCATGACAAAAAAATAGTTTCTTTATTAGAGAAACAGACAATAAATGCGGAATTACCAAAACATGAGAATACGTCTAATGCAGCTTTTTTTTCATGTATTAACATCTGCAGAATTTCTCAGACTGATATAATAGCTCCCCCTGTGAGCTCACGCTTAACATGCTTCCTTCTACTGCAGAATGATGTGCAGTAGCCCTCTGACATAAAATCTTTACTTTTGTCCTTTAAAGCAGCACGCCTCCAGATTCATGTTAATTTTCATGTAAATTTTGGAAAATGTATTTAAAAGAAAAATATTGTGAGGTGAACAAATTAAGTAATAAACATATTGCAATCAGCACTTACAATCCACAAAAACAACAAAAAGTGGTTAATAGATGCAATAACAGCCCTTACTGCGTTAGTAACACAGTAGAATTATGGTGATAAAATACTGCAAAATCATTCTAAAACTGCACATGTAAAATATAACTTGGATCTTTTTTTACCTTTCTTAAAAGTTTAGTGCATTTTACTCAAAATTGATTTTCTTGAAATATTTTGGCTCATCTGGAGGCATGCAGCTTTAAACAAGTTGGCTAAATTGATGGTAATATAAACACTAGACCCAATTTCATGAAGCTCTGTTTCACCTTGATATAGCCTTTAATTTTCCTAGCACAACTTTCAGCATCATCTGTTTACTATCACAGGGCTGATCTGATACTCAGAAATGTTTTTGTGGATATCATCACTGGTATGTTGTTAAACAGATTGAAACTAAACTGTTCACGGAGTAATTATAAATCTTTAGGACTATTCTAGAATACATGCGTAGTTGTTTTAATTTCACATATTTTGATTTCTACATCTGTAAAATTGCATGATGTCATTCTATCTCGACTTTCCCAGCCATAAATTTGAAACTGCCTGCTCCTGTTTTCAAAGCTGGCAGAAGTTAATGCTGCTAGCACTGGTGAGTCATTCTCACTGCCAACATTTAAAACAGTTCAATCTGGTCATGTTTCCCATTTATACAAGATTACATTTAACACAATTAAAACTCCTCTGCCCATGGATTTTCTTCGAGATAATGTTCTATAACTTCTTTCATTGATAAATTGGGTATTAATTGAGTCTGATTTAAATCTGTTCTTGTCACAGGATCAAAATGACCAACTCTCTGAAAACAAACCAAAATAGATTATAAATAAAGGATCAAGAAGACTGACTGGTTAATTACATGTATATGTGGTGATCTTTATAAGTTTTCTTTAGTTTCTGCTGTGGGAGGGCAATAATTATGTAAAAAATCCTGGTTCTAAATCATCAATCTGGACTATGATCCTTTTCATGTTATCTTTTTATCAATGTTTTTTAACTAAACACAACAATCCAGTTGTCTTGTTTCACTTTCATTTTAATTCTCTCACATTTCTATCGAGTTGTCTTCTTTCACTTTTATTTTAATCCTCTCATATTTAACAACTTTAAAACTTTACAATCATCAACTTTTAACACACATTTAAAACTTTTTAGAATGATCACAGTGACAAAATACTAGCAAATTATACCATCATTGATTACTCTAGATGGAAAGTTGCGAATACATTCTAAACTACTAGAATATAGTAGAATCAATGCATCAATCATTTCTAGCAGTATCTAGATAATTACAAACGTTATACATCATTGATTATAAATACAAATTGTTTAACAATGTAACCGCTGAAATGAAAACCCAATAACTATTCATCAATACATATATAATCCTAACCTGTATTCAAATAATAACAAAAGGAGATAATCACAGTATTAAATATGTATGATTTTGTTAAAAGAAAGATGTGTCAATTGTTAAATCTTAACCAGTGGCACAAGATCCATCCTGTTCATCTGTCTTTCTCACCTTTCCATGACTTTATCATGAAACAATGTTAAGGTATTATCTGCAGATTCTGGCTCAACAAGAGAAAACAGTTTGTACATAATTTAAGACAAAAAAGACCTACTTGTCAGGTTGTTTTCTTCTTCACATAAAAATTCAACTCAAAGGAAATGTTTCAATGTTAGTAATCATAACCATTTGATCATGGAGACCATAGAGCAAATGATAAATAATGCATTACAACATTAGGAAATTTTATATTAAGTTTATTGAGTGTCCATGTCAATAGAACATGCATAAAATAAATCTATGCAGCATTTCATAATTCTAAATCTTTAAAAAAGTTCTTTTAAAGCAGTCAAAGATAACAAAGGTACTTGAACTCTATAAAACTCTCTCCTAACAAATTTAGATGTCACATCAGCAAAATTATCATTTCTATCTATTATTGATCAGGGAAAGATAACTGTAATTTGTAAAATTAAAGTTAAAATGGCTCACCTGTAAATGTTCAAGTATGTCTTTTTTATCATAGGTAATTCCACTAGGTGTTATCACAGGATCTCTCATTAACTCAAAACTGATTCTACCACACATACAGTCTGGTACATCTCGTTTCTATAACATATTATATACGAGTATAAGACTTAGTAACCTCTACCCTCTAGATAATGTTATACATTGTACATATATTTTAAGGAAAGCAACATCATATAACAGTATAAGTAATGATTGTAGTGTATGGACAAATCTAATCACACAGAGAATAATTCATGCTGCATATAAATGAAAATGTATTGCATGAAGATAATTTATCCCAAATTAAAGTTATGATCAATTATCATAAATAAGAAAAGAATCATTACAAGAGTACCTTGAATACTGACATGTTTGTTTTGTTTGTTTCATTTTACGCCTTTTCCCGTCATATAGGCGGGTAGTTTCCTAACCATTGTTCCTGGAGAGTTACACCAGTACTAGACTACCTTCCTCCGTGCTAAACTACCAAAGCATTACAGGGGATCAAACCCACACGAGAGAGGTAACTGGATTAGAAGTCATCAACTCTAACCCCTAAACCACGGAGACGGTTTCCTGATATGTAGTCATGTTAAGTTTTATTTCTCGTAAATATTATAAATATATATTTTCTAAATATTTCCTGTATTTCATACTTACTTGTCTTCTTTCATCAACTTGACCGAATAAATCATTGAGTTCTGCCATATGTTTATCCTGAAAAAATGAATAAATTTGATTATTTATCAACACAGAGAAGAAGTGAAATGTATGTAATGTTTAACTTTGTCATAAGGAGATAAACATCACTGTTTATATGAATTGTCAACAAAATGCTCCATTTTCATCAGTCTACAATAAACGACAAAATCCCTATTGGCATTTAGACATTTAAAATATTAGTTTTACCGGTATTTAAAAAGTGGCAAAGTTCCTATATTACAATGAGTGTTATAATTATGCTACATGCATCACTTGTAGTGTATTGTATTCCAAGAAACTTTCACGGAAACAATACTTTGCGTTTTTCATAAGTTTTGCGATTTCCTGGAGACAAAGTTTCATGCAATCATAGAGGCCTTGAATTTTGCGAATTTTATGTCGCTGGGGGTAAAGAGCATATATGTTACTAATATCACAATTGGGTTTCTGTATTTGTTCTATCTGTACCCGCAAGAAAAGACTTACATACAAAATTGACAAAACTGATTTTATTTGATCTGCAAATAATGGACTTTTACCTTGAAATAAGTATTAGTTAAGCATAGATAAAAGTTATGTATACTAAAAAAAAGTTCAGAATACTTCATACTGATATAATGAAAATCTAAGTGGTTGAAGCTACAAATGTTCGCGGATTTGTTACATGCAACTTTTTCGTGGATACTAACATTCGCGGAACTATATCTTCCACGAAAATCTCACATGAAAGATCTTTTCAGTAATTTTAGTTAGAGCAGACTGCAAGGGTTAATCAACCATACTTTCTGATTCTGTATTCAAACATAGTTTCAGCTGTAAACCCCAATGCTCTAAAAAACATACTAGTTTATTTTTATTCCAACAATATTTATTGTAACATTTACTATTACCTGTTCCTCCTCTAACACTCTAATTTGTTTATCACAGTCTGAATCTGACAGTTTATTTTCTCCTGCATTCTCTATCAATTTATCTTTCCTTCTGTAAAAAACAAGAGTAAAATATATGTATACACTGTATAACTATTGATGTTTTTCATTCTTCCTGGATAATTTTATAGGCCTAACATGTTTTTAAGAAACCTGTTCCATGACCAAATTGATAGTAAAATAACAACCAATGACATGCGCCTCACCACTGTTGATCTAAATCCCACCAAGGACTCTGGATGTTTATGCTGATTTATGAAAGGCTCCAAATGTCTACCTCTACCAATGAGCTGCAAAGTCACCATGCAAAGTGACTTGAAACCAAACCATAGGCAAAAGAAAATGTTCCCGTATGTGTAACTATAATCTCTGCTACAATATTGTCCCATCTGACACTCTGATGTTTTCACCATGTGATATGCTTAATATATGACACAACAATCTGCTGTTTATTAGTCCTGAATTTAAAATGAAAATGTTTTAAGCCAAATTATTCTACAGCAAGTCATCTATATTGTGAGCTGTTCATATACCACCTGTCAATAATACTAGGTATACAGTTTTAAAGTAATTGTGGGACAGACATTCAATGATTGGAAATGTATAGCTACACCCTAGTAAATTTAAATAAATGATTAATAACAGAATTAATTTGTCTAAAGTGAGATTTCTGAGAATGTTTGGTAAGTTTGCAATCTTAAGACAAGTCTCTGATTAGTAACAGAAAGTAAATTGAAATATTTCTAAGTTCTAACCAACATAAATACATGTTATACTATGGATGTGCAAAGTAGTTGCTGGATCTCATATTGATGTTAACAGTATTAGTCAACTTTATAGTCATAAGATAATACGAATTTTGTAGTTTACACAGATAACTTAAATAAAAGTTGCACTTTTATTATTATTACAATGAGAATTACTAATGTAAAATAACAAGATAGAAAGTTCTAAAGATTTACATGTTGAATTAGGCACATGTAAATTTAAAGTGACATTATGCTCATATGTTCATTATCAAGTTGAGCTAAATTAACTATATATTTTAAAACCTTTACTAACAGTGATTGACCAACAATTGATATTGAAAAATGTTTAGGATAAAATATAAAGCTGTCCCACTCTATAGGTAAATTTCGATGGATAAATATAGAAATTTCCATGGGCTGCTTGAGTTATTTATCATTCATGCAAAGTTAATTACAAAATTGAAAGGAATTATGGCAAAATTTAATTTAACTTATTTTGACTTTCACCTGCACACTCATTTTATACTTTAGCATGATTAATGTCATTTTAACATTTTGCTGTTAAAAAAATTCCATATTGAAAATCAATATAAATATTTTACGAAACCCTCACATTTCTTACTATTATAGTAGAACTCGATTAATTATTATTCCTACATGTGTATTTTCTATATTGTATTAATTTGCATAATATTGATGTATGTACTATTCTTTGCACATGTTTAAGTATTGTTGGTTAAAACAATAAACAGAGGCCATACCTTATAGTATGGTATGGCCATTAAACACAATTTGATAGTTTGTTATTCCTCGCGTGGCGGTTCATAAATATAAGCTATGCCGAAAAGCATCAGCGAACTTTATGCGCCGCCACGGGAGGTACGGGTTTTAGCCGTTCGTAGAGACGGCTGAACGGATAATAGCCCTACATAAAATCGTCTTGAACCAGTTAGCAATTACTAAGAAGCGTAGAAAGAGGAAGCAAAAATTTTACCCTCCTCCACCCCCTTCACCACAACAAAATTTTCAAAGGGTCTCAGTGTAACCCACATATTTCAGTGATTGTTAGAAAGATAGGCAGTATTTACTTTTTTATACATGCAATACTTTCTGTAACACTTGTAATGTTAATGATTATGTAGGCGTTTTTCTTACGAAACCCTCACATTTCTTACTATTATAGTAGAACTTGATTAATTATTATTCCTACATGTGTATTTTCTATATTGTATTAATTTGCATAATATTGATGTATGTACTATTCTTTGCACATGTTTAAGTATTGTTGGTTAAAACAATAAACAGAGGCCATACCTTATAGTATGGTATGGCCATTAAACACAATTTGATAGTTTGTTATTCCTCGCGTGGCGGTTCATAAATACATTTATACATAAATAAGGTACCATTCATAAAGTTAAACCAATGAACACATACATCATTTAATTTACTTTAAATAACTAAATTCAAGGTTGATGTTGGCATGTGAAAAATTTATTTAAGCAACAAAATAAAAGATAGTCAAATAATTATAATTATAAATTTTAATTCCTGCTGTTGCCATTCAATACCAAAAGGTTCATTATTGCAATGAAACAAAATGTGTTAATTTTACTTATTATACTTGAACATATAGATAACTAATATAGTAATTAAAGGATTTAAGATTTTTCAAGAGATAGCATGTTTGAGTTGTTACCATGACAGACTAACAGACTAGTAATCTAAGGATTGAACACAGTGTGGGTTCAAACACCTTCAGGGGCAAACGGTCATTTCCATCAGCAACAAACATCCATTGCTAAGTGGTTGGTTCCAGGACTGGATTACATTGTGTGTCTATAAGCTTATAGCTTCCTTCATAATCAAAATAATATATAAAATTTGAGCCGCGTCACGACAAAACCAACATAGTGTGTTTGCGACCAGCATGGATCCAGACCAGCCTGCGCTCTGCGCAGTCTGATCAGGATCTATGCTGTTCGCTATCAGTTTCTCTACTTGTAATAGGGTTGGTAAGCGAACAGCATGGATCCTGATCAGACTGCGCGGATCCATGCTGGTCGCAAACGCACTTTGTTGGTTTTGTTGTGACGCGGCTCAAATTCTGTATTTTTAACTTATTTCTAGTACATGTACCTTTCAATATCATCCCTAATCAATTTGTTTAAATATGACTGTAGATCTATTTCCTGCTGTATACGTTTATCTTCTAACTGACTCCATCTTTTTCTCTTGGCAAGTCTTAGAGCACTAGTTATATCATCTCCAAAATTCTTTCTTGAATCTTTAGCTAGTTCATTTGCTATGGATATAAAAAGAATAATTAAGAATGAACATTTATATTCTTTAAACTGTAATTTGTATCCAAATCTAGTCATCCTTACATTTTATTCTGATTTATAATATAACCAGTCATCAGATTTAGCACTGGCCCGGTGGCCCATGGCCAGTAAAAATTAGTTCAGGCCAGTGAAAATTTTAAGAAAATTTAGTTAAATATCTAGTAGAATAAATTCAAAACTGGAATTCGGGTTAGTAAATTCAAAATCTTAAATTCATTGACTGTATAACAGCAATTTTAATTTGCTTTTTGCACTATGATAATAAAAGAATAATCACTGAAAAAATCTTAAACAAGATCACAATTACATTGTAATAAGAATTATAATTATATACACTGAATATTTATCATTCTGTATGTAAGCTAGTATACCTCGTTTTAGGCAAGCTATAGCCTCATCATGGTGATTTTGTTCTGTAAGAGCAAGTCCCATAAAGTAGTGACCTTTGACCAGGGTTTTATCCAGTTCTAAAGCTCTACGACAATCCTGTACTGCATTCTCCCAGTGTTTCTGTTTTATGTAGCAAAGTGCTCGGTTTGTGAAGTATGTTGCCGTGTATGGATTTTTAATCTGAAAGAAGTGTTTATAGAAAGATCATAAGACTTCAAAGATCAAAAACTCCTACAACTTATTTCTTACACATGAAATGTGATATTAAATAATTTTAATTATCAAATTTCAATGACACTTTTCAATCTCTACAGTCCTGGTTATTCATATTCTATTATAAGAATGTTCATCACACTGAATACTAAAAATCCTATAGAATAAAATTTGCCCTCAAATAATTTGCATTTAGACGTAAAAAAAGTTTTATACATAACTTTTGGCACAATAACAAAATAACTATTAAACAAATGATAATTACATGAAGACTGGATGCGCGAAAAACTGAAAATGATATTTTTATAAACGCACATTCTCTGTTGGTGTAACAACAATTAAATCTATTGTCTGCTTCTGAATGAGCAAACAAACCGGTGCCACATTTTCCCAATTTGATAAAAACAAAATCATACATGAATTTCTTTTTAAACAAGAGCTATCACCCAAGTGATGAATGCCCCCCGAAAAGGTTTCTTAAGCATGCAAGTATTATGAAAAGAAAAGAGAATGAAAGTAACTTATTTCTTAATATTGTTCTTGTGAAGTAAAGTGCTATTTATAGCAAACTTAACACCTTTGGACAAGGGTCTTGAACGCAACACATCGTCTTGATGTGGTTGACATTTTAAAATCCTTTGATGCATGACAAAGTTACAGTCTAGACACAAATAAAGTGGGGATGTACAGACAGACAGATGGATAAAGACAGAGGTGCGATTTTAATATGCTGCCCTTCTGGGGCATAAAAAGTGGCTGAGTCCACCTTTTTAGCTCACCTGTCACAAAGTGACAGGGTGAGCTTTTGTGATCGCTTTTCGTCCGTCGTCCGTCCGTCCGGCGTCCGTAAACTTTTGCTTTAAATGACATCTCCTCATAAACCACTGAGCCAATTTCATCCAAACTTCACAGGAATGTTCCTTTGGTGGTCACCTTTAAAAATTGTTCAAAGAATTTAATTCCATGCAGAACTCTGGTTGCCATGGCAACCGAAAGAAAAATCTTTAAATATCTTCTTTTAAACAACCCTAACAGCTAGAGCTTAGATATTTGGCATGAAACATCTTATAGTGAGTGTCTACCAAGTCTGTTCAAATAAAAGCCCTGGGGTCAAAATTGGCCCCGCCCCGGGGGGTCATTGATTTTCCCTATATTCATATAGTAAAAACTTAAAAAATCTTCTTTTAAAGAACCCAAAGAGCTAGAGCTAAGATATTTGGCATGAAACATATTCTAGTGAGTGTCTACCAAGTTTGTTCAAATAAAAGCCCTGGGGTCAAAATTGGCCCCGCCCCGGGGGGTCATTGATTTTCCCTATATGCATATAGTAAAAACTTAAAAAATCTTCTTTTAAAGAACCGCAAGAGCTAGAGCTTAGATATTAAGCATGAAACATCTTCTAGTGAATGTCTACCAAGTTTGTTCAAATAAAAGCCCTGGGGTCAAAATTGGCCCCGCCCCAGGGGGTCATTGATTTTCCCTATATGCATATAGTAAAAACTTAAAAAATCTTCTTTTAAAGAACCCAAAGAACTAGAGCTAAGATATTAAGCATGAAACATCTTCTAGTGAGTGTCTACCAAGTTTGTTCAAATTAAAGCCCTGGGGTCAAAATTGGCCCCGCCCCAGGGGGTCATTGATTTTTCCTAAATGTATATAGTAAACTTAAAAAATCTTCTTTTAAAGAACCATAAGAGCTAGAGCTTAGATATTTGGCATGAAACATCTTCTAGTGAATGTCTACCAAGTTTGTTCAAATAAAAGCCCTGGGGTCAAAATTGACCCCGCCCCAGGGGGTCATAGATTTTCCCTATATGCATATAGTAAAAACTTAAAAAATCTTCTTTTAAAGAACCCAAAGAGCTAGAGCTAAGATATTTAGCATGAAACATCTTCTAATGAGTGTCTACCAAGTTTGTTCAAATAAAAGCCCTGGGGACAAAACTGGCCCCGCCCTGGGGGTCATTGATTTTCCTTATATGTGTATGGCAAAAACTTAAAAATCTTCTTTGAAAAAACCCAAATAGCTAGAGTTTAGATATTAAGCATGAAACATCTTTAAGTAAATATCTACAAAGTTTGTTCAATTAAAAGCCTGGGGGTTAAAACTGGCCCTGCCCCAGGGGTGTCATTGTTTTTAACTATATGTGTATAGTAAAAACTTTAAAAATCTTCTTTTAAAAAACCCAATGAGCTAGAACTTAGATGTTTAGCATGAAACATCTTCTTATGGGTGTCTACCAAGTCTGTTCAAATAAACAAATAAAAGCCCTTGGGTAAAAATTGGCCCGGGGGTTGGGGGGGGGGGGCCTATATACAGGTGAGCGACCTCAGGGCCATCATGGCCCTCTTGTTTCTATGAGTTACAACTTGATCAACATATCAGTGAAAAAGTGTTACCAACATCTTATAAAGAGCTGAAAGTTTAATACCTAAGAAAATTAAGATATTGTTAATCACCGTGATAAGACGTGCTAGGATATGTTTCGTAAATATGGTTTTCTCATCTTAATGTGCAGTTTTTTATACATGACAGATATAAAGAATTATTTTTATTTAGATCTGTTTGCCATTTGATGTTGGTTCAGACCAATAATAACTTGTCAGCGAAATTTTACCAAAAAAACTTTAACTTTCAGTTCAATTCTGAGTATATTTCTTTATTATCTTTTGCATATTTTTCTATTTTATGTGCCCCAGTTCATGTTAAAATTTCAAATTTATAAGTTTTTGTATCATACCCACTGCGAAACCTAACCAAAACAACACAAATTAACCTCATTATAATTCACAGATCATTTTTTCATAATAAATTCTTGTTCATTATTCAATAAAACATATATTTCAACATCATTCTACACCATTTAAAGTATCAAAATACTAAGTAGGTCACTGCAAAACATTAGTTACATTGACATTAATGTCTGCCATGACACTTAAGAGATATGCAAGAATATGCAGACATGTATATATTGAACATCTTTGTGAATTTCAACACTTTTTAGTGCTCAGTATTTATTGTCTAAATAAAACAATGCAATCTTCCATGTATTTAAAAAATATAAACAACATAAACAACAGTATAACTGTTGTATATGAGTTGTCTTTTACACAAAGTATTGATGACTGACACTTCTTTACACTTTTACTCTGCTTATCTTCTCAATACCATTGGTAAGTTTAAACTGGTGGTGGCGCAATAGCTCAATTGGTTAGACCAATGATTATCACTCAATATCACTCCTGAGGTCCAAGGTTTGATCCCGGGTTATAACCTTGGGATTTTTCAGAGACACTTTCAGTGTTTCCCACCTACCTAGAGGTGTACTGGTAAGAAATCCAGGTAATCCTATCATGTATCAGTCCTATTTACTGGGCATGTAAAAGAACCATGGGGTTTATTCAATAAGAGCTAGGAACTGGTTCCCGAATTCCCTTATATCTCATATCTGTCTCTTGAAATTGTATACAATGTATACCTGCTTAGAGTGATCGTAAACGATTTTAAAGCAGTATGATGTAGAACTAGACATTCTCTTCAACAATACTGTTGAGGAAAGTTTTTTCACGTGATAGATGCAAGCAGAAACATTTAATAAACATATTTAAAAGTCAACAATTTTACTATATATATTCTTCCATTTTAATTTTATCATGAGATTTTTTTATTACTGTACATTAATTTTATGTTTAGACCGATTAGACGCAATTTGCAGTTATAATAACCTTCTTTTATCAAAAAAAGGATGTTTCACAAAAGTTATTCTGGGGCTGATTTAGATAGTTTTGAGGTAAATTTGACTAATTTTGGGACAGATTCGACTTAGGACCCAAGGCCGTCGTCGATGGTCCGGCCGGACCAATATTTTGGCCAAAAATGAGTAAAAAAAGAACACAAAAACAAAAAAAAACATGCATCGCTGATTAGCAATTTGACACTTAACTGGCCCCTTATGCAATGCGCGGTAATATACAAACATGACACGAAGAAACAACTGGACACAATTAATTGACCAGGTATATGTAGGGGTCCTACAAAGTCAAGTTTGAGTACCTTTTCGGTGTAATGTTTGCACACGACATCCTAGCATTGACAGACAACCTCAGCAAATCTCCTCAACAAGTTTCATTGTCAGCATCCGAGGGCCAGCGGCTAGCAAAGCGGACTCTAGATAGTTTGATAGACATGAGATCAGACGACAGTTTTGATTCTTTATAGATTAAACTTCAAAGTTGGTGTTAACGATCCAAATGTTCCGCAGAAGAGAAAGGCGCCCACACGATTCGAGATGGGGCACAGTGTTGGCTACAACCCCGTTACAGTGCAGGACGTGTTCCGGCCTAAGTACTTTGAAGCAATCGATCTTGCCATCGCCAGTATTAAAGAGATTTGACCAACCGGGATATCGTGGAGAATTTACTTAAAAAGGCCGCACAACCTTTGAAGACTGAGTCCACTAGAGAACTTGGTTTTGTTTGTGATTTCTGTGGTAACGATATTAACCGAGACATCTTAGATGTGCAGCTTCACATTTTGACAAATCAGAAAATAGTACTGTTACTCTACCCGGCTTTTGAAATTTGCGTCAGAACAGTCGGTGCTAGACTGAGCACTGTTCGTTGTGTTGTTAAAGATTTTGTTTGTAATGCCTGCTACTAATGCTACCAGTGAAAGGACATTCTCGGCGTTCAGAAGAATTAAGACATACCTGAGATCAACAATGTCTCAAGTACGTTTGAACAATCTAATGGTGTTAACTGGACAGATCTACTCAACTTACATGTAATTGCCAATGAGTTCATCACTACCAGAGCACGACGGCGTTGTGTTTTTGGAAAATTTACATAAAATGAGACTCTGTGTTGTGTAAGATTATTGTTAACAAAATACAAGTTACTGCTAAACAAAAAGTGGTTATTGTTGACTCGTAATGAACTATTCTTCCATCATGTCATTGATTGTTATTTAAGCTTATACCAATGTGTGATTTATGCTAAACAATAATCCATGTACTGTAATATTTCTTTTATTTGTTTATTTATAATCATCAGATAAAAATGCATTTAAAGAATTATAATAACATCAGTTATTGTTTATTTTTCATTTGCCAAATATCAATTACATGTATTCATCTTTTATGTACACCTGTCCGTCCGTCATGCGAACCTTAAATTTCACCCTTAAAACTTACGACGCACTTAAATCTGTAAAAAATCGTTGACATATTACTATAACATGTACTAGCGGCAAGCTGTAAACTGTGCCAAATATACGGTAAAACGCCCCTGACAGCATCCTAGAATAAAAAATTTTCCGGGGGGAGCATGCCCCCCTACCCCCGTAGATTCTACCTAAAACCAATCAAATTGGCCGCACCAATCACAAAATCGTGACGACGGGCCTGGGACCAGTTTGACTTGGGGCCAATCTGACTTTGGGCTGATTTGACTTTTTAAGTAGTTTGTTAACGCAACAGCATGTCTGTTGAAAATGTCCGACACCTGTAATCACTACAAGTAAAAACAGTCTGCTAATTTGTCACTGAAAAGTAGAAGTAAAGAGCAACAAGGAATTATTTTCCTTGAGTTGTTCTACCATAGTAGTCCATTACTGCTTTCCTGGGTCTGGCCCTGGGATAGTCTCAATATTTCGACGGCAAGACAGACCGATTTTATAATATGATATTTCATAGATGTCTGTCTTTTTGTCGCGAAGGGGGACCACCGAATATACAAAAAAGCCCTAAAGCGCACAATTTGTTGGGCTAGCCCTGGGATGACTGACATAAGCTATTATAAATCATTTATAAACTCACAATGGCTTTTGAATAGCATCCAATGGCCTCATCATATTTCCTTGCGGTAAAAAAACGATTTCCCTGTTCTTTTAAGTCAGAGTCTGTCATACTTTATTCTTTTTTTCCGCTATTATTTGTTTTCCTTTCAATCTAAGTTGTCAGACGCTTATTCAAGAAGCATCATTTTTTACCGGGGATCATCTAATATTTAAAATTTATAATAATCTAGATTTTACTTTGTGTCTATCATTTCAATCTTCCAAGCTTCTTTAGTCATAAAGAAACAGTTGCTAAATTTACATATTTACAAGTAACAAAAAACACTATAAATTTCTATCGAGTGTCTAAAATTATAAATTTATGAAATAACTTATCCTGCAATCAAGGGAAGCTACTCGTCAAATTTATTTTCTATCAAACAAAGCGAAAAAAAACACAAAAATCCAAAAAGAAATGACAGAAATAACACTCCGATACGATGCGATTCAGAAAAGGTTTATTGATATATTGTCTTTGAAGTCTTTCTTTTTTAATTTAGATTTGTGTTTTAAACATAGATAGTGCAACATTTTTTCTTTCATGATCCAGTTTTCTGACCCCACCCACTCATTTTGTAATATGAAAAAGGCAAAGCCTCAAAGCGAGCTCGATTTACTTTTACCTTGAAATAGCATTAAATATTCGTTCATTTTTATTTTACATTTTCCGTTTTAAAATTGTCAATTGTTATTTTATACACTGCTTCCATTTATTCTGGTTCCCCCTTTCTATTAATATAGTTCCTATATATACTGACAACATCACTAATTCCGCGTCATCACTTATCTCACGGTAATGGCATATTTTCATGTGACCATTGTTATAGCGAGCTCGACGAGCTGGCCCGAAGGGCCTGCTCGCAAAGCGAGCTTTACGGTAACGCGAGTACCTGATGGTTTTGAAAACTTTCGTCCAAAGTACCGAATTGGACACATCGCAACTTTTCGAATTTAAAGATAATGATAAAAACTAAGGAATTCTGACTGAAAACGGATGTGTAGACTGGTCACCCGCGCACGTCTATGGGAACCATAATTGGACAGGGAACCAGAATAACGGAAGCTGTGTATAAAAAATGAAAATCGAAGGCGCCATTTTGTTTGAAATCTGATAAAAAAAAACATTTTTTTGTCGAATTTTGTTGTGAAAACTATCTAGAATGAAAGAAAATGGTCTAACTAAGAAAATGAATCCGAACACCAATATCTTTTATTCAGTCGTTAACGCTGTACAGACGTTTAAAGTATTGTTTACGTGACGTCACAATGTAGCGCCAAACAGTACGTGCAAAACAAACAAATCAAGTACGCTATTTTAATCTTTATTTCGCTTGAAAAATTATAGAGTGAAAGAAAATAAACAAAGTTTTATCAACGTTTTCAAAACTCGTTATTCATTTCACGACAGGGGCGGAGCCATATTTAACACAGTACGTATGACGTCACACGCACTCGTTACTGCATTTCAAATAAAAATGAGCGATTATTTATACTATTTCACGTAAAAAGTACATCAAGCTCGCTTTGAGGCTTTGCCTTTTTCATATTAATTGGCCAGAATTGACATTTTTTATTCAACCACCTTAACAACAAAGTTTTTGTGCAAAATAATTTAAATCTATAGATTTTTACGTAAAACTGAACAACATTTTACAAACTTCTGCAAAAAACAACAATAGTCCATTAAATTTGTGCATATGTCTGAAACAATCATCATTTTCTAAATGTTCTTGTTTGTTGAAAAAATAAATTTTGAGTTACAATGTAAAGATACTTTTAATATTTAAAATTATGCAAAATAACTTTAAGAAATTTTAACAGAAACAAGAAAAACTGAAATAAAACACCATTACCGCGAGGTAAATGATGACATACTGTTTTCAAAATGGCCGACACACGTTTTACATCTGACAAATTAAAACTAATTTTGATTGAATATATTGTTGTTTCATTGTGTCATATAACAGAAAAATGACTAAATGATACAGTTTATAACAGTTTTTGTTATGTAAGTTTATTGTTTGTGTTCTTTACTGTTTTAAAGTGTTAAGTACCGTGAACTAAGAGGAGCACAGTATAAGTGCGCAGGACACCAGTCTACGCTTCCGTTTTCAATCAGAGTACATCGGCTTTTATCGTTATCTTGTAATTCGAAAAGTTGCGATGTGTCCAATTCGGTACTTCGGACGAAAGTTTTCAAAACCATCACTTGGCAGGTACTCGCGTTACAGTAAAGCTGGCTATGCGAGCAGGCCCTTTGGGCCAGCTCGTCGAGCTCGCTAATAAGAAATTAAGGCAAAGCCTCAAAGCTAAATCTCAGACAGAAGTTATCTTACATACAAATGTGAGATAGATAGATTTAATTTATACGATATTGAGTTGCTTTAAAAATCTAATTACTTTGCCTGTGATTAAATCTAGTGCATTGAACATCGCAATATCGATATACCATCAATATTCATCATCCGATACAATATCTATACACACTTTCACATATCGATACAAGCTAAAAAAAATTTTATTTCTGTAAATTAATATATCTCTATTTTGGCTTATAAGACAGTGATTTTTTTTCCAATTTTCAAAACAACCTGTGGCTTTCTGAAGGGGAAAATATAGTGTGATGAATCAAAAAAGGGGGAAAACCTGAAATCAAATTCCAACAACTGAAAATGGAATTTACCCACACTTTTTAATATGGAAAAAAAATAATAACAATTCAATTTTACATGCATGGAACATAGCAGAGGCTATATATCAGGACAGATTTCTGTCTTCTGGATAATAAAAGTCAGATGCTGTTAAGTCATGGTTCTGGTAAGGAAGAGCACGAGGCATTTTGGGGAAAATGTTAGCATTTTTAGGGGAAAATATACCTATTTTGGGCTAGGGGAAACAGCCTTTATTCGGCTGTAAAATACAGTGAAAAAAATCACTGTAAGAGAAGTCACTTTTTTTTGTTTTCTTGGCAAACTTGAAATTTAAACTCTGTTTTCAAATGTCAGTGACAAAAATAACAGAAAAAACAAACTTTCTGTTTGTTTGTAGTATTTGTAATGTGTAATACAAGCATGTATAACACTATGATCCCAATTTATAACACATATATAAATGTTTTTCTTTGTATCTACTGTCAAAGTCGATATATCGATGTATCGTCAATATTTGTCTCTCGATATATCACTACAATATTTTCCATCAATGACAGCACTTATTAAATCTTAGCCTGTTATCCTGTTGTGAAGCAGTCAATTTTTTAGTTTTGGTTTCCAAAATTTTTTAAGCTTCTTTTTTTTTCTTGTATTTCATCTGATGCAGCATTGAAGTTTGGAGCAGAACCATTGTGAAACCTAACCAAAATTATTTTAATATCGATTTATACATTTTAAAGTATCAAAATATTAACACTGTCATTAAAGTTGCCTATTTAACTGTGAAACATCAATTACATTGAGGCAGTCAGCCATGACATTAAGGAGTTATGTGAGACCTCTTATATAAATGACGTAATTTTTGGGAATCGATTTAACTTAAGTCATGTACTATATTTCGAACATCTTTGTTGTCATGATTTCAATATTTATAATTCAAGATAATGCTTTTATTTATTTTCTAATTTTATTTTTTAATATTTTAATAAAATTGAACACAAAAGTCAATATCTTTAAAAAAAGTAATTTATAAAAAGGTTAGAGGCACATTGGTTCTGTTTTCTTACCCATCTGCACAAATTAACCCTTAAAGGTCAATCCCGTAATCATATGGTATGGTCAAACATTTTTGCTTTATTCATACTAGAACATTGTATTCTTCCTCACTACAAAAATTAGTGAATAGTAATTAAGGTGAATCATATAATGGGAGCACTTTGAGCCCAGTGGGGTAATTTTATTGCAGCATGGGCATGTCCACGTAATAGCAAGCTCAAAGAGCAGGCCCTTTCCAAACAAGAAAAGGATTTCATTTAACAGGATCTTGTTTAGTTATCGGGATTAGGATTATTGTCATCATGGGTACCCATCAATCTAAATTACACATTGATGATTGTTGGAGAATTAAACACACCGAAAGCTTTTGTTGTAAAACTATTTATATAAATTAAACAAAAAAAGATTTGTTTTCTGTATCAGGACTGCATTCCTTTTCTTGTCATTGTTGCTTAGGCCATACAAATGAAAACAGTTTTCACGATGTCACTGTGCTTGACTTTAGACATGATTTAATTGTTGTTTTTGTTGTTATGAAATTAAAAAAGGATCTGCACTGTGTTTGTGTTTCAGTATTGGGGGCTCTGATGCCTATTACAATGATGCTATAGAACAAGCTGCAAGCTTCAATGTTAGATTAAAGAATGATCGTAAAATGAGACTGCCATTCCTTGACTCACAAACTGGTGTAGCTCAAAGTCATACAGATCTATGGCATACATACAGGCACAGGCAACCAGGTGAGTAATATTCTAACTTCATTGGGATTGTATTGATTTTTGACTGTTCTGCAGAGTTTAAGTGACCTAAAAAATTATTTACTGTTACTTACATGCATATTCAATGATATATGCCTTTCTGTAGCATGCAACAACAAATCCAAGTTCTGCCCTTGTATACAGACTTGATTACATGTTATTATTGTACACAGTTGTCTTGATTAAAAAATTTTGAGAAGTTTGTCTAACTCTGCTGCAAAAAGATAAAAAAATTGTTTTAAATGAAAGTCAGTTTTTGAAACCCAAAATGATTTCATTTTTCTACTGATAATGAAATTGATGAAAAATGAAAATCAGGTTTGTATCATAGTATAATGCATTTAGAATATTTAGGTAGTCTTCTGTTGATTTCATAAACTTTTTTTAGCTCAAAAAACATTACTTAAGTTATAATTTAAGGTATTCAAAAAGTTATATTCTAGCTGCAATTGCAGAACAGAACAGAAAAACAGAACAGATTATTTATTCAGATTGGCACATAGTTCATTATCTTGTACATGTGTATAAATAAATATATATGTCAACGTGAGATACATTAATTAAGAACAGACTAATTTTTTTACAGCAACCTTAGAAAATCGAGTACATATTTATGCATATAAATCAAAACAATTTATCATGTATAAGGAGATAGAACATGTATCAGAGTTATCTTTCTACAGTTAATACTGAATTTCTTAAAGCAAGAGCGTTTTTGATGAACTGTGATAATTTAATGAGCTCAGTTTTATCACAAGAATTCAAGAGTTTGATAAATTCACCGGATATAAACAGATGGTGTTTTGATGTAGATGTTGATGTTTTTTCCTTAATTCTGAATAACTTATTATAAATATTATATGAACATCTGTTTTACTAGGAAAGTTTCCAGGTCAGATATACTCGTATCCAGAGAGAAGATGGAAAAAGAAACGCCATTACTTCTTGTTCCCTGAAGAGCGTACAGCAAAAACAAGTGAAATAGAGACTGGTGAATCAGGTACATACAATAATTGCTAATAATATTATAGCTTTTCCTTTCATACATCTTTTTGACACATTACATGAAATAAATAGCAATATCACAGATGACTGAAATTAAAATCGTCAATCTGAAGAATACTATGTAGCTCCTACTGTAGTCTAAAAAAGCATTGTTATTCTTTAGCCTATACATGTTTGTATTCTGTTTTTCTCGTTCAAAATTTGTATTAGCATAAGTATTTATGTGAATTTATTTTTGAGTCTTAATTGTATTTTTGTGTTATATGTTTTACTGTTTTATAAAACATTGAGTTTGTCAGTATGTAGATGCCAGAATGAGGCTTGTTTAGATCAGAATGATTATAATTTTGAATAACACATTGACGTAGGCTTGTAGGGCCATGTCTAGTTATAATATGAATGTTTTGGCTAGACTTGTACATTTACAGAGATTAGTACCCCAAGACGTAAACAACGACAAGAAGTGGTACAGCCAGGTATTATATGCTTACACTTGGCCTGCAATATTGTCTTAATACTTGGTTAATATGCAGTTGTTTTTTATAACACTGAACCGTGGGGTGTAATATTCTAATATGACAAATTTGCTTAATTTAGCATGCCTGCTTTTGATTAGGATTAAACAGTATGGGCTAGTGAGTTTAATTGCAGACATAATACATGTATATTATGTTAAAGATAATAATGATTAAGTTTAAGGCTTTGACTATATTTGAATTCATCTACTGATGCTTGCTTGAGAGTTTGTCATACAAACCATAATAGTTTCTGCTACTTTATTCTGGAATACCAGTACTGATTACTGGAAGGTAAACTGCCTTTCCCTTTATGACGGGTAACCATAACCGGTTCAAAGTCTGCTGTAGATGATAATTTTTTTTAACATTTAAGGAATTTTTCAGCTAGCTAATGAAAATCTGATGTTCAGCAACGAGTAAATACAGAAAGTTATGAACTTTACACTGTTGATGTGATTGTTGTTACCATATGAGTACTTATTTCTGCAAGGACTTTATTTCTGCGAAAAACAATGAGACCTAAGATTTGAAGTTAATGTTGTGTGTAATACTAGGTGCCTGTACACTTGAATGTTGCATTGTTTGTGCAGGTAATGTGTAATACATTGCCGACTTGCGTTGAAATAAATTATAGCGGCTTCAAAGGAGCAATTAACACCATTGATAAGATTTTCTAATTTATGTATGTCATCTCAGGGCTTCCAATCACGGAAGTATAGGAGCCAGGTACTGCTAATTTTGGCTTGTGACTTCCAAACTATAATGCTTTTCCTTCTTTACCTATATAATGTGACTTCCAGTGTTAGACATTTTGCAGTCTCTGACTTCCAAATTTTGGAACTTAATAGAAGCTCTGTCAACTTAAAGCTACTATCCCACACATTGTAGTTTGGATGCTTTTGAAATAAAATGTCATGACAAGATAAAATTTGAACACAGACTTGTACATTTATATTTAACTAGATGATTTATACATGTCTTGTTCGACAAAGAAACATCTAATTAAAAAGTTTTTGCAGTGTTTATTCTGTTGTAACTTTAAAAAATGGTTGCTAGTAGATCCGTTGGATGAGGGAGTTGTGGGCTTGGTAAGTTTTTTTTATCCTGCAATTGATTGCTGCACTATACATTAAAAAAATTATGTCTTTAAAAAAAAGAGAAGAACATATTTTGGTATCTGGTTTAAAAGTGACATTTACATAGTAAGTTCTATCTGCATCAAACTGGTCCTGCTTGATACATGTTAATGGGTGTGATAACAGGGGTGTTTATTATTGTGTCAAGTGAAACATGACAACCATTACCACGTGGAAACTGCAAATTTTTCTTCTATATATATTTAATAACTGTAAACAAATATGTTGATTTTTAGACCCATTTTTTTTGGGAGAGTAGCTTTAAATGAATTGATAAGCTTATAAAAGAAAAAGACACAGTAATATTTTCAATTTCATAATATCAAGACTAGCTGTCAATGTATACAGTAAAACCCCTCCATCAACTTGACTGACAGGTGGTCTCATTAGTAGATGTTATTATCAAGGCATATACATGTATATGCACTGACCCACAGTCTCTTTTTGTCATTTCATATGAACATGTTCAAACAATATGTATTTTAATCTTCAAATAAAAAAAATGTTCCGATATTTAATCTGATGACAGCAAAACATAATTCTGGAGAAATTTAATATTAAAGATTAAATTCTCTTTGGCTAGGTTTCAATATTAAATGATGTACATAATTCATCTATCAAATAAGTATTTAATTTTTTGGCAAAGTAAATGTGCAGAAAGCATCATTAAACCACTCTGAAATTTATTTTCTCAATTTGCTTTAGACAAAATTCCAAGTTTTTAGACATTGTTTCATTAAGAGTCTAGCCCAAGAGCATGCAAGCAGATAACAGTAAACTTGTGGTCTAAATAGGTGTTGAGTGGATTGTCAATGGTCTCAAAGTGGGGTCAAATAAAGAATAAAACAGTCAGTGGTACTAAAGTTGATAAGCACTGTGGTCTTAATTATGGATCATGTTAACATTGACATGAAGAACAGAAAAAATTTTTCTTGTAAAAATTGGTCTAAATAATGGGTTGGCCATAATTCTGGATTTCTTCTTCTGTACTTTTGAATTGTTGCTGTTTCTTTGTGTATATTATATGATGATGACAAAACAATTTTGCTTATCGGTTATTAGCACTCTGAGGTTAAAAAAAAACTGTCAAATACAGGTAAATGTCACTGACATAAGTTATTATATGTCTTTTCCTCTAAAGCTTAATGATCTAGAGATACGCATCAATTTGAAACCGATATGGGATATGCAGATGTCAATATCATGTTGTTTTAACAAAATTCACAGAATACTAAGCTTGCAGAAATAATTACCTATAGAGTTATTATGATTTATTTATGTTAAAAATGCTTAATAAAGGTACAGATAAATATTAAGCTGTAAAGATGCTTCAGGGAGGAGTGATATTTTGTACTAAGGCGATGAAGGAAAATTTAACCTAGTGTGGAGAACTATCCTAAACTTTGCATGATTAAAGAGAATCTTAATTGACAAAAATTGATGAAAAAAACATTATAGGTGGTCACAGTTCTACTTTTTGAGATATCTGCTCCTGAAAGGACTTTTCTGCTCTTTTAATTAGCTCACCAGAGCCGAAGGCTCAGGGTGAGCTATCAGTATCAAAGGGGGATACTCCGTCGTCCGTCGTCATGCGTCAACAATCGTCTTCTTCTCTGAAACTGCTGGACAGATTTACTTCAAATTTGGTCTGTAGCATCCTTGTGACAGTCACACTTGAATTTGCTCATGTCATTTCAATTGGCCCTTTTTAGGGATCAACAGAGCTAAAAATAGAAAAACCTTTTAACATCTTTTACTACAGAACTAATTGATGGATGATCACCAAACTTTGTCTGTAGCATTCTTGGGTAGTCTTTTATCAAGTTTGCTCATATTAATTTGATTGGCCCCTTTTAGGGGTCAATAGGGCTAAAATTAGAAAAAAACATTTAGACATCTTCTATAGAACTAATGGATGGATGATCACCAAACTTTGTCTCTATCATTCTTGGGTAGTCTTTTATCAAGTTTGCTCATATTAATTTGATTGGCCCCTTTTAGGGGCTGCTAAAGCTAAAAATAGAAATTTCTTTAAACATCTATATCTAGAGAACTAATTAATGGATAATCACCAAAATTTGTCTGTAGCATTCTTGGGTAGTTTTTTTTATCAAATTTGCCCATATTAATTTGATTGGCCCCTTTTAGGGGTCTCTAGACCTAAAAATAGAAAATCCTTTAGACATCTTCTTCTACAGAACCAATTGATGGATGATCACCAAACTTTGTCTGTAGCCTTCTTAGGTAGTCTTTTATCAAATTTGCTCATATCAATTTGATAGGGTTAGGGTTAGGGGTCAAGGGAGCTAAAAATAATATAAACCTTTAGACAGCTTTTTCTACAGAACGTATTGATGGATGATCACCAAACTTTGTTATTAGCACTCTTATAGTAATCTTTTATAAAAATTGCTCATATTTATTTGATTGGCCCCTTTTAGGGACTGCTAAAGCTAAGATACCACAGACCATGGCATTTCTTCAAATTATAGTTTAATGAAAGGGAAACAACTCATGTTTGAATTTCTTTCATACATGTGAATGACCTGCTGTTTGCTGATGAAATTATTTGAGGTCATGACCTCTTATGAAATAACTTGGATATATAAGGACTTCGTATCAAGCTTTACTTGGTTTCATTCATATTCACTTAATTACATCACTACATGCAGTGTTTTCTCTAGAAAGCTTTTTCTGCGTTTTTGACGCAGTCCTTTTGCATTTGACGCGGTAATATCATAGCGTGTGTTTTCCGTGACGCATATATTTGCGAGCGTCATTGTATATATTTTTTTCTATAAATAGCATGAATCAGCTGATTGGTCACATGATTTATCTTAGACGATTTAGTGAATATTACACGTTAAAAGCGCTTAGATGCTTCAGATTCTGACGTCATTATCCGGGTAAATTCACAAATGTCTGCTTCGAAAAAAAGCAGTGAAGATTGACTTCATTCTTCAATAAAGACAATGTTAACATTAATGGGCCAACAGAATCTACCGTAAACAACTCTGCGCCTATACCAAATGAGGTTTCCCAACCAAATCAATCGGCGAATGCTGAAACAACTGAGAAATCCAAGCAAAATGATAAATTATGCTCCGATGAAAGCAATTTTTGGTTGCGGTATGATGGTAATAAAATGACTTGCACAGTTTGTATAACTGAAAATAAAGACAATCCATTCACATCGGGATGCACAAACTTTAGAGTTTTGTAGTACCGTATGGTACTGGTTACGGGAGTTGACGGAAGTTCGGAACTAGTGTGTTAGGCTTGACAGTTAGTGTAATTTATAACTAGAAGAAGTACTGAAGTAGGCAATTCCTAGCTTGGCTACGATCCATACGTGGAAGGTAACTCGATTGTTTGTATTGTCTAACAAAGCTCCATAATTTTACCGATTGGGCACGAATTTGCCCTCAAATAAAAAGTTTGTTGTCCCATACTGTAAAAACCTTACATATTTTGCATGTGACATTTTGTGTATTCATTCACAAAAGTTATAAAGAAAAAATGTTCCATCAAAATTAACCCTGATGTAGTGGTCATTTATCAGGTCTAGGATTTCATGATATTTATGGACTGTCCGTAAATTTATGGATAGTCTAGAAATTTAAAGATTTTTCAATCCATAAATTTACAAATCTATATTCAATGTGAAATTTGCTGTTTTTAGTTTTACACTAAAATCCGCAGCTTCTGACTAGTTTTTTTTATTGATTGTTTATATTTACAAACGTAATGTGGTGAGTTTCATCTTTGTATGATGATTTTGAAATATTTAATAAAAGTGAAAATTGAAAGTCATCATATTGTTTTGAATCTTACCATACTGTTACATTTAATCATATAGTATGTAACCTTATTAATTTTAACCTGTGGTTTTGAATTTTAATGCAACTTCTACTATTTTCTTACTTAATGTCTGTAAATTTACAGATACAAAAATCTGTAAAATTATGGCTCGTCCAAAAATTTACAGACTGTCCGTAAATATCATAAAATCCTAGACCTGTTTATTCTGCATTATTTTATTCTACATAATCTCATGGGAACACACTTGCAACATAGATATTTTTAATAAAGCCTCCAAAATATTAGAGCAAAATATTTCAATAATTAGAAGGGCAAGTAAAAGTTGAGCTGGACTGGTCTTTCATCAAGTTCTTTGAAAAATAACACTGAAAAACAGTTGTTTCTGGTGAGCTACTCAGGGCCATCATGGCCCTCTTGTATAATATTCAGTTGTTATTGTTGTTAAGGCATCATCAGGGTATGATGTCATAAAGACAACATGCCATGTCATAAAGACGACTTGCCAAAGCTTTCACTTAAATTATAAAATGTAACCTACAATGTGTAAATCTTGAAATTGAGCAATATCAATACTTATATATGATATTACATGTACTTGGATTTCATTATTTGTTGTCAATGATTAATTGTAATGTGTCTAAAGTTTAGATCTTCTTATATTTTATATGAAAGATTATAATATTAGCATTATTTACTTGTATGAGTTGATTTTAATGTCAGGTTACATTATATTTGATAATGAGGTGGTTTGTTCTACCAAATCAATTCAGTTATGGAGCTAATTTTAATGAATTCCAGCAACATGTAGTAAACAGAACTCAGCAGCACCTTACATCTTTTTTGGTCTGTAATTTTAGCTGAATAATCAACATATAAACAGCTGATAATATGATTCTTGCTGAAGTTTTAATCTTTTTTTTTTTAATTTAGTCTTCTAATACCCGTCCGTACATTTTCCATGAATTTCCATGAAAACTTCCGGAATTTTCATGGAAATTGCCAACTCTGGATAATTCGGACTAGTTTTCCGGAGTTGTTCAAAGAAAACTGAAAAAAAAATCGTGAATTTTCATGTACTTTCTTCATGAATTTCCAGAGCTTTTTTATAAAACTTTTCCGGAGTTTTCCATGAAAATGTTCTGGAGTCTTCAAAGCAACTCTGGAAATTGTTCTGCTAAAATGACATTCTACTCCGGAAAAAATGTTCCAGAGTGACTCTGGAAAATGTTCCGGAGTTACTCTGGAAAATGTTCCGGAGTTACTCTGGAAAATGTTCCGGAGTTACTCTGGAAAATGTTCCGGAGCCGCTGTGGAAAAAGTTCCGCAGTTAAAAATAGGATATGGGGTAAGATGCCATTAGCCTTGAAATAATTCTGGAAATACTATGGAATTCACTCTGGAACATTTTGGGATTACTGAAATGATGGTTGCATAATAAAATTAAATGACCTTTTAATTTGCATTTAAATGTTTTTATTAGCATATCCAAAAAAGCACTCTAGTCATCAAGAATTCAAACACTTATAGTAATTTGCACATTTCATAATTATTTTGAAGTCAGAGTGTTTTATTCAAACAAATGTAATTTAACATCCATCTAGAACACATGTATATATCCTTCACTTCGCATGATACAACATCTTCTTGACTTGTGGTGTGACCTCTCTGATGGATACTGAAAAATATGAATTAATTGTATATAAATGCATGTACTTGTGTTATATGCACAATGTCAATATAATTAGTATTGTTTAAACAGGATTGATAAAAAACACAAAAGGGTGAAAAAAGTTAAGATGGAAAACTTTCAATTCAATGATTTTTGCAGAATATCAGCACAGAGTTATAAAGTAAATACCATGCTTTGATGAAAATATTTTTTTTTGGTCAAAATCAACATTATGATAAACTTGTGTCAATTATTTCCCTGCTTTTCCTATAGCTATGTAATGACAACTTTATGTAATGGCAGTTTAAATTACTTAATGATCTTCACAAGTACTTAATTACCACTGAAAGTTTGAGATGTGTTCAGTGGAGTCAGTATAACAATAATATAATTATGCATAAAGAGCAACATTTTGTTCAGACTGTTTGGAAAATAGCATGCATTTATATGAAAACATGTTACTTCGACTTTTTTCAACAAAACAAACTAAATTATTACCAGGATAGTTCTGTAAGCATTCTGTATTCAACAGTACATTTATTCATTTTCCCTGATCTGATATCCTTGAGAGGAAACATCTCATGTGACTCCAAGACTTGAAAGTTTGCAACCTAATATGTTGAAAAATAAACATATGTACATGAGTAACAAGAAATTACAATTAAGGCATATGAATTTTATAAAATGTGAATTTGGAAATTCATTGCTTGATATGGAATCTGTTTCAATCACAAATATTTTGAATGGAAAATTATAATCTCTGATTTAAAATTTCCCGCCATTATTCAAAAATGAAAAAGATTTTCCTAACTATTGATATTGTAAAGTTACATGTATGTAAAAATACAATCACTAAAACAGTGTATACTTGCAAAGAAAATTTGAAAAAACTAAAATAATAAGTGTTAAAAAATAAAAATACATTTGTACTTACTGTTAGAAATGGTTATATATACAATGATATACATGTAGTTCCCTCCATTTTCACTGAATCATGAAATACACATGTTTAAAAGTTCATATTTCCAGAAAACTTTTGTAAATTTGTCCAGTTTAAACTCATTTGATATAATATTCAATGCTCAAACATAATTTTTCAAGTTATAACTTTTAAGCAGTTAGTCACTTATAAACATTATATTTCAATGCTTTCTGTTTAAATGACCCGCCTGGAAGGAGTGTTCTGACCTGTGATTTGTTCTGCAAGGGTATTAAGTTACTTGGGAACTACAGTGTAATATAGTAGGTTGTAAACCTACTTTACCTCTTTCTATTCTCTTATATCAGATAGGTGAGTTTAACTTTGGTGTTTATGAAAACAGTTGGTTCCACTTGAGGGGTCATAAATATTTACATTGTGGCTGATGCTGATTTGAATGTTCCAGAAATTAATCACTATACATAAGTTACCTCTACACAGGATGAATATATAGATAAAATAATTATATACTTCAATAGAGATACATAATAAATTTATCATCAATTTTAATAATAAAGAAACATAAGTGCATAACAATTACATTTGTTCTTAAATTTAGTTGTTTCTCTTTAATTGTGTATTTATTTTTTCCAACTAAGGGTAATATATAATTATGAACCTCTCAGATCTGAGGCTTGATATGAGATACCTTGAAAATAATGAGAGTTAAATGAAAAAAATACCTAAATGCATTTTTAATGCCAAAGTGTGGCAATGGAGTTGCATGTGTTTTTTATAAGCTTTTTTTTTTTTTGCAATAAAAAAAGAAACAGTTGAGCTCTTGAGGGGCTTATTATGGTTTCATTTTGTTTAACTATAAGTGTTTATTTTGCTAACTGCTACTTTTAATTACAATGAGTACACATGTTGACCAATCTCAATGCTAAGTAATTAAAATCATTTGTTCTTGCTGTTCAACATTGTGTTAATGCCATATTTTAAATTGTCTTTTTTTTTTCATTATGTCTTAAAACCAGAAAACTGTCTTATATTAAAAAGATTATTTATGACTACTTAGGAAAAAATATTTTAGTTAAATGTATTAAGTGAAGTATATGTAAATGCAGAAATAAAATGAAAATTTCCTAAGTCCAAAACTTTCTAAAAAATGACTAAGTGTTTTCCAGAGTAAAACTCCTTGAAAATTGTCTAAGTGTTAACTTTCCAGAGTTTCCAGAACTGTTTCATGGTTATTTCTTTGATGAAAAAGTCAAGTTCCAGAGTTCTCCATGAAAATTGTTCCAGAGTACTCTGTAAATACTGTGGAAAAAAGCTTGTTTCCATGAAAATTCATGGAAATTCATGGAAAATCAGTTATTTTCCAGAGTTTTTCCAGAAAGACTGTGGAAAATCTACAGACGGGTATTAAACTTGCTGGCTTAATTATCTGAGCTTACAGCTTTGCTGTTTTGTTACACTGCAAAGAAACTTTATTATAATGCCTGTGGAAATACAGCAGAAGGTTAGAGTCCATAGAAATTTTTTAAAACCAAAATCTGCTGTGAAATGCCAATATGATATGATTTGTGTCCGGACTGTAACTTTGTAATACATTGAGGGATTTCGAAATAATGTGGCACAAAAGTCTACCACATCAAGAATATGTGTCACATCCAAAACCCACATCCCTACCTCAAAGGTCACACTTTCATTTTGAAGTTTCACATTATCGCAATTAGAGTAAATAGGTACATGTACACTCATTCGTGTCCGGACTGTAACTTTGTCGTGCATTGAATGATTTTAAAATTACTAGGCATAAATGTCTACCACATTAAGACGATGTGTCGCGTACAAGAATTACGTCCTTATCTCAAATGTCAAGGTCACATTAACATTTTGAAGTTTCACATTATCACAATTAGAATTAATAGGCACACACAATCGTGTCCGGGTTGTAACTTTGTCATGCATCGAAGGATTTTAGAATTACTTGGCATAAATGTCTACCACATAGAGACGATGTGTGGCGTCCAATAATTACGTCCCTACCTCAAAGGTCAAGGTCACACTAACATTTTGAAGTTTCACTTCATCACAATAAGAGTTTATAGGTACACACATTTGTGTCCGGGCTGTAACTTTGTCAAGGATTTTAGAATAACTTGGCATAAATGTCTACCACATCAAGACGATGTGTCGCATTCAACAATCTTGTCCCTACCTCAAAGGTCAAGGTCACACTTCCATTTTGAATTTCACTTTATCACAATTAGAGTTAATAGGTACACACAATTGTGTCCGGAATGTAGCTTTGTCATGCATCAAAGGATTTTAATATAACTTGGCATAAATGTCTACCACATCAAAACGACATGTCACGACTAAGACCCATGTCCCTACCTTCAAGGTCAAGGTCACACTTATAGTTTGAAGGTACTCATTCTCTAGAGAAGAGTTTGAAGATACACATTCATGTCCGGACAGTTACTTTGTCATGCATGGAAGGATTTTAAAATAACTTGGCACAAATGTCTACCACATCAAGACAATGTGTCACGGCTAAGGCTCATGTCCATCTGTCTGTCCGTGTGTCCCCTCTTACACAACAATCATTCCAGACTGTAACTTTGTCATGCATTGAGGGATTTTGTAAAAACTTGGCACAAATGTCTATCTCATTCTGTCGCGTCCAGGAACCATGTCCCTTCTTCAAAGGTCAAGGTCACACTTATATTTTGAAGGTTCACGCTATCACAATTAGAGATTACAGGTTAAATAATACAAAGAACAATTTTAAGAAATTAGTTACTTTCATTCTCTTTTCTTTTCATAATACCTGCATGCTTAAGAAACCTTTTCGGGGGCATTTGTCACTTGGGTGACAGCTCTTGTTTGTCAAAACATTTTCCAACCAATAACTCTAAACCCATGAGCCCCTGGCTCCCAGACTTCACACTTGTATTGGTCTTCAAGGTCAGATGACCCCTTTCAGTTTTTGGGTCAAAGGTCTAGGTTAAACTTATCTATTATTTATTTATATTCATCAATTGAATAAGACAGAGTCTTTGGATAAAAAACCCCAAAAAAACTCAAAATATATTTGTCTTTCTGAAAAAAGATGAATACATGTACTGCATTGTACCATTTGATGTATTGACTTATATAAGATTGCATTCAGGAAGTAATATGGCCAGATATAATTTGTCCTTTACAGCCAGTATATTATGATTATGTATGAATTGTAATACTGCATGAAGAGTATGTTTTGTTTTATGCATCACTTTTTTTACAACTGCATGCTTTGCTCTATTTTTTGTTGGAACAGTTTTAGGTGACAGACAGATGAGGTTTTATTTTATCATGTTACTATATAAACCTTCATATGATGTTTTTCTTACTATATCAGCCAGTTTTTATGATGTTTTTTGTTACTGTATCAACCAGTTAACAGTTATTATGATGTTTTTGTTACTATATCAACCAGTTATTATCTCAATTATTGCTCTCTATCTATTCTGTCTTCATTGTTTATGTAAGTCATATATAAAGAAGTTACACCTTACATATAGATAATTTTATTTTAAACACATTTTGAAAAAGTCATTTGTTGACAGTGTCAGCTTTCAAGAATCAAGTTAAAATTGTAAGGTATGTTTTGTAGGTAAGATTAGTCATTTTCTTTTCTTCTTTTTTTTAATGAAAAAGGTATCCATTTTTGTACAGAAAACATTAGTATTTAAAAAAAAAATGAGGGTCTAATTTATGTATGGACATCAGGATTGACAATAATGGTGGAGTGTTTATTAGAAAAAAGATAAAGGTTATTTATGTATTAATACCATTATTAACAATTTAGTGTATAGTAGTAGATGGTAGTGGTTATTCAAGAAAACTTTGTTATTTCAGACATGCATCAGATTAGTACAGTAGAAAACCCTGCAGCAAGGACAGAAGCTGAAGAGTTTGGAGACCTGAAGAGTGAGACAAGCAAGGACAAGTGGTATGATGATTATGACGAGTACATGGAGCCACCAGATGCCGGGGAAATGTGTGACGACCAATCAGATATCAGTGACTTTGAACAGGAGTATATCAAGAAAAGAAAACGCAAGGGCAAGGTACTGATCCAATCTTGATGACAGATGTCTGCTAGTAAAGTTCTGATGCAGTTGTTTTGATGAGTTTATGAATAATGTTTATGCTTATCATTCAACCATTATTTAAATATTTTTATAATTATTCAAACCTTGATTTAAGAATTTCAGTAACAAAACAGTTTCGGGTCATAGATACTAAAAGCATACTGATGGCATAGATATGTCATTATTGCCACTTACTCTTAAGCGGTTAAATGAAGTATTGTTTCAAAAAAAAAATTTTTTTTTAAATGTGTTTTCTTGATTTTTTGTCTTTATAACACAAGTTTCATTTTAAAATTCTCAACATCTCAACTTGCAAAAAGTAAATATTAAACTTTTAGTTATCTTATTAATAATTCAAATATTATATATATATTAGGGATGGCAACGAATACCAAAATTAATACTCGAGTACTCGGTCATTTTTCCGATCGAGTACTCGGTTACTCGGACGATTTCCAATGATCTTCAAAGTTTATCACACAATATCAACACCGTCCGCATGCTACTTTCGTTTTTCTATTTACATTCATAGAATTCGTAACTATAGATAGGACTGCAAAGGAGACAAATTAATTAAAATTAAATCAACGACATTATACTTTAGAAACATTTTAATTAAATTAAGTGCAATATCAAGTTTAAAACATGTTTAGCAGTTGAAACATCTTTTTTCTTCTTGTAATAAAATAGACTGATCGGCGGCAACGAAAAGTTTATCCGGGTCTAAATATTACCTTAATTATTATATCATAATAGCAATACGGCCCTTTGTTGTTTTTCAAAAATGTTACCTTAAAACAAGATTCGGGTACAAACTGCATTGTGTTACACAATTAAAGGTTACTAAATATCATAAGAGACTGGATGACGTAAGCGACACATGTGCGCGTTTCAAACTGTTGATCGCCTCATTAAATTAATGGTATCATTTTTCGCACCTCTGCAAGGAAGTTGTGATTGTATTTAACAGGTATTTATGAAGGTATATGCACATCTCCGAATTTTTGAACTAATTGGATACACCAAACTGTCTAAATAGCAAATAAAAATAGAAATTATACATTTTTTCCGAGTAATCGAATATCAATTTTGTTAACCGATATTCGGACGTTCGATCGAGTACTCGGTTAACCGGTTACTCGTTGCCATCCCTAATATATATATATATATGTTATTATGTTTGATATAGGGTGGTGGTAGAGTCGTTCGTAAGAAGAAGGTAGTTGAGAAAGAAGATAAGGAGAAGATTGATGAAGAGAAAGAAAAGCCATATGCATGTGAAGGTAATAGTCTTTTCTAATGTTATATATTGTATATATTTCTGATGGCAAATGTGACAAAAGGTACTATTGTTCACACTTTTGTTAGCTCGACTATTCGATAAGAATAAGTAGAGCTATTGCAGTCACCCGAGCGTCGGCGTCGGCGTCGGCGTCGGCGTAACCACTTATGTTAAAGTTTTTGTAATAGTTCAAATATTTTCAAAGTCCATTGACATATGGCTTTGAAACTTTGCACACTTGTTCACCATCATGACCCCAACCTGTAGACAGGAGGAGGTAACTCTATCAAGCATTTTGACAGAATTATGCCCCTTTTTGACTTAGAATTTACGTTAAAGTTTTTTGTAATAGTTCAAATATTTTCAAAGTCCATTGACATATGGCTTTTTGAAACTTTGCACACTTGTTCACCATCATGACCCCAACCTGTAGACAGGAGGAGGTAACTCTATCAAGTATTTTGACAGAATTTTGCCCCTTTTTCGACTTAGAATTTACGTTAAAGTTTTTGTAATAGTTCAAATATTTTTCAAAGTCCATAGACATATGGCTTTGAAACTTTGCACACTTGTTCAACATCATGACCCCAACCTGTAGACAGCAGGAGGTAACTCTATTAAGCATTTTGACAGAATTATGCCCCTTTTTCGACTTAGAATTTACGTTAAAGTTTTTGTAATAGTTCAAATATTTTCAAAGTCCATTGACATATGGCTTTGAAACTTTGCACGCTTGTTCAACATCATGACCCCAACCTGTAAACAGGAGGAGGTAACTCTATCAAGCATTTTGACAGAATTATGCCCCTTTTTCGACTTAGAATTTACGTTAAAGTTTTTGTAATAGTTCAAATATTTTCAAAGTCCATTGACATATGGCTTTGAAACTTTGCACACTTGTTCACCATCATGACCCCAACCTGTAAACAGGAGGAGGTAACTGTATCAGGCATTTTTTTTACTATCAAGCACTAAGAATAGTCGAGCATGCTGTCCTACCGACAGCTCTTGTTTATATTTCTACTGTCAAAACTTTGTAAAGGTAGCAATTTCAATTTGATGATGAATAAAGACTTAAGCTTGCTTAAATTAAAACAGATTCTATAAAATGGAGGAGATATAAATTGTAATGTATATTACAAGGGTTTTACTATATTTAGTGTGCAATGCCCGTTACAAGACTCGGCCTGGATTGTCATATCACTATAATCATTTCCACAACGGCATGATGGAACCCGAGGAGCCAGAACCCTCACCCAAGTCTGTCGGTATGTACTTTCTTAATGTGAATAATCAGAGTGTTACCATAGTAACTACTTTGACATTTTATAGCATTACAAGTATGATACCCATTAGTTTAGATCTCCTCTAGTCTACTGTATATATACAATAAGGTACATAATCATGTAATACCTTGTGTGACTTTAACTGTAATTCTATGCTTGTATTTTATTAAATATTGTCATATTTGGTTTTCTGTGTTTTATTGTTTAATTTTGATATTTGTCTGACAGTCAAAGATAACATCTGTGAAACTTTATTGTTCAAGCTTAAGACATTCCAAAGATGATCTATTTTGACAAGATTTTTTAACAAACAAAAATGTTCTAAATTATTTTTATAAATCATTGAAGTGCATTTCATTTTTTGAAAATGTTTAATTTTGAAGAAGAACATACGTAGTCAATATCAGTATATCAACTGGTGAAGTAATTTTAAAATAAAAAGAGGCTACATTAAATTTTATTGGATAACAATGTAACTATTGGCAGTACTGTTGAATACATTAGATATTTGATACTTATATAAGACAAGTCAACCTTTTTCTTTAATAATCATGACAAATTCAAATTTTCCTGAAGGCTATTTGTACAGTTATATTGATAGCTATTGATAGTTATTCATATAGTTCATTTATGACTGAGTAGTTAAGGTCATTGGCTTCAAACTACTTGCCCCTAAACACAGTGGAACTTTTGATTCTTTTATGTGAAGAAACTATCAAGCTATTTTGTTGAACATCGTCACTTCTATTTGGGTGCCAGTTCATGCCTGAAATTATTCACAGAGGTCTACCTCCACCAATAAAGTTAGAATAATACCATATGACCTCTGCTGTGTTGGCGGGAGGTTAAACCCACCAAAAGAAAATGAGTTATATTGAAGGCTATTAATACAGTGATATTGAAAGCTATTGATACAGTGATATTGAAAGCTATTGATATAGTAATATTGAAAGCTATTAATACAGTTATATTGAAAGCTATTAATACAGTTATATTATTAGTTATAAAGATTCTTGACAGATTATATGGCCCTATATATTGTTTGTATATATAACCTTAGCTGCAAGGTGAGGTTTATATTGCAAACAACTGTTTATATACGGCCATATAACATGTCAGGAATCTTAATGACAAATTTATAATACAGCAAGCTTCCTTTATTTAGGGGAAAAATGTGAATTCTTAGTAAACTGACTGAAGCCGTGTATATAAAGCTATATAAATGTCACGATTATCCAATGAAAAGCACCGTTACAAACGTGCAGTATTATAATAAAAGCTATTGGTTTAGTTATATTGAAAGCTATTGATACAGTTATATTGAAAGCTATTTATACAGTTATATTGACTGTCAGTAAAGCATTTGTTAACAGTGACAGTGATAAGTTAAAGAATTTAGAAATTTGTGATTAGTCTATTTATCTGTCTATGTAATGTAAACAGTGATTATGATATGATTTTACAGTTTTAATGTCTCTAGCAACAAGGATGTTTTTTTGTCTGTCAGATAATGTTATTTAAATTATGATAATGATAATATATTTGTTTTTTATCTGTTAATTAATATAATATAAACAGTGATAATAACATTATATTTTTCCTGTCAGTTAAGACTCCTCCGAAACTGGAAAAGGAGGAGAGAGGTGAGTGACTTGCTTGATTAACACTGTACCCTAAGAAATGCTTGTGTCAACACACGCTCTACAATACTGCTAATACCCCTGCCTCTCCAACCTAAAAGTGAAAGGGACAGTTCTACAGAGATAAATAAAAAATTGATAATTTATTTTTAAAAGTTCTATTTATTTTAAGAACAACTATTCAAAGAAATAATTTGAGCCAAGTTGTCAGCTTCAGAGTAATACTTGTTTAAAGTTTTCATTGTAAAGTCATTTCTTATAAAACACTGAAAGTATTAATTTCAAAATTAGTAATTGTAAGTTATTCTAATTATACCCATACATAAACATAGAAGTTCCAGTTTTAGACTTTCTATGCAACAGCTGCTGAATGTATTAAATTTTACTTTTGAGTTTCAAAAAATGTCATTGAGGCCATAATTGTAGGTCACTATCAAAGACCCATGACTTTAGAATGGAGTTTTACTGAGTTACGATCCTTAAAACATCCTCTTTGTAGCCCAGTCTCTGGTTTTACTTTCAAGCACTAGAATAGTTGAGAGTGCTGTCTGAATGGAGGCTCTTGTACATTTTACTTTTTTGTGTTTTCTAAATTAACTTGGTAACCCTATTGGTATATGGCAAATTATTAAAATATAGATGTTTTATAAAAGCTGATGTGATTCAGTTATTATTCACGCATCCAATGAATGGAGAATACTATGTATATCGTATATTGTTTTATAATTTGATTGGTCTGTCAGTCATTTAAGATTACAATGGCACTGATACATGTTTAAAAAGTTTTCCAGCACCTACTATAACTAGAATTATTCATAGCCTTTCTGATAAGACTCTAAAAGACATGGTCATGTTTCATGGTGCTTTATATCTATGCATGTTAATTTTTCTGTGATTGTCAGTTAAACCAAAAATAGCTTGTAAAATCATCGACAATAGAAGGCCAAAGACCACATACTGCATTAGAATCAGTTACTGTCAACTATAGTTTTATAGGCTGTCATACGGCACATATGTTGTATGTGATACAAACAACTTTTTAAAAAGATTTTTATAAATATCAAACAACTTATCTGTATTTCTTTCATCATGCTTATGCAAGGAACTTACTAGTGAATTTCTTATAATGATCTTTTTTTAATCAATAAAACATTTTATTCTGTTATATACATTTTATGTTTTGAGATGATGTATGTTGGGTGCATTCTTTGTTATGATTAGAACAGCTTAATTTTCTCTTGGGGATCATTTTTTTTTTATTTTAAACCTTTTTAACTTTGTTTGTCAAACCTGTTTAACTTATATTATCTTTCCAAAGTAGGTAAGAATACAGAACATCTTAGGTCTTTCAATTTTTATGTGTAGTTACCTAGTTAACATAATTATTAATTATATCTATGCAGTAAAGACCTGTGTAGCATACAACATTATTTTTCTCATAATCTCCTCAGTGTACTTTCAAAAAACTTCAATGCCTTTGTACAAGAAGTCCCTATCTTGATGAAAGTTTAGCATAATCTAGGACAAATCCAACCAGCTGAGATTTTTCATCCCAAGATCTAGTTAGAACTGGGAAACACCCACAGCATGATCTTTATATCTGGGTCTGCCTTTGAAGACTATTTATACATTATGACAATCACAGCCTTGACAAAGGTGATTCTCAACACTCTCTTTGCTGTGCCAAATTTCTGTCATCCACCATTTTACAGTGGCTAATGTATGGGCATTCGTACATATTGTCAATATATTATCAACATGAATAGTCTTATATTAGGTGACACCAATGTTGAATTACTGTTTGTTCAGCAATTTCGCCCATACTACAAAAGTCACTTGCCTTGTTTAATTAAAACATTATGCTCACCCATATAATAAGACATTTACTATTTTGATATTAAAGGAGCTGGTGGTTAAAAACCATTTAATATAAAAAAAACGACAATAGGGTGGACAAATAGCTGCCTTGCTGATTTCCTATACAAAAAAAAAATAAACTCAAATGTGTTAATCTGCCCTTGTATAATACATACCTGTAGGAACTGATTTAACATTTACCAGCCTCAGTTGTGAAGTTTTTTGCTTGGCTTAAGCTGCTATTTAGTCATTGGTCATTCAAGTGTCCGAATATTTTACCCAACAAAAGTAGTGGAAATTTCAGTGTGACACTTGTAGCTTTGTATTTCATCCACACTCTTTTTTTTGTTTGAAATAAAATAAAAGCATGTATTATAAGACTGACCTGCATGTATTTAGACTGACCTACAGTAACCTGAAATATTCTTCTTTTTAGTTCCTGAAAAAATTTATATTTGATAGACATTGCAGTAAAACAATTACAATATTTATCATAATATTAAAGAATTAACATTTGTTGTATCCTGTTGATAAATTTAGCCAGACCACTTATCATGATGATATAATTACTGATCGTGTATATTTCAGGTTTATTTAGAAGTATGTTTAATACAAAGCATGAACTGTGTTTTAACAAGAATGGCATGCTGTGTGTATAATGAAATAATTACTGTTGTGAACTTTCAAGAATCAAAATGAAGAATTTATGTTTGTAATAAAATAAAATGGAGTTAAATGATCTTAAAATTCATGACATGTATGTGGTTTTGAAGTATTTTTGTAACAAAGCAAGTTAAAAAAATTGCAAGCCTGACATGTATATAAATGTTTTCAAATATCAGGATGTTATAAAAACCAAAAGAAAATAGCTTTGTAGATTTTATGCTGTTTTCTTGAGATACAATGTTATTAGATCTATGTAATGATATAAATTTGATGTTATATTACTGTTATATTATTGAAGGGTTTGTTGTTGTACTATCAGAGATGCTTAACTGAGTTATTTATTATAGTCACAAGGGTTACTATAACTCAAACAGAGTAAAAGATGTTCATGTGTAGTATGGATTTTATATTTTTATTATATCACTAACTGTGCATTTATAATGTGATGTTTTTTTACTTGCTTTAATTGGTACATATTTGTTAAAATGAAACATTATTATATCATTAATGCTGTGTAACCACAAGTATATAAGCAGTGGGTAAATAACTTAATATAAAATCTTATGTTAAGAGTACTTTCCCTTGACAAAATATGAAAGTATAAAGCAATTTTGAATCTTATCAATTTTTAATTTAAGATGGCAAGAATAGTAAAAGGCTATTCTAGATAAATTCGATTTTCCTATCTATATTTGAATAAGTAGCAAATTGTACTCTAAATTTATAAGGCAGGTAAAGGACTTTAATGACTTGAAAAGTTATTTTTAGCATGTTCTCATAGTATCTGAATATAATTAAGGTTCTTTAGAATAAATAGACTTTGATATTTTTCTTACAAGTAGTACTAATGATAGTCAGTGGATTACTAAAACATGAAAGAAAATGTTGGGTAAATTCCTTTCATTAACTTCCAAAAGTTGTATACATACACAAAAGTTGAGTGTTATTTGTTATTAATTTCAGTGAAACAAACTCCTATTATAATACTGCCAGGTAAGATTCTGTAGTCTTGACAAATTGTCAGTATTATTTGTCTTGACAAGCATTGGTTTTGTTGTTTATGCAACGTTGTGTCAAATTCATTTTTAATTCAAAACAAAATTATTTTTAGCTCATGGGGGAAAAGCTGCAGTATTCATTCCTTATATGTGACCAGCTTTGTTTGTTTTGTCTGTTGATTATGCAACCTTTCCTGGTCCCATTGCATTCATTATATTTATCTTTATTAGGCCATTAACTCATTGATCTGGTTTATTTTAATGTTTCCCGATACACAGAATCAATGAAAACTTGTGAGGTAACTGCCTGCTTCCATACAACCATCATAACCATAGTAAGTTATGAGATAGCCATGGAAAAAATTAGACCATTGCGACTCTTCTTTTAATTCTATAATTTACAATAGAAAAAAGAAATTAACTGTAAGTTTCATGAGCCTGATTGTTCACAGACAAACTTATATCCTGTTTAAAACTGTTAGATTAAACTCTGCACTGAAGTCACTATATAAGGGGGAGTAAAAAAGCACTTTGTGTGAAGGATTTTTATATCATACAGTCTCACTTTTATAAAAGGGCTAAATGCAAGTCATCTGACAAGCTAAAGCTTATCACTTATAAATTAGCTTAAAGCAAGCCATTTTCATACTACAAAAGAACCTAAAGTTTTGTTACTTATGAAAAGAACAAAAAGCAAGTTATGTTGAAAGCTTTAAGTAGGTCTTTTTGTCACTTAGTTTTATAAAGCAGCAAAGTGCATCTCACTGCTTTAAAGGAGCATATACCATTTCTTATTGTAGTTAAAAGAAAGATACATGTACTTCTTAACAGAAAGGACAATTAAGTATTTCATTTTGTTAAAGAAAGGATTGTAAAATGTATTGGTAAATGAGCCGCGTCACGACAAAACCACATAAGGGGTTTGCGACTAGCATGGATCCAGACCAGCCTGTGCATCCGCGCAGTCTGATCAGGATCCATGCTGTTCGCTTACCAACTCTATTACAAGTAGAGAAACTGATAGTGAACAGCATGGATCCTGATCAGACTGCACGGATGCGCAGGCTGGTCTGGATCCATGCTGGACGCAAACCCATTATGTTGGTTTTGCCATGACCCGGCTCAAATTAGTTTTATAATATCTAAAAAATTAGAGAAATCCCTGAAGAACAATGAAATTAAAGATAGAAATTGCAGATGTATGTGATTTAGATAAAATGAAATGTACAACATCTCTCACAACTCTAGCACTGGCTTATGCAGTTTTCAATCTTTAACATTAAAAGTATTGGAATGGGTGACAAGTGAATTTGTTATAGAGCATAATAAAAGTCAAGTTGTGAGGATATGTTATATACAGTAACATTTTAGCTGAATGTCAAACATGATTTGAATGGTCCATTAAAGTCTCTGAATTCAAGATAGATTTGTCATTTACATAAATTTATCTATACATGCATATTCTTTCCTGCTGAATGCTGTCATAATCCAGTATGGCTGTATCACAATTAAATTCTATATCAACCTATACTCTATTGATATTTTGTTCATATAATTCACCATTTCAAAAATCAAACAACATTCACTCAAGCCTTTGTTTAGGAAAGTGAATCCAAAACCTCGCTGATCTTGTGTTGTCCATTTACCAGTATTTTAGCACAGCTCTAATTAAAGCTGTAATTTTAGGAATAAAATGCATTAAACATTGTAATTTGTAAAAAATATTGAAGAATGCTGTCATTCAGATAATAGATACATTAAATCTCAATAATCAGTACATGTACTATATTAAAGGCTCAAATTTGATTAAAATTGGACAGTGACTGATATTTCCAGGACATAGATGACAGTTATTGAACCAGGACTCAAGTCCTGTCCAGGATTCTGGTATGGTTGTCTCCCTTGTAAGATTGAAGCAACTTAAGATATGACTGTTTCTAGAGATGACAATGACATTGTCACACATGATATTTACAATGTATTTTACTATACATGTACTAAGTAAAAATTTATAGTTACTTTGTATACACAATTAACAATGATGTCATCACTATAAATAATATTTATGAGGGAGGTTGCTTGGTCACAAAAAATATGGTAATCAAAATAAATCTTTTTCTAGAGTAAGAAGGTTTCATCAAAATTGTGGACACAAGTGAAACACCATTAGTCCAAATACCGAAATATCATTGTACTTTCTGAATTTTATGTCTCTTAAAATTGTAGAGTTTAATAATTGTAAAGATATTAAAGCAATAGGGTCCATACAATGCATATATTTAGATTTTGGATGCACGGCTGTATCAAAGAAATTGCCATGTTATTTTTTTTCATCAAAAACGAGTCACATACAGCTTTTATGCGTCAAACCAGACCTGTGCTTGCTTTGGTATACTTTAACTTTTATTTTCTTATACTTCAATTATATGCATGACATAATTTCAGAAATTTAATTACTCTTTCGTTCAGCTGTTAATATTTTAGGTTGCTTACAATCTAGAAAAGAAGCTACTTTTTTCAGCTAATTAATTGAACATAACATTAGGCTAACACCATTTCTATAAACATTTTTGTAGTTTGTGTTTCTTTGGAGAAAAAAAGTATAATAGATATAAATTATTCATACTTGGGATATTTGTTTCTTATGAATTTTCATTTTGCAGTGAATAATTATAAAACTGTAATTAATGTATGTTTAATAGGTTGTGTTTGGAGTGAAGGACTTTGTTTTAATTAGTCTATATAATTACTTTGATTGGCACTTGCTAGTGATTTAATTTTTTTTTACATATAGCATCAATTGTTTTACTGATGTAGTTTTTGTAAATCAGCTTTGATTAACAAGGGAGCAACCTTACTTTAATTGCTAAACTATTGTTAAAGTTTTTTTCAGAACTGAATTACATATACAGGGTTAAGATAAAATTAATCTTTACTGACCATTAATTTTGTAATATAACTAAATTTTCAATTCAAAATTATAAAACAGTTACTGACAATATGTTTATTTAACAATTTCTATTTTAGGAATACTTGTACTGTGTTTTTCTACAACACTCATTATATCTATTAATATGAGCCGCGTCATGACAAAACTAACATAATGGGTTTGCGACCAGCATGGATCCAGACCAGCCAGCGCATCCCCCAGGCTGATCAGGATCCATGCTGTTCGCTTACAAACCCTATAACAAGTAGAGAAACAGCATGGATCCTCACAGATCAGACTGCGTGGATGCGCAGGCTGGTCTGGATCCATGCTGGTCGCAAACCCATTATGTTGATTTTGTCATGACGCGGCTCATATTATTGTTTCTTATTTTGTTCCATTGTCTAAACTGACTACTAATTATAAGCATGTGAGTATGACAAGATGAATTAACAAAGAAGGGCCATATAACAGTGTTGATTGTATTATAGAGCGAGGAGAAGATGGTAAGATACAGAACAGTAACTATTGTGACTTCTGCCTTGGTGACGCTGACGAGAATAAAAAGACCGGTACAGCCGAGGAACTTGTGTCCTGTAGTGACTGTGGAAGATCAGGTTTGTCTTGTATTTATACATCTGAAAATTATTGTAAAATGGCCTCACAATTAAGCTGGTTAAAAACAATAGTCCAATTTTCCAGGCCCTGGATTCAAAACCAGTAAATGTTTAAACTAGGTAGTCCATTCATTTCTGACGTCAACTGAATGGTTGTTTTCTGATATTGTTGTTGTTATAATAATATTAAGAGGATATTTTTGAGTTTGAGTGAAATATGGAATATATTTTCACGAAACATGATAAAATGCCACATATTGTCACGAGCCGGGACGGCGATTGAAAATATGTGGCATTTTATCATGTTTCTTGAAAATATATACCATATTTCACAAAAAACGAAAAAATAACCTTTTTATTTAATTTCATTATCAAAGAAAATGGTTACGAACCCTATTGCTTGCTACGCAACTGCAATTGTACAGCACGCAGTAATATATTATTGCGTCTTGTTTTGCATGCGATATTTTGCGCTACATTGTGACGTCACATAAACAACTGTTTAAACGCCTTTACAGCGTTAATAACTGAATTTAAGATATTGGTGTTCGGATTTCTTTTCTTAGTTAGACCATTTTCTATCATTCTTGATAGTTTTCAAAGCAAAATTTAGCAAAAACTTGTTTTGTATTTATCAGATTTTTCAAACAAAATGGCGAAAGAAGTCCCTTAAAATAAATATGAGTTTTGACTCCGCCCACATTCATATTTATATTTCATATTTATTTTTGAAAAATATGAAATGTATTTGACTGATATAGCACCATATTTCATGGGTAAAATTAAATAATGATGTCTTATTGTTCTCTTTGCAATATGATAACCAGTAAAAGCACAAATAACTTTTTCTTTTAAGTTCAATATAATTGAAAATTGGATCAGTGCTCTGAATGATGGCAAACTTGTCGGAACTGTTTTTCTAGACTTATCAAAAGCCTTTGATTTAGTAAACCACCAAATTCTTCTAGAAAAACTACCTTTCTATAATTTCTCTTCACATACTATAGATTGGATAAGATCTTATCTATCAGACAGGTCACAAAAAGTCAATGTGTCTGGTGTTTTATCTGAACCAGCTGAAGTTGTCTCAGGAGTGCCTCAGGGCTCAGTCCTTGGGCCCCTACTATTTTTGATATACATAAATGACATCCATCTTCATGTTAAACAGTCAACTACCGATATGTTTGCAGACGACACTTCCCTTACTTCTACTGGAAATACTTTAAAGGAAATGAATGATAATCTTCAAACAGATCTTGATAGTGTTAGCACATGGTGTAGGCAAAATGCAATGATATTAAATGCACAAAAAACTAAGGCCATAAATTTCTCTATAAAAAATACTAAATCAAAAAATACTGCTTCATCTACTCTGCACCTTCAAAACAAAGAGATAGAATTTACAGACACTGAAAAACTGCTAGAAGTCCAGGTTGACAAAAATCTTAAATGGAAAACACAAATTCAAAATATTATTAAAAAATGCAATTCACAGCTCTATTTGCTTCTTAGAATCAAACAGTACCTTGATCTCCACTCCAGAAAACTCTTTTTTAATGCTTATATTTTGCCACATATTGACTACTGTTGCACTATTTGGGGAAATTGCAGTAGTGAATTACTTTCACAAATTGTCAACTTTCAAAAAAGAGGTGCAAGAATTATTTTAGACAAAAGTTTTGATACCCCATCAAATATTCTATTTAAAGAATTAAATTGGATGTCCTTTGACCAAAGAATTATGTACAAAAAGGCAATCCTCATGTATAAATCTATAAATGAACCATCCTTTCCTATTTATATGAAAAATAAATTCCAAACAATAAATGACAAACATGACTTTAACTTAAGGTCTATACAAAATGAAAAACTAACTGTACCCAAACCAAAAACAGAATTTTTTAGAAAATCATTTAATTACTCTGGTCCTGTGGTATGGAACAGCATACCAATCCATATTCGAAATTCTGATACCATGAGGAAATTTCAATCCTCCTATATCCAGTGGCAATTTTCTAACTAATTGTTTGTACATATTGTTTCAAAAACATATACTTTCCATGCTGAAGTTATGAAAATGTCACTTCTCTATGTAAGAAGAAAAAATTGTTTACTTATTGTATTGATATGATGTTTAATGTACATATTTATGTTTTGTCTAAATGTTGATTGTGATTGTATTTTATGTTGTTTTGTATATACTGAGGCCCACATGGAAGATCGGGAAACTGAATGTGTTAGCCTCATAAAATAAAGTCGACTTACTTACTTACTTACTTACTTACTTACTTACTTACTTACTTACTTACTTACTTACTTACTTACTTACTAATGTAAAAGTCAGCTCCACTGAGGTCAAAAATATAAAAAAACAATAAAAAAAAAAGATTTGAAATACTCATGAAGTGATGCACTTAAAATTAAAATTTCTGCAAAATATAATTAAGAAACATTCTCTTGTTAATATGAAAATCAATTTTTGCATTATTTTTAGCCCAGTTTTAGTCAACAGTGTTCCACGCTATTCGTTTTTGGTAATAATTCACCATAAAAATAATTACTCTGGGAAAACAGAGTGAGTGAATGATCTGAAATTTTGCACACAAGTTATTAGTCCAGACTTACATCAACTGGTACACAAGTCACAATTTTTTTTTTTATTTCATGTCCCTTCATATAAAAAACCTCAGTTTGTAGTTTGGATGCGAGGAAATATATCACGAGGGCGTGTTAGAATTCTTAATACAATTTTACTTGTGTATAAAGATACATATATAATATTGTTGATAAATATATGCTTGAAATTTTCTTTTAGCCAGGCTGGTATAAGTACGTCATGTCTATTTTATTGAGTTTATAATTTCTTCTTTGGTTTCAGGTCACCCAACATGTCTACAGTTTACAACTAACATGACAATATCAGTGAAGAAATATCCCTGGCAGTGTATAGAATGTAAATCATGTGGTCTCTGTGGAACATCAGAAAATGATGTGAGTAAATCTGTAATAAATCTTAGTGCTGCAAAAAAACTAGAGTCATAATTCTTTAAGCTAGTATCTGCTGGAATTGAAAGGAACTAGCCTTTGTCTCCAGTATAGACATAAGATAAGATAAGATAAGCTAATCTTTATTTATAGTCGGTTTCATAAAAACATATAAACATTAGCTATATAAGCTATTTTCCGACATAACTGACTATCCTTTAACAATTCAAACAAACAATCTGTATAAAAGAAAATATATAAAAGTATTAGGAAGATCAATGTACATTTATGAAAAACTCTGTAAAACAGTTAAGATTTATCAGCACATATAAATATGGGTAAGAAAGCATTAAATGATTAAAAGCAAATATAACACTACAATCAAACATCACATAAAATTACATCATACAAGAATTTTATTTATGTACAGACCTAGGTCAGTCTCCAGTATAGACCTAGGTCAGTCTCCAGTATAGACCTAGGTCAGTCTCCAGTATAGACCTAGGTCAGTCTCCAGTATAGACCTAGGTCAGTCTCCAGTATAGACCTAGGTCAGTCTCCAGTATAGACCTAGGTCAGTCTCCAGTACAGACCAAGGTCAGTCTCCAGTATAGACCTAGGTCAGTCTCCAGTATAGACCTAGGTCAGCCTCCAGTACAGACCTAGGTCAGTCTCCAGTATAGACCTAGGTCAGTCTCCAGTATAGACCTAGGTCAGTCTCCAGTATAGACCTAGATCAGTCTCCAGTATAGACCTAGATCAGTCTCCAGTATAGACCTAGATCAGTCTCCAGTATAGACCTAGATCAGTCTCCAGTATAGACCTAGATCAGTCTCCAGGATAGACTTAGATCAGCCTCCAGTATAGACCTAGGTCAGCCTCCAGTATAGACCTAGATCAGTCTCCAGTATATACCTAGGTCAGCCTCCAGTATAGACCTAGGTCAGTCTCCAGTATAGACCTAGATCAGTCTCCAGTATAGACCTAGGTCAGCCTCCAGTATAGACCTAGATCAGTCTCCAGTATAGACCTAGATCAGTCTCCAGTATAGACCTAGATCAGTCTCCAGTATAGACCTAGATCAGTCTCCAGTATAGACCTAGATCAGTCTCCAGTATAGACCTAGATCAGTCTCCAGTATAGACATAGGTCAGCCTCCAGTATAGACCTAGGTCAGTCTCCAGTATAGACCTAGGTCAGTCTCCAGTATAGACCTAGATCAGTCTCCAGTATAGACCTAGGTCAGCCTCCAGTATAGACCTAGGTCAGTCTCCAGTATAGACCTAGGTCAGTCTCCAGTATAGAACCTAGGTCAGTCTCCAGTATAGACCTAGATCAGTCTCCAGTATAGACCTAGATCAGTCTCCAGTATAGACCTAGGTCAGTCTCCAGTAGTAGACCTAGGTCAGTCTCCAGTATAGACCTAGTCAGCCTCCAGTATAGACCTAGGTCAGCCTCCAGTATAGACCTAGGTCAGTCTCCAGTATAGACCTAGGTCAGTCTCCAGTATAGACCTAGGTCAGTCTCCAGTATAGACCTAGATCAGTCTCCAGTATAGACCTAGATCAGCCTCCAGTATAGACCTAGGTCAGCCTCCAGTATAGACCTAGGTCAGCCTCCAGTATAGACCTAGGTCAGCCTCCAGTATAGACTAGATCAGTCTCCAGTATAGACCTAGGTCAGCCTCCAGTATGAGACTAGTTCAGTCTCCAGTATAGACCTAGGTCAGCCTCCAGTATAGACCTAGGTCAGTCTCCAGTATAGACCTAGGTCAGCCTCCAGTATAGACCTAGGTCAGCCTCCAGTATAGACCTAGGTCAGTCTCCAGTATAGACCTAGGTCAGTCTTCCAGTATAGACCTAGGTCAGCCTCCAGTATAGACCTAGGTCAGCCTCCAGTATAGACCTAGGTCAGTCTCCAGTATAGACCTAGGTCAGTCTCCAGTATAGACCTAGGTCAGCCTCCAGTATAGACCTAGGTCAGTCTCCAGTATAGACCTAGGTCAGCCTCCAGTATAGACCTAGGTCAGCCTCCAGTATAGACCTAGGTCAGTCTCCAGTATAGACCTAGATCAGTCTCCAGTATAGACCTAGGTCAGCCTCCAGTATAGACATAGGTCAGCCTCCAGTATAGACCTCGGTCAGTCTCCAGTATAGACCTAGGTCAGTCTCCAGTATAGACCTAGGTCAGCCTCCAGTATAGACCTAGGTCAGCCTCCAGTATAGACCTAGATCAGTCTCCAGTATAGACCTAGGTCAGTCTCCAGTATAGACCTAGGTCAGTCTCCAGTATAGACCTAGATCAGCCTCCAGTATAGACCTAGGTCAGCCTCCAGTATAGACCTAGGTCAGTCTCCAGTATAGACCTAGATCAGCCTCCAGTATAGACCTAGGTCATATAGACCTAGGTCAGTCTCCAGTATAGACCTAGGTCAGTCTCCAGTATAGACCTAGGTCAGCCTCCAGTATAGACCTAGGTCAGTCTCCAGTATAGACCTAGGTCAGCCTCCAGTATAGACCTAGGTCAGCCTCCAGTATAGACCTAGGTCAGCCTCCAGTATAGACCTAGGTCAGCCTCCAGTATAGACCTAGGTCAGCCTCCAGTATAGACCTAGGTCAGCCTCCAGTATAGACCTAGGTCAGCCGCCAGTATAGACCTAGGTCAGCCTCCAGTATAGACCTAGGTCAGCCTCCAGTATAGACCTAGGTCAGTCTCCAGTATAGACCTAGGTCAGTCTCCAGTATAGACCTAGGTCAGCCTCCAGTATAGACCTAGGTCAGCCTCCAGTATAGACCTAGGTCAGCCTCCAGTATAGACCTAGGTCAGCCTCCAGTATAGACCTAGGTCAGTATCCAGTATAGACCTTGGTCAGTCTGCATATCTGTACAGTCTCGTCTGGCTATATACTGTTGGCTGACTAGCTTAAGATTTTTATCTTGATATACCCAAATTGTTATTGGATAGTTCCATAAATGGGAGCTGGAACAAATGCCACAAATATTGATGGAAATTTCCAAAAATACAAGCTGGACAAGTCCATTAAAGAAATACGGCCTGTTAAGGATACTTAATAGTCAATTTGGGAAGAAATAGAAATGTTATGTTTTTATCAAGTTGTAAGTTTGCTTCTATTGTACTGTTTATCAAATATGAAAACAATTACACATGAAACTTGTTACATTTTCTCTATTGTTTAAAACATAAATATTTATTTATTACTGGAGTGATGTAACCTACATTTAAGTTAATATTACTTGCCTATTAAAACCCTCCATGCATGTAGAAGATATGCTGTAGACAAAACTGGCCCACCAGTCAGGGGCAATCCTTTCATGTGACCCATTTTTTCAAACAGGTGTAAGAAAAAGATTTATAAAATTTTACAAATCCAACGAAAGCAGTGATAACAGTCAAACATGTTTTTTTTATCTTGCCTTCGCCTTAATGTCATTGGGTTATTCCCTGAAGCCTTTGTTTTTTTAGTGTAACCAAGATTATTATAAGAATAAGAATTATTTTAGATGTATTACTTTTTGTAAACAATGTTAATAATAAAATAAAAATTTTATTTTGTGTATATTTAGGAGCAGTTGTTGTTTTGTGATGACTGTGACCGTGGTTACCACATGTATTGTTTGAATCCGCCTCTACAGGAGGCACCTGAAGGTAATTTTCATCATCTTAGTGCAATAAGTGATTAACCCACATTATATTAATTATTAAATCTAGCAGAACTTATCGTTACTGCACTAGGTTGGCAATTTGTTCAAAATTGTTTATTGATGTTATGAAATAATTTTAAGTATCAGAAATTTGTATTTGATGTTGAAATCTTTAATGCATGCATTTAAGTGGTTTTGTCTGGACATTTAGCAGTTTTGAAATTCATTCATAGATTTATTTACTGGTATATTTAATTTGAGCATTAACATCTTTAGCATGTTTATACTACATGTGTTTTACCAGTTTATGACAAGAACCAGTTTGATCATTAAACATATCTTCGAATTGTCTTAGTTTGCACAATCTTTTGAATAAATGTTCGAAAATATTGTTAAAATAACATCCCTGAAGATAAGCCACTTGGTCATGTTTAAGTTTTCAGCAAAATAATAAATGAAAATTTGAAATTGGCGATAAATTAATGAACATTAGAACCTCATTTAAATCTGTGAAGCTTACTAAAAGCTTATTAGGGAAACTGAAAATTTATGTAAAATGTCTATAGCTCTGAATTCTGGTTAAAATCATTCTGAAATGTTACATAATTTGGGTATACTGTACCAAAACAAATTTCTGTATATTTGAGGAGTATGTCATGTTTTAGAAATGACTAATAAGTAGCAGATGTATTTGCTGAATGAAAAGTAGCTCAATTGATAGGACTGCTGAACAGCTTTCTAAGTGTTCTTTGTTCATGGTTTAAATCACAACCAGACTGCACATTTTTTTTTAAGACATAAGAAAATAAAGGGTGTACCAGTTTTATCTTGGGACATTTAGGAATATAAAAGTAGAAAAAATGATGTTATAAGAACTATATGAACCGCTTCACGACAAAACCAATGTTATGCGTTTGCGACCAGCATGAATCCAGACCAGCCTGCGCATCCCCAGTCTGATCAGTATCCATGCTGTTCACATACAAACCCTATAACAAGTAGTGAAACTGATAGCGAACAGCATGAATCCATGCTGGTCACAAACACACTATGTTGGTTTTGTCGTGATGCAGCTAAAATGTTTTAAATTTCCTACTGTTATTATAATTGTAGGTAATTGGAGTTGTCACCTGTGTATTGAAGAGTTCCATGGAGGCAAGAAGCCAGCTGGCATGGTATAAAATGTTCATCTCTATTACACATTCATCATGGGAGCAAGAGAAATCTATGATATGTTTTTGTTGGATTATACACATGCTAATGTGTACAAGTATATTACTGAAATATGTAAATACAGTAACAATGTTGTGTCATAATGCTTGAACATAATGTACAAAACACAGTAAGAACTTGTTTGTAGATAAAAGATTTTGTTAGCCTTCTTGAATAAAGATTATTTAGGATATAGAGAATTAAATGCAATGATGTGAAAATCAAGTAAAACATGAAATACACATACTGGAAAACTGTAACGTTAAATGATACATGATGTAATCTCTATTAAAGTGTTGTATTTTCATACATGTATTGTTGTCCTGAAGTTTTGTATATTTAATGTTGTGCTTGCATTTTCTTGTTTTGATGTACGTGAGCACATCACAATTTCAGTGGGAGAATATTTTCATAAGACAAGTTTAAATTGCTTTTTTTTGGAGACATTATCTTTTTTGTTAATTCTTCAAGATTTTTGCCATAAAAAATATTCAGACACAATTTTCGAAATCATTGTAACAATATTGTAGCAAGTTAATTGTTGTCATTATTTCATGTCAAACATGTAGTTCTAGTACTAGAAATAAATCATTAACAGTTGAAGTTTTCTTTCATTGTTTTATCAACTGCATAAGGAAATATCTCCTAATCACCTTTCAAAGAAAAAAATATTTGCTTATGTAAAAGTAATAAATGTTGATGTTGCTGTCCAGAAACTTTGGCCATCAATGCATTGCCTTCATGGTTTGGACACAAGATTATCAAGTGAACCAGGATGAACTTGACCCCTAAGTAACAAAATAACACTGACTAAACCAAAATGTATAATTATTCAAGCTGAACCTTGACCTTTAATTTAAATGACCTAAATTTGACCATGAAGATTTAAATTATTGACACTTGCTTAAATTGAGATAACTTTATTAATTATAAATTATATTCATACTATTGACAAAACTTACATGTTGAACAATTGATTTCAAATCCTTGACATTGAAATGACCTTGATTGTCGAGGTCAAATTATTGGATTTTGCCTAAATTGTGATCTATTGATTTATTTATAAATTTGACTTGTGCTTCCACAAAACAATGCTCATTATACAGTTATGTTGAATGTTTCAAATATGATCTTAAGATGGTGACTGCCTGCCAAGATCAAATCTTAAATAGTAAAAAAACAAGCAGTGAACTGCAAGTTCTATAATTTCCTTTAAATTCTCAAATTTTGCTAGAGTTGTGATAACTTTCGTTATCTATTCAGGAATTTGATTCATACTTTGACAAGAAAAATGCTAACTGCCAAACCAAATTATTCAAGTTTAATTTTGACCTTCAACTGTCAAGTTCTTGAATTTTAATCACATTGCCTTATTAACCAGGTTTTCAATTTTGAAAATCCTGGTTATTAGATTGGGGTATGGCGGGCGGATGGGCGACTGGGCGGATGGGCGGGCGGGCGTCAAACGAAATTGTGTCCGCTCTGTAACTCTTCAACCCTTTGAAGAATTTTGATGAAACTTCAGACAAATGTTTACCACATCAAGATGACGTGCAGAACGCATGTTCCGCATGGCTGGCTCCAAGGTCAAGGTCACAGTGACATTAACATTGAAAATCCTGTCCGCTCTGTAACTCTTCAACCCTTTGAAGAATTTTGATGAAACTTCAGACAAATGTTTACCACATCAAGATGACGTGCAGAACGCATGTTCCGCATGGCTGGCTCCAAGGTCAAGGTCACAGTGACATTAACATTGAAAATCCTGTTTACATGATTTTTAACTTGATTTGGCAGTCAAAGGTCATATCATCTTTGGAGGTAATTTAAAAAAGATATGATATATTATTTCATGTCTACTTTGTAACTTGTTTTCATTATACAGAATTATCAATATAATTATAGTGAACAAATTCTTCTGTGCTGAACTCGTCCTACATTTCTCAACGGATTTTGTTCAAACTTTCACAGAAGCTTTGTCATCAAGCATCCTGGCACATATTGTCGGGGTTTTGTGATTGGATAGTTTTTGACCTAATTATGGCCCTTTGTTTTTTTCCTTATACATAATATTATAGTGAACACTTCTTCAGTGGCAATTCCTCCTACATTATTCATGTTTTACATTGCACATAGTTACATTGTTTGTTGCTTGTATTTGTATTTCAAATACAACATATTTATCTACAATGGTGATAATTGAAAACCTGGTTTCATGGCATTGCCATGTTTCTTGTTTTTTAATTGAAGAGATTTGATTCATATATTGAAAATACAACACTGACAAAAACATGTTTAATGATTTTAATATGACCTTGATCTGCAAATGAGCTTAATTGTCCAGGTCAAATATAAATTTTGAATTTAATCTGGTACACAAAAATATGATATCTTTAGAAATTCTTCAATACTATATTATGTGTTTGCCTTTGGAAATAAGAAGTCAAGCATTGACTCCGTCTTGCAGTGGCTATTGTTTATGAAAATTGTTAATCTAACTCTTGACCCTATGTTTCCCTAGTTTTTTCAACAATTAATTATTCTCAACTTAACCAAATGAAATTAATATAAAGGAGGAATTAAATTAAAATAACTCAAAAAAATATTTCAAAATATTTATTGCACTATAATGTTACACACTGTTCTGTGTAAGTTTAACTGCATCACAAAATTTACACAAACTTATTTTATAAATTCAATGAGCTGAACTGAATTCAACAATTTATAAGCTATCATCCCAAAGTGGACTGGCACAACGGAACAGGTGAAATAATGATTAAAAGTTAACAAAATGTTGAAACTAGGACACAGTCACAACCTTCTGTAAATCCTGTAGAATGTCCTTGAAACAATTGTCCATATCTAATAAAACACCTGAAATAATAAAATAAACAATATCTGATTTTATTATTCTGCTTATGAGATAATAAAATGTCTGTTGAAATCAAAAACCAAATTGACTTGCCTTGTTATATAGAATATTTATATTAGAACCTTTACATAACAACACAATATTCCATTCTATTACAGCAAAACTATATAAAACTTTATAGTTTGTGTTATTGACACATATTCTTAATTGATCTATATTTAAATGAAGAGATAAACGGTGACTAAAATGTCTCCAGTGTGACTTATTCAACATTGAGGGAAGAGGTTTATCACAAATACTATCCTAGAGAAACAAAAATACAAGCCGTATGTCACTACTTATGAAAATAGGGTCTATTTGAAAGACCCTGATGAAAGTCAGTCAAAGCAAAATACTAATTTAGTTCTTTAAATATCAAGGTGATTATGATACACGTCCATATGCCCAATTTTCCATATGCAGCATTTTATTTTCAGGTGGCCAATTAACAAAGGTGTGACTGTATGTCTGTAAATACTAGTACCTGTATTAGTATCACTGGATGCTATAAATGTCAACAAGAGAGGAGACTTGTTTATCTGTACTACCTGAAAACAATACAAATTAATCTATATGAGCCGCGTCACGACAAAACCAACAGAATGGGTTTGCCACCAGCATGGATCCAGACCAGCCTGCGTATCCGCGCAGTCTGATCAGGATCCATGCTGTAAGCTATCAGTTTCTCTACTTATAATAGGGTTTGTAAGCGAACAGCATGGATCCTTATCAGACTGCGCGGTTGCGCTGCAGAGTGAGGCTGGTCTGGATCCATGCTGGTCGCAAACGCACTATGTTGGTTTTGTCGTGACGCGGCTCATATAATGACATAAAACCTTACTTATATTATCTGTTATCCCAATGTTGATAAAGTTTACCATCCAAAATATTTTTAATGGACTTCTCCATTTTCAAATCGGGACAAAGAAATCATTTAGTGAAAATTTCAAATTATGTAGTGGCTAAAAAAGAGAACATTGCAGACCATGATAAGCAGTACAGTTGTGCTGTGTCACATGTGTAATTTCTGTCACAACCAGCAGGTTAGAGGTTAAACTAAAGATCCTTTAAACTGTGACATTTGATTTAAAAAAAAAAAAAAAGTTAAATTTGACAAAAAGTCATAATTTAACAAGCAATTATCATAGAATTGCAAGCAATCCATAAGTCCCCTACCGGTTAAAACCCCAGCAACATTCTGATGGGCCATTGGCCATTCAATTTTACCAGTGGATGAATGACATGAATGAACTTAAATCTTTTGAGTTCTAAGTTTGTCTATATCACAGTAATGTGTTTAGTTTCCCTGCCTAGTATGGTAATTATGTTTATACAACCTTGTCATATTATTATGAAGTGGGATTTTAAAGTAAATCCTATAAGGAATGAAGAAGTTGGAGTGAAAAGTACCAATTTTTCGAAAAAAAATCTAAGTTCAAGGGGTCAATAATTCTGGAAATAGTCTTGCTAGAGTATTTAACCTTCTCAAAAATGTTGAGTGATAATAAGAAACAGATATATGAAGTTTGAAGTAGATACATTAGGAAATAAAGAAGTTATTTAAAAAAGACAACATTTTTTTTTCATTAAAATTCTAAGTTCAAGGGAGGTAATACTGATAATTTTTGTATTAGAGTTGTAAACCTTGTCACATATGATGTGGTTGATGGCCAGAAACTTACAATTAAAGTTTGAAATAAACACCTTAAGAAATAAAGACCTTATAGTGAAAAAGCTGAAAAATTTAAATCAGAAATCTTGAAATTCAGGCTATTTGTTGCCATAGCAACCAGAATTTTCAACATAGGAAAAAAAGAAAAAGATGCGCATAATCTCCAGACTGCCATCTACCCATATTTTAAGTTTCATTAAAATATTTTCAGAACTTTTTGAGTTATCACTGGATCCAGTTTATGTGTTAAATTTGCCATATTTTCAGACTATTTGTTGCCATAGCAACCAGAATTTTCAACACAGGAAGAAAAAAAAAAGACGTGCATAATGTCCATACTGCCATCTATCCATATATCAAGTTTCATTAAAATATTTTCAGAACTTTTTGCGTTATCGCGGGATCCAATTTTGTGGACTGACAGACAGACAGACGGACGGAGGGTAAACCTAAAGTCCCCTCCGGTTAAACCGGTAGGGGACTAATAAAAATAGAAATAAATACAAAGAACACTGTCTAGGTTTAAATTACATACCTGATGATTTTCATACATACAGATGATAGATTTATTTGTTCCCATTCCAAGTTTACTAGCTTGATTAGCAGCTAAACCAAATGTTCCTAGAAAATTATGACGCAAAACAAGCTCTGGTGTTTGCTCTGTTGCAACTGTAACAATACAATGATTAAAACAATTCTTAAATGATGATTAACTGCTATATCTTTATATATATAGATATATATAGAGGATATTAAATTTCTTGTAAGTTAAATACTGAATTTATTGCACGAGTTGAATAAAATTATATTATGCGAGCCTCTGGCGAGCATTATATTATTTTATTCAACTCGTGCAATAAATTCAGTAATGAACTTACAAGAAATTTAATGTTCTATTTATCACATACCCAAATAAAAACCATTTGAAGTGAAATAAGAGTCATTTTTGTGTCGCCTCTACAGAGTAGTGGCGACATATAGGGATCACTTCTCCGTCGTCTGTCTGTCCGTCCGTCACAAAACTTGTCCGGACTACTCCTCATAAACTACTGGTGCAATTTCATCCAAACTTTACAGGAATGATCAGTACCAAGTCAAGTTGTGCATATTGTCAGCATTTTCCGGTTCAATAATTTTTGTAAGAGTTATGGCCCTTTAATAATTTTTATTTTTAAAGTTTGTCCGGACTACTTCTCTTATACCACTTATGCAATTTTGCAATTTCAATGAAACTTTACAGGATTGATCTGTAGCTCAAGTTCTTTAGCATATTGCACAGGTTTTCCGGTTGAATGATTTTTGGCCGAGTTATGGCCCTTTGATTAAAAGGTGTTTTTATGCTCCCCGCAGTCTGTCCTTCATACAGTGGTAGAGGGCATTGAGGGGAAGTGCAGTGTCAAAGAACCATAGCTCAATTTTGCCCGGTTTTTGAATTATCTCCCCTTATAGAAAAATCTTGTCCGGGACATAACTCTAAAACTATAAGAGATATCAACATGAAACTTTGTAGGTGAATAGATCTCAATGGGTAGATGTGCAGTGCATAAGAACAATAACTATTTTTGTCCTAATTTTGGGTTATTACCCTTTGTTAATTTTAACACTTTGAACTTTGTCCGGAACATAAGTCTAAAACTATAAGAGATATCAAGATAAAACATTGTAGGTAGATAGATCTCATTGAGTAGAAGTGCAGTGCAAAAGAACCATAACTCTTTTAAGGCTCATTTTTAGCTCACCTGTCACAAAGTGACAGGGTGAGCTTTTGTGATCGCTTTTCGTCCGGCGTCCGTCCGTCCGGCGTCCGTCCTTAAACTTTTACTTTAAATGACATCTCCTCATAAACCACTAAGCCAATTTCATCCAAACTTCACAGGAATGTTCCTTTGGTGGTCACCTTTAAAAATTGTTCAAAGAATTTAATTCCATGCAGAACTCTGGTTGCCATGGCAACCGAAAGAAAAAACTTTAAATATCTTCTTTTAAAAAACCCTAAGAGCTAGAGCTTAGATATTTGCCATGAAACATCTTCTAATGAGTGTCTACCAAGTTTGTTCAAATAAAAGCCCTGGGGTCAAAATTGGCCCCGCCCCAGGGGGTCTTTGATTTTCCCTATATGCATATAGTAAAAACTTAAAAAATCTTCTTTTAAAGAACCCAAAGAGCTAGAGCTAAGATATTTAGCATGAAACATCTTCTAATGAGTGTCTACCAAGTTTGTTCAAATAAAAGCCCTAGGGTCAAAATTGGCCCCGCCCCAGGGGGTCATTGATTTTCCCTATATGCATATAGTAAAAACTTAAAAAATCTTCTTTTAAAGAACCCAAAGAGCTAGAGCTAAGATATTTAGCATGAAACATCTTCTAATGAGTGTCTACCAAGTTTGTTCAAATAAAAGCCCTAGGGTCAAAATTGGCCCCGCCCCAGGGGGTCATTGATTTTCCCTATATGCATATAGTAAAAACTTAAAAAATCTTCTTTTAAAGAACCCAAAGAGCTAGAGCTAAGATATTTAGCATGAAACATGTTCTAATGAGTGTCTACCAAGTTTGTTCAAATAAAAGCCCTGGGGTCAAAATTGGCCCCGTCCCAGGGGGTCATTGATTTTCCCTATATGCATATAGTAAAAACTTAAAAAGTCTTCTTTTAAAGAACTCAAAGAGCTAGAGCTAAGATATTTAGCATGAAACATGTTCTAATTGGTATCTACCAAGTTTGTTTAAGTAAAAGCCCTGGGGTCAAAATTGGCCCCGCCCTGGGGGTCATTGATTTTCCTTATATGTATATAGCAAAAACTGAAAAAATCTTCTTTGAAAAAACCCAAATAGCTGGAGTTTAGATATTAAGCATGAAACATATTCTAGTGAGTGTCTACAAAGTTTGTTCAAATAAAAGCCTTGGAGTCAAAATTGGCCCCGCCCCGGGTGTTATTGATTTTCCTTATATGTGTATAGCAAAAACTTAAAAATCTTCTTTGAAAAAACCCAAATAGCTAGAGTTTAGATATTAAGCATGAAACATCTTCTAGTAATTGTCTACAAAGTTTGTCCAAATAAAAGCCCTGGGATCAAAATTGGCCCCGCCCCAGGGGTGTCATTGGTTTTAACTATATGTGTATAGTAAAAACTTAAAAAATCTTCTTTTAAAAAAAACCAATGAGCTAGAGCTTAGATGTTTAGCATGAAACATCTTCTTATGGGTGTCTACCAAGTTTGTTCAAATAAAAGCCCTTGGGTTAAAATTGGCCCTGCTGGGGGGGGGGTGGGAACGAGGGGGGTAGATCGTTGTTTTTCATTATATGTGTGTAGGAAAAACTTAACATCCTGAAACATCTTCTAATGGGTGTCTTCTTAGTTTGTTCAAATAAAAGCCCTGGGGGTTTAAACTGGCCCCGCTCCGGGTGCATTTATACAGGTGAGCGACCTCAGGGCCATCATGGCCCTCTTGTTGAATTATCTCCCCTTATAGAAAAATCTTGTCCGGGACATAACTCTCAAACTGTAAGAGATATCAACATGAAACTTTGTAGGTGAATAGATCTCAATGGGTAGATGTTCACTGCATAAGAACAATAACTCTTTTTGTCCTAATTTTGGAGTTATTGCCCTTTGTGTATTTTAACACTTTGAACTTTGTCCGGAACATAACTCTAAAACTATAAGAGATATCAAGATGAAACATTGTAGGTAGATAGATCTCATTGAGTAGAAATGCAGTGCAAAAGAACCATAATTCTGTTAAGCCTCATTTTTGAATAATCTCCCCTTTTAGAAAAATCTTGTCCAGGACATAGCTGTAAAACTTTAAGAGATATCAACATGAAACTTTGTAGGTAGATATATCTCAATGGGTAGATGTGCAGTGCAAAAGAATCATAACTCTGCCTTGCCTAATTCGTGAGTTATTGCCCTTTATTTATTTTTACTTTTTGAAGTTGTCCGGGACATAACTCGGAAACCATAAGAGATATCAACAAGAAACTTTGTAGGTTGATAGATCACATTGATTAGAAGTGCAGTGCAAAGAACAGTAACTCTGCCTTGCCTAATTTTGGAATTATTGCACTTTGAACTTTTTCCAGGGACATAACTAACAAGCAAATTCGTTGAATTTATATCCCCCGCCGAGTACTGGTTATTATTAAAACAACAACTGAAGACATAAGGCTTTATTTATATATTAATCATGGCATAAACTGTAATATTCTTTGAACTTGAAGCCTTGTACTTTCAAACAAGAAGAATTTTTAAGTTTTCACTATATACATATAAGGAAAATCTATGACCCCCTGGAGTGGGGCAAATTTTGACCCCAGGGCTAAAATTTGAACAATTTTGGTAGAGGACCTATAGGTTATATCATATACCTAATATCAAAGCTCTAGGCCTTGTACTTTCAGACAAGATTTTTTAATTTTGCATTTTTGAAACTCCTTTTCTGGCCCTGTGACCTACTTATGCAACAGACCGGAACCATTTGATCAACTTTGGCAGGGGGGACCACCCTAGGATCATTCCTGTAAAGTTTGGTTGCTGTGCAGTCATTTGTTTCTGAGGAGATGTTGTTTAAAGAAATTGCTGACGACGCACGACAACGGACGGTGGGGATCACAATAGCTCACCTAGAATGTAAAAACATCTTAATCTCCAGACTTCATTGCCATATTCAAGGCATAAAGAAGGGTTCTCACAATTTTCAAATATTTTAAATGTTATTGTAACAAATCATTTTAATTCTTTTTTAATAAAAACTAGAAATGCGTCCATAGGACACGGGTGCCCCCCACCGCGCCACTGTTCTGTCAATCTTATGACTCTTAGTCTAGGTCAAATATTTTTTGAAAACTAAAAATCTTTTTACTAAGTAAAGGGCAAGAACTTTACCAAATACTGAATAAATCCCCAAGCAAACCCCAAGTTGAAAATTGCAAATTTATACTACTGTTATTCAAGGGCAATAACTCTAACAAAACTGAAAAAAAATCCACATGCAAAGTCCCAGGTTCATAGCTTCACAGTGAGGTGAATCATTATTCCTGTAATTTAGTGATGTTGATCATTATTCCTGTAAAGTTGGTCGATTCTAACACTCAAGGATCAAATAACAACATAATGAAACAGTTTTTACTAAGTCAAGGGAAATAACTCTACAAAATACTGGATAAATCCACAAGCGAAACCCAGGAACACACTAAATATGCTGAGCAACTTCCAATAAGGTTTAATGACTCTATGTCAAATCCTTTTGAGTTACATGCGACACATGTTGAAAATTGCAAACATTTTTTTAGTCAAGGGCAATAACTCTAAAAATACTAAAAAATATCCAGACGAAAATACCCAGGTGCACAACTACACATGCTGATCAACATTCCCATAAAGTTTCATGACTCTAGGTCAAATCCTTTTTGAGTTACGTGCGACACAAGTTGAAAAATTACAAAATTTTACTAAGTCAAGGGCAATAACTCTAAAAATTACTAATAATATCCAGACGAAAATACCCAGGTGCACAACTACACATACTGATCAACATTCCTGTAAAGTTTCATGACTCTAGGTCAAATACTTTTGAGTTACATGCGACACAAGTTGAAAATTACAAAATTTTACTAAGTCAAGGGCAATAACTCTAAAAATACTAAAAATATCCAGACGAAAATACCCAGGTGCACAAACTACACATACTGATCAACATTCCTGTAAAGTTTCATGACTCTAGGTCAAATACTTTTGAGTTACATGCAACACAAGTTGAAAATTACAAAATTTTACTAAGTCAAGGGCAATAACTCTAAAAATACTAAAAATATCCAGACGAAAATACCCAGGTGCACAACTTTACATGCTGAGCAACATTCCAATAAAGTTTCGTTGAATTCCAGCCATTAGTTGCAGAGAACTACTCCGGAAACGAAAAAAATTTTTTTACTAAGTCAAGGGCAATAACTCTAAAAATACTAAAAATATCCAGACGAAAATACCAAGGTGCACAACTTCACATGCTTATCAACATTCCCATAAAGTTTCATTGAATTCCAGCCATTAGTTGCAGAGAACTACTCCGGAAACGAAAAAAAAATTTTTACTAAGTCAAGGGCAATAACTCTAAAAATACTAAAAATATCCAGACGAAAATACCCAGGTGCACAACTTCACATGTTGATCAACATTCCCATAAAGTTTCGTTGAATTCCAGCCATTAGTTGCAGAGAACTACTCCGGAAACGAAATTCGGACGGACGGACGGACGGAAGGACGGACGGACAACGCCAAAACTATATCCCCCTCCTGATTCCATCGGCGGGGGATAACTACAAGAGGTGTACTTTCCTGTGTCCAAAACCTATTTGGGGAGCATCACCCGGCTCAAACCGGGCTCTTGTTTTCTGTGTGTTGCCAGATACACAAAAGCTTGTCTGGACTACTCCTCATAAACTACTGGTGCAATTTTATCTAAACTTTAAAAGAAAGATCAGTACCCAGTCTAATTGTGCACTGTCTGTCTGTCCGTCTGTCACAAAACTTGTCCCCACTACTCCTCATAAACTACTGGGGCAATTTCATCCTAACTTTACAGGAATTTATGTCGCCACTCCTCCGATCACTTCTACGTCTGTAACAAGACTTGTCCCAACATGAAATTGGCCATCATGACGTCACATCAAAATATATGCCAGCCGTGCAATACCATATTTACTGAGTCGCAAAATCGGCATGGGTGTGTGATAAATATATATACAAATTTGGAGAAAATAAACATTCATACAGTGCTAAATACCCAAGTACTTTCGGCGTTTTATGCCTTCATCAGGGGTGTATTACATGTATAATGTGCACACAATAGAGCACAAAATCTCCATATGTGTGTACTGTATAGTATCAAAAATTGAATTGAGTTTAGAGTCTTGTATAGTGATCCAGGAATACTTTCAGTTCACAGAGGGCAATATTCATTCATAATCAATGCAAGATTTATTGCTCTTGAAAATTGACCTTCAAATTAATTTGGAAGACATGTATTAAGTTTAAAGTGAACAGGGAGGATGATCACATGAAAGTTTATGGTAACTTTGTCACCAACACCAATATGAAAGAAATATCAATAATATGTGCAAATACCTTTTAGATAATGCTATGAACCTTGGCACTAACTGTGACACAATGTTACAGCCACCAAAAATTATGTGATCACCAAACATAATGAATATCATCATAGTACTGATGTTGCATCAGGATTTTTTTTAAGTTCATAAAGAGCAAGAGGCAGTAAAAATTCATGTCAGTTATAGGCTTTGGATAATGACCTCCAATGTTAATAAAGGGTCATAATTTAGTCAAAATTCATGTCAAGAGTTATCGGTCTTGCAAAAAGACCACCAATCATGATTACAAAGACATGAGTGAAATTATAAGCCAACACATTTAGTGGTTGATAAACAGAGCTAAAAATGAGTTATACCAATTTACAAATCTACTCTAAAATATAAGCCAATTACATGTTATGCAATGTAAGTTTTAATTGAAAAGACATACAAGAGTACATATACTTCAATAAATTTTGTATTGGAATGTTGGAAACAATCTGCATCTTGAACAGTATAAAAAACTGTGATACCTTTGAAAACTGGAACCCCATCTCTGTCAGTGATTACTATTGCCATCAAACCATCTACACTGAAATAATATGTGTATTGAATTTTTTTAACTAGTTAATACTTGCCAATTTTTATCAGTATCAATTATGGTTAAAATAATAATCTTAATATCAGAATCAATAACACCATATATACATTGTCCATGCTATTGCTGAATGATATTGAACAATGTTAACTAGCAGGTGTTTATCTACATTGGATAATATCATACATTACATGTGGACTGAATTGTCACTTAAATGAGGTGAATCATCATTACCAAAAATATTACTAACTACCTGGCAGTGCTAGTCTAAAATATGCCTCCTGATATTTTAATCTCTTCCTTTCTTCCATCTTTTTATAACTCTGTGGTTTTGAAATGCAAACATGTCAACATTGCTGTGAGGTGTTTGACATTATTGGGATAAAGACTGTTGATCTACTGATCTAGAGTGGGTGGACCAACGCTCGGCGTAAAAATATTATATTTGATATGGCAAATTCAAGTCAACGTCAACAAACCTCAATGTTATATGTCCATGTTCAAGACCCATGATATTGTTTAAATAGCCCTTGTGTAAAATTCGCTAATCAAATAATAATGTGCATGGCTGGAGCTAAAGATAGTTCGAATAAACAAGAGTGGTTTGCATGAAATTGTACCATAGCTCGGCGTACAATACTACATGATGCAGGATTGTTTTTCAAATAAAATCTCTTTTTCATCTTATGAAGAAAACATATTGAATCAATTGTAACAACCAAATTAGGTTCATATATTTACAAGAACCAGACTTTTAGTTTTAATTGTACAGCCCCAGAACTCTAGTGTTAATAGATTTTAATAATTTATATGTTGCGGATTACATACGGTCGTTTGTCTGCTATTAGCATTGTCATGTGAATTCACCAGCAGTAAAACGCACCAGTATAAAATGGTGAAAGATATAAATAAAAGCACCAGTGACCTAAATCGGAGATAACTTAAGACATTTTCAGATGTTCTAAAAAAATATTTTTTACGCCGAGCATTGGTATGCGCCGAGCATTGGTCCAACCACTCTACTATATTATCAATTACACTTTAATACTCACCTTTGTAGCAGCTTATTAAAATGGGCCTTCACTTCCTGAAAATGAGATCAAGGACTGTGTTTTAAATCATTCACAAATAAACTGCCACATATCAATCATGCAAGTATATTTTTATAATTTAATGTATAAAATAGATCAAGTTGGCTGTCACATGATGTTGATAAAGCAGGTATTTCAAGCATATCCTCAAATAATTCAACTTATCTGGATCATTTTATATGCTTTTATTTAATGTATAAATAGGAATTCTTTGTACTTCTTTTAGATTCAAGGAGATTGCTTTCATCCTTGCCAGATGTTGACAATAAAGTACAAGTATAAATATATAGGATTAATACATGTAGATTAACCATCGACAGGTAATCAACCGGTAACTGCTACACTTATGATACCTTTTGGTTTAATTTGAATGATTTAAAGGAAATTCTACTTCTAATTTCCAAAAACTTTGAAAAAAATAGCAATTCGTCGCAAATGTACGTTATACATTGCGTGACACGTATATTAAATTAAGATAAAACGACATATACCTCTGTCATTTTTAATTCTTGACTTCCTACACGGAGTAACTTCCCTTGATTCAATGCCTGACAACATTGTATTCATACACAAATTTGCTAACTGTATCCCAACGTTACAATAATAGCTTATCGATGACAAAAATGATTTTCAAATACAATTTTAATATATAAAGTTTCAATTAAGAGGCCTTTGATTGTTGATATTATACAAATAGTAGAACTCATTTATAGGAGGATTTGTTTACATCGGAAGTTGTACGGTCCAAGATGTCTGTCATAACAAAAGTGCCCGAACCAAATATTTTTGATCAAATATGTAAAGGTAATCTTATCATGAAAATAAGTTAACTTAATTTAATTTATCATAACATATATTTCTTAACTGCTGTGTAAATTGAAGGGAATTCAAACTACATCCTCAGGATTAAATGAAATATTAGTCTGAGACTCTGATGCTTTTAACTTAACTGCTTACACATGTTACATGGCCTATGCTGATGTTAAGTTATAATTACTCCTATTTAGGTACAGAGCAGCAGACCATGGGACAGAGCACAGGCTCTCGGCGTGATACCAATGCCTACCTCAAGGACCTACCCTCTATATAGATGTCTGCCAGTCTGCTAGTCATAATCAGAATTGATTGTTATCATGATTCATGTAGATACAAAATCAAACAATTCTAACCAAAATATGTTACTCAATTTACTGATACTATAATCTATATTCATAGTATCAGTAAATTATTTTATTAGTTTTTTGACATGATGGGACTGAAAATAATTTTGGAGACTAATGTTTCATATAATTATTGATGTCGGTCTAGACCTGGACCAAAGTTTTGGTCCTAGATCTACATGTAGAGCCTAGACCAATAAATTTACTCCATTTTCCAGAAAAAATATTGTTCCTGCCTATCCTTGTAAGAAATTGAAATTTTATATTTTTAGGTTTTTGGACCCTTGAAATTAATTTGATTGTTTTACCCAATTAATATAAATGTATAAAAGTTTTTGTATATGTTTAATGTGCAAATATGACTTTACACCATTATTATCATGTCACCTCAAAGACTCAATGATTAGCTGGTTAATGAGTTATGTACATGGTAATTACTCATTTATAATTTGTGTACAAAATATAATTATTTATATTGATCGCTGTAACTAGTATGTGTTATAGCTATATATATACACTACTGAATTCATAAATACATTTTGTAGAATTTTCTGGGTTCAAAGGATATAGAGATGATGATGAAGTTTCAGTTGCCACCGACTACCAGGACTATGATCCAGCCAAACACAACCCCGTGTTTTATGGCAAGATGCACTACCCTGTTAATGTAGACAGTGATGTACGGGAAGACGTTGATCCAGCTGTTACACATCCATCTGTGATTGGTTATTCATTTACAGAGAAACCACCAAAAACACCTCCACCCCCACCACCACCAGTTCCATCTAAAGAAGAGTGTATGTGACATGTATCCAATTTTGTTTAATTTTCATATATGATGACCTCATAATATTTGTATGAACTAAATCTCTTCCAATGTGATTTTGTATCTCATTTATGAAGTTATGTTAGATATAATATTTCTGTATTAAATAATTTGTATGCCAATTTTCATGATTGATTGATCTGATTTAAATCCTTTTATAAATTATGAATTTAATTTTTTTAACTTCTATATTTTACTTGTTTTGGGAAGTGAATTATGACAAATGTGGAAATGATGTTGAAAAATCTTAATAATTTGAGTGAAATTCATTCAGTAATATTCAATGTTGATTGTCAATTATATTAATCAAACATTTTTTGTCTTTCATTTGCTAATATAGATACATGTATGTGTTAATAACAATATTTTATAATCTCTAGTGTCTATGATTCCTTTTAAATCTTTCTTATAAACAGGGTAGTTATTAAGTATTGTTCATATTACAAATCTCCTCATTCTATTGCTATACTATTTACAGGTTCACCAAGAGAATATTTGCAACACTATGTTTTTCCAGTGTTGGTACCTGCAATGGAGGAAATGTTAAGACAGGCTAAAAAGGAAAAATGTTTTGAGGTAATGAAATGTGTTGTGCTGAAATCATTTTCATTCTAAACAAATCAATCAAATTCTCAAGATTGTTATTTGTCAGTTCATCATTTTGTTCTGTACGGTACCAAAAAACAATCTCGCTAATTGTGAATTTTCTTCACAGTTTTGTGAATTTTTTATGTTGTTATTTTTATGTATTATTCTAAATGAGAATGAGTCTAGTTGTCCAGTGGTAATACTGTCTGACAACCAATTCTATGGTTGCAAGTTCAATCCTGCCACTCCCATGACTTTTAGGTGCGGACTTTATAAAAAAAAAGGTATGTAGTACAAATGTAATGTTTTACATACACATTAAAGAACCACCATCATTATTACTGTATTTTTTGTAACATGCTCCAAGGAGTAAAATTTACCAGAGTGAGTCAACCATATATGTCTCTAGTGGCATCTATAATATATACATAAGTATATGTTATCATACATTATGACTGTATTATACAAATGTGGTTTATTAATTCAAATAATAATACTTTGAAGCATTTAAGTTTTTCAATTATAAACTCTGTTTTATCAAAATTTAAGCTAGTGAGTTTTTTTTTAAAACCTAATAAATATTTATTTTTTTTTCTTTGTTTTTTTTTTCAGAATAAATATTAAAGCCTTTAATGATTGTTATTTGCATTGGCTAGACTTATTCCCTAATGTTAGAATATTTATCCATTTTCTTTGATACTTTTTTTCTGTCCATAAGATTTACTTTAGTTTGTGATCAAGCAAATACTTTCTTTATTAAATTTCTATTGTTTTCTATTTCAGAGAAAGAGAACAAAATTCAATGCTTTAGATTTTGTGACTGAGTTCTTGTACAAGTAAGTATATTTGATTCTTATCCTTGAAATTACACCATTGCTTAATCTATCATTTGATTATTTTTTAGCTCACCTGTCACAAAGTGACATGGTGAGCTTTTGTGATCACTTTCCGACTGGTGTCCGTCCGTATGTCTGTAAACTTTTACTTTAAATGACATCTCCTCATAAACAGCTTAGCCAAATTCATCCAAACTTCACAGGAATGTTCCTTCGGTGGTCAACTTTAAAAAATGTTGAATTAAATTCCATGCAGAACTCTGGTTGCCATGGCAACCGAAAGAAAAAACTTAAAAAAGTCTTCTTTCAAAAAAACCAAAAGAGGTAGAGCTTAAATATTTTGCATGAAACATCGTCTAGTTTGTTCAAATAAAATTTCTAGGGTAAAAACTGGCCCCGCCCCTGGGGGTCATTGATATTCCCAATATGTATATTGTAAAAACTTTTAAAAAAATCTCCTTTTAAAGAACCAAAAGAGCTAGAGCTTAGATATTTGGCATGAGACATCATCAGATTCTAGTCAGTGTCTACCAAGTTGTTCAAATAAAATCCCTGGGATCAAAATTGGCCCAGTCTTGGGGGGTGATATATATTCCTTAAACGTATATATTAAAAACCTAAAAAAATCTTCTTTTAAAAATCCCAAAGAGCTAGAGCTAAGATATTAAGCATAAAATTTTACACATTATCAATGGCACTTATAAGGTATATAGTTATAAATAATTAAATACTGAAAATCAGTCAATAAGCGCAGAAAACATGTCAGTTATTACTGGAATCTTAATTATGCCCCCATTTCGAAGAAAAGGGGGTATATTGCTTTGCACTTGTCGGTCCGTCGGTCCGTAGACCAAATGGTTTCCGAGTGATAACTAAAGAACCCTTAGGCCTAGGAACTTCAAACTTGGTATGGTGATTGGTCATGACCAGTAGATGACCCCTATTGATTTTGGGGTCAAGGGGTCAAAGGTCAAGGTCACATTGATCTTGTAAGCAAAAACGGTTTCCTATCAATAACTAAAGAACCTTAAGGCCTAGGAACTTCAAACTTGGTATGGTGATTGGTCATGATCAGTAGATGACCCCTATTGATTTTGGGGTCAAGGGGTCAAAGGTCAAGGTCACATTGACTTTGTAAGCAATAACGGTTTCAGATCAATAACTAAAGAACTTTAAGGCCTAGGAACTTCAAACTTGGTATGGTGATTGGTCATGATCAGTAGATGACCCCTATTGAATTTGGGGTCAAGGGGTTAAAGGTCAAGGTCACATTGACCTCTTGGGTAAAAACGGTTTCTGATCAATAACAAAAGAACCCTTAGGCCTAGGAACTTCAAACTTGGTATGGTGATTGGTCATGACCAGCAGATGACCCCTATTGATTTTTGGGTTAAGGGGTCAAAGGTCAAGGTCACATTGACTTTGTAGGTAAAAACGGTTTCCTATCAATAACGAAAGAACCCTTAGGCCTAAGGACTTCAAACTTGATATGGTGATTGGTCATGATCAGTAGATGACCCCTATTGATTTTGGGGTCAAGTGGTCAAAGGTCAAGGTCACATTGACCTCTTAGGTAAAAACGGTTTCCGATCAATAACTAAAGAACCCTTAGGCCTAGGAACTTCAAATCTGGTATGGTGATTGGTCATGACCAGTAGATGACCCCTATTGGGGTTAAGGGGTCAAAGGGCAAGGTCACATTGACCTTGTAGGTAAAAATGCTTTCAAATCAATAACTTAAGAACCCTTTGGCCTAGGAACTTCAAACATGGTATGGTGATTGGTCATGACCAGCAGATGACCTATTGATTTTGGGGTCAAGGGGTCAAAGGTCAAGGTCACATTGACCTTCTATGTTAAAACGGTTTCCGATCAATTAACTAAAAACGCTTAGGCCTAGGAACTTCAAACTTTGTATGATGATTGGTCGTGACCAGCAGATGACCCCTATTGAGTTTTGGGTCAAGGGGTCAAAGGTTAAGGTCATGACCAGTGGATACTTGATAACCCTTATTAATTGTTTGATCACTGGGTCAGAAGTCATGCATAATAACCTTTTCACATGACTAATTGGCTGCTGATAGGGGGCATACATGTTTTACAAACATATCTTGTTTATTTTTACTTTTCCTAAAATCTTAGTACATTTTTCTCAATTTTATTGAAATATTTTGGCTCATCTGGAAGCATGCAGCTTTAGTTATTTCAAAATTTTGCTTGAAATTTGTATGAAATTTTTTAAAAGTGTTTCTGCTATGATACAACATTTTCTTTTCTTTAGTTTTTATTTATAACAGAACATGTATTATTCTTTATCTGCTCTGATTTTTCTTTTTATTTGACAGATAGAAATATTTATGAGATACTAACTAATTTTCAATTTTAAAAGAATTACATAAAAGCCTTTTCTTTTGCCCATTTCTTAACTATACCCACGAAAAGAAGTAGGGATGGGGGGGGGTATATAGGAGTCACTCGATGGTTGGTTAAATTTTCCTTGTCCGGAGCATTACTTGAAGACTAATGGTTCGAATTCAATACAACTTCATACAATGGTTAGGCACATTGAGAGGAATTGCAGTGCACAAGGACCACAACTCCTTCTTCACTAATTACAGAGTTATTGCCCTTTGTTACTTTTCCTTGTCCTGAGCATAACTTGACAACTACTGGTTGGAATTCAAAACAACTTCATACAATGGTCAAGCACAATAAGGGGAAGTGCAGTGCATGAGAACCATAACTCTATCTAAAGTAATTACAGTGTTATTGCCCTTCGTTACTTTTCCATTACTTTCTTTTATCAGGACCATAACTTGAAGACTCAATATAACTTCATACAATGTTCTAGCACATTGAGAGGAAATGCAGTGCTTAAGAACCATAACTCCATCTTGACTAATTACATAGTTATTGCCCTTTGATACTTTTCCTTGTCCGGAGCATAACTTAAAAACATCTGGTTGGAATTCAAAACAACTTCATACAATGGTCAAGCACAATAAGAGGAAATGCAGTGCACAAGAACCATAACACCATTTTGACAAATTACAGAGTTATTGCCCTTTGATACTTTTCCTTGTCCGCAGCATAACTTGAAAAGAACTGGTTGGAAGTGCCATGCTCAAGAAGCATAACTTCCTGGACTTATTACAGAGCAATTCAATAAAACTTCATCAATGTTCAACCATATTGAAAGGAAATGCAACATAACCACAACTATCTTTAATTGCCCACAACCATAAACTCTATTTCAATTCTTTTGCAAGGTTTTTTATTACTAGTAACTTCCTCATTTTCAAAGCAGTCTTGCGTGGGTATTAATCACATTTAGTGATAATTCTAGTTTAGTTAGTTGTAAAAAATGTTTATTTGCTGCTGCATTGATGGTTTATATATTTCAGCCACAACCCTAACCAGCTGGAAAGATCCAAAACACAATTAGAAAACATTTCTTTTGTGAAAGAATGGCTAAAAGATCAGTAAGTCTCAGTTTTAAGTCTTTATCTGAATAATTAACTGAAAATACATATGATAGCTTCGGATTTGTTTTTTATGTGCCAGAAAGAATTTTGGGAATATTATGTTATACCCCCTGGTGTCCGTCAGTCTGTCCGTCCCTTAGCAATTTGGTTTCTGGAGCAGAACTTAAGTTCCATTTGGCCCACAATATTCAAACTTCATAGGATGATTGTCCATATTGGGTAGAAGACCCCTATTGATTTTGGGGTCACAAGGTAAAAGGTCAAGGTCACTACATTGTAACTTCCGAATTTCGGAACTTCTAAAATTCGGAGACTTCTGAAACCCAAACATTTTTCAGGGTCCCTAAATTTCTCCTTCTGTTTTCTATATAATTAAAACCTCCGAATTACGAAACTTCTAAATTCTGAATTCCGAACGATTTTCTGGTAAAATTTGGGTTAAATCAATTCAAATTTACTTCCAAAAGCCGGAAATTGAAAAAGGGGTGAAGGAATATTATACTTGTGAAACCATAAAAATGTGCGTATCTTCTAATTAACAGTTAACCATTTACTGTGACACCTTTTAGAATCGCCACCATGTCAAACACTTGAAAGTAGTATAATGTGATATTATTATCCCCCGCCGATGGAATCGGGAGGGGGATATAGTTTTGGCGTTGTCCGTCCGTCCTTCCGTCCGTCCGCACTCACAGGACAGTAATTATGTGGCTAGAGGGACAATAGGTAACTGTTCTTTCTCTTTGATGTCATTCATTCCGTAATGCTTTTATGTGGCTATTTTCTTTTGCATGGCTAAAAAGAACAATAGAGAGAACAATAGAGTAGCCACATAATTACTCTCCTGTTAGAACTTCCGTCCATCCGTCCGTCCAAATTTCGTTTCCGGAGTAGTTCTCTGCAACTACTGGCTGGAATTCAACGAAACTTTATGGGAATCATCAATATCAAGAGGAGATGCGCATATCGTTGGCTTGTTCCGGTCCGACCCTTTAACTCAGAGTTATGGCCCTTGGTTAGTTATGTAGTATGCATATAGATTAAAAATTGTTTCCAGAGTAGTTCTCTGCAACTACTGGTTGGAATTCAACAAAACTTTATGGGAATCATCAATATCAAGAGGAGATGTGCATATCGTCGGCTTGTTCCGGTCAGACACTTTAACTCAGAGTTATGGCCCTTGATTAGTTATGTAGTATGCATATAGAGTAAAAATTGTTTCCGCACTACTTCTCTGCAACTACTGGCGGGAATTCAACGAAACTTTATGGGAACCTTCAATACCAAGAGGAGATGTGCATATTGCAGCTTGTTTGGGTCAGACACTTTAACTCAGAGTTATGGCCCTTGATTAGTTATGCAGTATCCATATACAAAAATATTTGTTTCCTCGCTACTTCTCCGCTACTACTGGCTGGAATTCAATGAAACTTTATGGGATACTAAGAGGAGATGTGCATATAGTCGCCTTGTTCCAGTCAGATACTTATAACTCAGATTTATGGCCCTTGATTAGTTATGTAGTATGCATACATCTCATTGGCATTTCCAGATTTTACTATTTAACACAAAGTTATGGCTCTGTTATTGCCCTGAATATTTATCAAGTTCAAAGAATATTACTGTTTTTGCCATGATTGATATATAAATAAAGCCTTATGTCTTCAGTTGTTGTGTTAATAATAACCAGTACTCGGCGGGGGATATAAATTCAACAAATTTGCTTGTTACAGATTAATAGCAGGCAGGTACTACATGAAATGTACTAAAGGATAAATTGTGATAATTAACATAATCCTATTGTTTCAACCAATTCATTTATGGGTGATAATGAAATTTAAAATAGTAAGAAAGTTTTAAGTTTTTTAAAGTCCTATAGTTTTGCCATTTTATAAATTTAATGAACTTCATTACTTTTCAACATGTCTGACTTAAACAATTTATGTTAAATGTTTCTAGTTTTTCAGTTAATTACGAACTTCTAAATTCCAGAAACTTCCAAATTACAAACTTTTTGGCTAGTCCCACAGGTGTCTGGTTTTCAGAAGTTCCACTGTATTACCTTAAAACTTAAAACAGTTTCCTGAGCATAACTTAATTTGGCCGACAGTCTTCAAACTTCATAGGATGATTGTCAATATTGGGTAGAAGATCCCGATTGATTTTGGGGTCACAAGGTCAAAGGTCAAAGTCACTATTACTTTAAAACTGAAAACAGTTTCTGGAGCATAACTTAAGTTCTAATTGGCCCACAGTATTCAAACTTCATAGGATGATTGTCCATATTGGGAAGAAGACCCTTATTGATTTTGGGGTCACAAGGTCAAAGGTCAATTTCACTATTACCTTAAAACTGAAAACAGTTTCTGAAGCATAACTATAAAGGAGGATTGCTTTTTGAAGGAGGTAATACTTTATTCATTTCCCATGTCTTACAAATGCTTCATCCTTACTAAAGAAAAAAAAACACTTTCGGGCATATAATGCTCCGCCTAGCGGTGCTCTTGTTAAGTCATTATACCACCCACAAACGAACATCATAAATTATAGGCGAGTTCAGAGTTCAAATTTAGCTTCAGACCACTTATTTTTCAAAAAGTCAAGGTTGTTGGTGTGGGAAAAGAATCACATTTAGTGATAGGCTGATAGCTATAGTTAGTATCTATAGTTTTATAATCTTGCATCTGTATAATATAATAATAGCCTGCTTGTATTTGTTAAAGACGCAAGCTTATTATTGATAGAAATATATGTTATATAATTTTATAACCAAATGGGGCATCAAGTAAAAAGAGACTTTATCACCTCTCTTGAAATATCAAGCTTAATGTTTTTCAGTAAATGCTATAGACATTTTCTAACATACTGTTCATTTGACAATCTATTTTAACCTCAGTTATCATCATTGAATGTTTTGTTAATAGACCAAAGGAGTACCAAATAGACCAGAAGGGTACCGAAGGTCTTCCTCCACCAGAATGGCGGAAAGTTGCCAAAAATTGATAACAAAAAGCATAAAGCAAATGTTAAAAATTGGTAACAAATATAAAAAATCAAGTGTTAAACATTGATAACAAATAACATAAAGCAAATGTTAAAAATTGATAACAAATAACATATAGCAAATGTGAAAAATTGATAACAAGTATCATAAAGCAAATGTTAAAAATTGATAACAAATATCATAAAGCAAATGTTAAAAATTGATAACAAATATCATAAAGCAAATGTTAAAAATTGATAACAAGTATCATAAAGCTAATGTTAAAAATTGATAACAAATAACATAAAGCATACCGAAAATTGCTTTATTATAAGATGTTATTTATATTTGTACTAAACTAAAAATTAGCTTAAATATTTTGCACAACAGTATCTTGTTTTGTTATAATGTACATTATATTGACATTTCAGCCCACGTCCACCTCTACCATTTGTATTGTTATAATGTACATTATATTCACATTTCAGCCCACGTCCACCACTACCATTTGTATTGTTATAATGTACATTATATTCACATTTCAGCCCACGTCCACCTCTACCATTTGTATTGTTATAATGTACATTATATTCACATTTCAGCCCACGTCCACCACTACCATTTGTATAGTTATAATGTACATTATATTCACATTTCAGCCCATGTCATCTCTACCATTTGTATTGTTATAATGTACATTATATTCACATTTCAGCCCACGTCCACCACTACCATTTGTATTGTTATAATGTACATTATATTGACATTTCAGCCCACGTCCACCTCTACCATTTGTATTGTTATAATGTACATTATATTCACATTCAGCCCACGTCCACCACTACCATTTGTATTGTTATAATGTACATTATATTGACATTTCAGCCCACGTCCACCTCTACCATATGTATTGTTATAATGTACATTATATTCACATTTCAGCCCACGTCCACCACTACCATTTGTATTGTTATAATGTACATTATATTCACATTCAGCCCACGTCCACCACTACCATTTGTATTGTTATAATGTACATTATATTCACATTTCAGCCCACGTCCACCACTACCATTTGTATTGTTATAATGTACATTATATTCACATTTCAGCCCACGTCCACCACTACCATTGTCTCTTATCTGGACGGAGGAAGAAGCTGCACTTAAAATACAATCTTTCTGGAGGGGTTATTTAGTAAGTGAAGTATTAGTATCATATTAATGTTCATATTAGTAATATTCATGTATAATTACCAATGATGAATCATATCTCTGAACAACACTTGATCTTTAGTAACTTTTCTGTCTCAGATTTTATCATGAGATTGTCAAATTAAATCATTTTTCTTCTGTATGTTTATTAAAATACACCTGTTTTTGTAAAAATACATAATCCACCCACATAAAGTTGTGATACAATATAAGACTTTAAGCCTTTCCACACTAATTATCTAAAACAGACTCTTGAATCCTTCCTTCTATCTGGACAAAATCATTAATCATATTCAAGGAAAACTTCAAATTAAGCTATTTATTCATATGTACAGATACGGCGCGAACCAGAGGTACAAGAGTTAAGACAGTGGCAAGCAGAGTGGAGGGAGGAAAATGGAGGCATCAAAGATAAAGTTACGGACTTCTGGGAAAAGAAAATGCCAGATTCTCCAAAAGTATCAAATGATTCCTTAAATAAAGACACTAAAATTGGGGAGGCAGAGCAAGATAAATCCTCATAACCTACTCATATTTCTGTTATAAGTTACTGACAATATGCCTTTAGCATGAATACTTTCCCATGTGGTGAATCCTTGAATTGTTTTAAATAAATTATATACTTTATTTCATGTACATGTATATTTTATTATGATTTCAATCTGTGATAAACTTTTTTTCAAAATTGATAGGATTTATTCTTTTCTTTTGTACTTTTACCTCACCTAAGAACAAAGTGCTTAAGATGAGCTTTACTGATCACAATTTGTCTGGCGTCCATTGTCCATCAGTGTGTCTGTCATCAACTTTTTATCACCCCACCTCCTGCATTTAGTAATTAAACCGTCACTCCATCTGTTCGTCCATCTGACCGTCTGAGATTAACCTAAAACGTAATAATATACAAAAATATTTTGATGTACGGTTTGCAAAATAAAAATAGACATGGTGTATACAGTTGAAGTGCGGATCAAGAAGGGGAGCTTAGCACAAAACCCAAAGTATCTGTGAGTGTTACATCATTGGCCATTCTAAAATTAAATGAAAAGGATAGTTCTTGTCATTCTAAGATAGTTCTTAACAAAAATGTAAAGGATAGTTCTTGCCATTATGAAATAAAATGTAACAAATAGATCTAAAATAAAATGAACATGATTGTTCTGTAACATTCTGGTCCAATTTCTCAGATATTTAAGTTATTTTTAACAATTTCTCAGATATTTAAGTTATGTTTAACAATTTCTCAGATATTTAAGTTATGTTTAACAATACCTCTGACCACGGATTTATATTACAGTATTTTTTACTTATTGTAATATAAATCCGTGCTCTGACATTCAGATCGCATTACATTTTCTAATCCAACAGTTGTTCTTCTGATCAGATTTTGTAGTAAGATAAATCTACAATCCCTAATGTACGTGCCTTTACAAATATCTACATATTCATATGTATATTCAGTTTGAACAGAATTTCATTACGTTTAAAAAAGTCAATTATTTACGTGCGGGAGTTTTTTTAAACGTAAAAATAGCGAAAAAAAAGTAGGTGTAAACAGCGATCGGAGCAGGAGCGTTAAAAGAGTTATATAGACAACCTTAATTTCAATACATATATACATGCATCTTTTGAGCTAAATAAAACTTATATTATACTTTAAATCTAAATGTACATATATTTATACGACCTCTCACTACACGCTTCTACTAACTCCATTAGTCCAATCCTCAGCAATATTGCTTTGAAAATTTTTGTGTGGGCTTACAAGTAAAAAGAATTAATTGAAAAGCATACTAGTATCTTTATATGGAATTGCCACACATGTCCTCTATAACTTTTGTTAACAAAAAAGTGTAGGCTTATGATTAAAATCTTCTTTTTGTGTGTTAGATTTTGGCTTTTGAAATGTTGCAATGTGTTACATCCTCGTAATTAACTCGTTTCATATACTATTACTAATAAACCATCGCTATCGCATTTAAGGAATGTTTTCTTTGTTCTAACTAACCCGTTACATTCAGTACACTTTCAAAGAGGATATGAAAACATTATAACAGTGCTGTTTTTTTATTGATTCATATAGGAAAACAACTCAAATGATATATACCAATTTAGTTTTTACATAGGTTGGACCTGGGTGGGGGTATCACACATGCCTGCAGGACATGGCGGACCGTGAGACAGGGCGGACCATACCAGGGCGGACCGTGACTCGAGACTAGGCGGACCATATTTTGGGACAGGGCGGACCGTCACTCGAGACTAGGCGGACCTTGATTTAAAAAAAGTATTTATATGTGTACTAATGTAATAATATGACTCGCCATTAAAACTGGATCGGGTTCCTCCCTGGGAAAAAAAAAGAAATCTGCATGTTAAATGTTTACTTCTTTAACATGGACGAGTAATATTTTCTGCTCCATTTGTTGTCCGTGGGCAATTGGCAAAAAAATCATATTTCCAGTTTACCACACCCCTGGCTTTTTCATTAATGGACTGAGAAACGTGCAATTAAAAGAACTACGCACGTTTATTATGGATATGCAAAAGAAAATACAACAAGGAACAACAATGCTAAGTAACATTCA